GCGACGAAGATTATGTGCTTTATTATGCTTTTTGGAGAGGTTACCGGGGTAGCTACACGCTCTGCGTGTCCTGTGGCCTTTGAAGAATGTAGCAGGGGTGATGAGTCGAGACTTGATTCGGTTCCGAAGAAGCATGGAAGCGAGAATCCTAACTGACTGGCTGTTTAGTATGACACCGAGTACATTACTCGACTATCCAAGCGCCTGTCGGATGGTCTCCTGAGTATGGAGCACACCGCACTCAACGGTGACCCCGAACGCCGCTACCCCGGATGTGTCAACGTCTCGTTTGCATACGTCGAGGGCGAGTCTCTTCTGATGGCCCTGAAGGACATTGCGCTGTCATCCGGTAGCGCGTGTACGTCCGCCTCGCTGGAGCCTAGCTATGTTCTCCGTGCACTCGGCAGCAGCGACGAGAGCGCCCACAGCAGTATCAGATTTGGTATTGGGCGATTCACGACGGAGGCCGAGATTGACTACGTGCTGAAGGCAGTGCGGGAGCGAGTGGACTTCCTGCGGGAGCTGAGTCCGCTGTGGGAGCTGGTGCAGGAGGGAATTGACCTGAACACGATTGAGTGGAGCGGCCATTAGTTTACTGGTGTTTTACAGAGTTTCTGCGGCGTTAGATCTTGTAACATATGTACAGAATGATATAATACATTACATGACCTCACTCCATCACATGACCTTATTCCGCGCAGTACTCCGTACACCGGTGAAGAGACTATGGAGAAAAGACAGACCCATATGCAAATCAGAGACAACGGTAGAAGCAGGCAGATCATCCGCACACCGAGACTGAAACGGGGTGGCGTGGGTGGGAGCGAAAGACGCTAACTCTCGCTTAATTCTCGGCTGGTGAATCTGCACCCACACTCTGCAGCGAGTTGCTTCCGGCTCATTCTCTAGCACGCCCGCTACCACTCGCGCTACCACCCACCCTTATCGGACCCCTCTCGCTTCCACCCAACGCCTCGCTGGTGTCTGTCGTGCATCTATAGACTGGACTATAGACTCAACGGCCAAGTATGGGGTATATAGCTCTGTTGTCAACATGCAACTCCCGCTGCATTCACCTTTTCTTCCCCGTACTGCTCTCCTTCTTTTCCAGCACCTTCCCCCGTCTCGTACCCTGCTTGCTCCCCTCCATCCCTATCATACACCCCTCTAAAACACCACGCGAGGCAAATAATGATCCCGTGCTCGCCTTCCAACTTGGCCCACTTGGCCCCCGGTTGACCTCGTAGCTTTTCCGATCCAGCCTGTTTCCATGGTCTCGCTCGTCTTTAATAATCAATTATGATCATCTCGCAGCGAATCGCGTGCCTGGCCACGGCATCGCGAAATTCTCTGCGGCGTTGATCCCCCCAACCTCTGGTTCCTGTCCCCGGCCGGTGTCGGTCCCTGGCTGCTCAACGGGCCTCAAGGTTCCTGCTCCTGCTGCCTTTTTCTCTGGCTCTGCTCGTTTTACTTCCTGCATCTTACATATTTCCGCGCAGAAACTCTGTCTCGCGGGTCTCGCGGATCTTCTTCACCCCGTTTATCTCCGGGATTGACAAATCCGCCCACACGCGCCATTTCCCTCTCTGGCCAGAGACGGGCAGAGCTATTGGATTTAACCTCCCGGGTCTCCTCGCTGGGTGGCGGTCTTTCACTTACCCCCGCCTCTTTCGTCTCACAGCGTCAGACCCTGTCAATGAGAGCTTCATGAGAGCCTATGGCTGGTGTGACCTCTGATCCTTAGATCCTGAGAGGCCTTTCTTTACGTCTCTATTTGCAAATTGTTTCCAGCCAGTCTCTGAAGGCACGTGAAACTTGGACATATTTATACCGGATTGCCTGATACCATCCTCATCTGCTTCACATCTTTTCAGTCATTATGCTTCCTCCTATCCCCATTCCAGCAGACTACGGCGTCTCGCCAGACTCTGGCTTCCTTCCCTCCGAGCCCCCTCTCGAGCAGTTACCCGACCCCTACTACTCCAAATGGGAATGGATTGCCTCAAATATCCAGGGCCTCTTGCTGAGCAGGAGGATACGCGGAGTTGTTGATGCTATGCCGTTGCTATCAACGTCATATCTCCAGACAGAACCAGAGTGGAGAAGAGCATACTCTATCCTGGGGTTCATTCTTCATAGCTACGTATGGGCTGGTCCCATGCCAGCAGAGGTATGTTGTGTTATTCCTAGATTATCACTTGACCACTGTACTAACGAAACCAGAGAATCCCACCCCAGCTGACCGTCCCCCTCCTCCAAGTTTGTGACCACCTTGAGCTACCCCCCGTAGCGTCATACGCAGGCCTAGTTCTCTGGAACTTCAAGCCGATCTTTCCGAATGAGCCACTGGGCGACTTGGATAACCTAGCCTGCATAAACACCCTCACCGGCTCGTTGGACGAGCAATGGTTTTACCTCATTTCAGTTGCCATCGAAGCCCGCGGTGGCCCCGCAATTTCATTAGTACTGCAAGCAATCGCCGGTGCTCGGGTTGGAAACACCCTCGTCGTGACGAAATGCCTGCAGGCGCTGGCGGAAATGATAGACGAGATTGGAACTTTATTGGAAAAGATGTACGAGCATTGCGACCCTTATGTGTTCTACAACCGCATCAGACCGTATCTAGCAGGGAGCAAGAATATGGCTGATGCGGGTCTTCCCAAGGGTCTGCTGTACGACGATGGGAAGAACCCCGAATACCGTCAGTACGGCGGGGGGAGTAACGCGCAGAGCTCACTGATCCAATTTATTGATATTGCCCTGGGCGTCGAGCACCGACCCACAGGAGAGACTCGTGCTGCTCCATCTGAGGAAGAAGGGGTTCCAGCAGCGCCTCGCCACGGCTTCATCCAGGAGATGCGTTCCTACATGCCTGGATCCCACCGGCGGTTCTTAGAACACACGAGCGCTGTGGCAAACATCCGCGAATACGTCGAAGCTCGCAAATCCGACAAGGCCTTGTCTCTGGCCTATGACGCATGCCTGTCGATGCTCCGATCAATGAGAACTAAACACATCCAAATGGTCTCACGGTACATCATCAACCCATCCCAAAACGCACGGGGCCGGCCCACAACAACCCTGAACCTCGCCACCGCCAGGAACAACGAGAAGCCCGACGGCAGCAAACTACGTGGCACAGGCGGCACCGCACTGATCCCGTTCCTCAAGCAGGCTCGAGACGAGACGGGCGAGCCCGCGGTCGACGCCTGGGCCCGGAGATTGCTGACCACCGGGTCTGTGGAACCAGGCTTTGCATCGCTGAGTAAATTGGGCGAGCATCCCGATGGACACCTGCAGGTGGTTGGTCTATCGGGGACGTGGGCTGCAGATGATAGCGAGGGCGGAATATGCCATTGGTAGACAATCAGTAGTCGGAAGCTTCATTTTCGTCCGGGAGGGTTATTGAATGCACCGCTACGCATTGCATTGCGTATTTTTACATACTACAGAGTTAATTAATGAGCGTGTTCCATGATACCGTTTAACGATGCAATGTCAATATTTTTAAGCCCGTCTATTAATTCTCAAAGCCTCTATTAAATCCGGGAATGTATCTCTGGTTTCCACGTAGACCGAAGCTCTATCTGCAACTCGAGAGTCAATAAACCCCGGTAATTTAACTTTAAAATCATTACCCGGACGCACAGGTAATCGGACAGCTTCACCCCAGGGTAATAACTTACCCTGGTCCTGATTTACCCGGTGTCGTTCGAGGTCCCAGATCCCCGGACTATGCCCCTGCCTTCCATCTGATTCCGATCACTTAGTCTGCTGAACTTAGGCATGGCTTGTGTGTTATTGAATTTTGCCTTATACCTGATAGTCGCGAGACGATATTTTGCTTATTGCTTAGCCTAGCAAAGTCCATCCAGGCGATTGGAAGACGACATACCTTAACAATATCATGATCTCCCATATCTGCTTAGGACATAGTGTTAGTAACATCCTACTAAGACAGCCCCAGCCCAGTCACACAGACCTAGACCGGAACGACAGTACCTATCAGGTAGGTCAGGCCAGGTCGGGTCGCACAGTGCTGTACGACGTCGGAGCTTATGTCCCACCACTACGGAACTGAGCTTGAAGCTTTGCCTAGCAGCTGTGAAGTGATAGTGATGGTAATGGTCGTTCATCCGGCCATCCCCGATGCTGTGTTCCGTGAGGGAGTGTTTTGTTTGTAAGGCACGGCGTAGGGCAGGGTATGGAGATTAGGACTTGGGTAACTGCTGCTTCCTAGTCCTGCTGTCTGTACAGTCAAGGGCAGGTTACTGTCACATCATATTATATAACGGTGCAGATATGCAGTGCTGTACAGAAGTGTTTAGTTATTTAATTTGGTTTTGGTGGTAGCTGTGTGATTACTGTGCAGCATGGGATGAAGCTGGTGATATATGGTCCACGAATTATTCCGAGAAAAACAGAACACTCTGCAGTTATAGTAGAATAAAGCCATTGAGATGGTTAGGTCTCAAGAAATTGATCACTTTGGCAAGTATTCAAAACAATGGTGAATTTATATCGACCTTTGGAAGTCCGACTGCATTACCCTCCGCAATACCTGCATATTACTCGATTTCCATAACTTAAAGATCACAATCATCTATGATATTCAATACTTACTGTTAATATGTTTATCCAACCCTCTCCTTGCTGACGTCATTGCTGTCAAAGTGCATACAAGCCAGAGCCATGGATCACACCCCGTCGTTGTTCGCTACGATTGCCTCTATTAAAGCCATCACTAACACCGAGTCCGAATTTCCGCCGCTCGTCTGAAGGTACTCCCAGGTTGCGCATCTATAGCACTGGGCCCTGAGGTATCCATGGTAAGAAGAGCGCATGCCGGGATGGCCTGATCTGATGCCCAGACTAGACTGTTTGCCACAGATTGATTAAATTGCCTCCAACTTAACATTGGCACTCTTCTCGGGTTAAGAATGCTTCTTTTCTATCCTACATTGAATATTAAATAAAAAAGGAAAGAAAAAAGAAGAACAATGCCCTTCCTACCCTTCTCCAACATCCTCAGCCTGAGGAAAGAACTCGAGGGAACCCACGCTGAGATCTTAACATGGGGATGCGACGGCTACAACAACAGCGTCAAGCAATGGAGTGAAACATGCGATACGGAAATTGTAAGAACCTCCATCCCTTATAATGAAAGGCTTAGAAAACTGACCATTCTAGGGCGCGACGGTCCGGGTGACATCAGCCTCAGAAGCAGCAACCGTAGTCCGATTCGCAGCACAGCATAGTGTCCCATTCACCGTGAAGGGCGGAGGATACTCGACGAGCGGCGCTTCAACTTCCCATGGTGGTATTGTCCTTGATCTATCCCGGCTGCGCAGGATCCATGTAGATCCGCAATTGCGCGTTGTCACGGCCCAGGGCGGGGCGTTGTGGGAGGATATTGATGTTGCGGCTGCACAGTACGGACTCGCTGTGGTTGGGAGTACACTCAGCCATATTGGGGCTGCTGGGGCGACGCTGGGGGGTGGGTATGGGTGGTTGACTGGCCAGTATGGGCTGGCGATTGACAACCTGCTCTGGGTGCGGGTGATCCTAGCTGATGGGAGTGTGGTAACGGCATCTGAAGAGGAGTATTCGGACTTATTCTGGGCTATTCGAGGCGCGGGACAGAGCTTTGGGGTTGCTCTTGAGCTGGGGTTCCGCGCGCATAGACAGGAACATCCTGTGTTTGCTGGGACGCTGCTCTTCGAGGCGGACAAGTTGTCTGCGATTGTCGAGTTTGCGAACAAGTTTGAGACCATCACCGATGGGAAGCAGGGTTTCTGGTTTGGATTCAGAATGCAAGATCAGATGGCGCAGTGTTCTATCTTGGTGGTTGTGTTCTATAACGGACCGGAAGAAGCTGCAAAGGAGTTCTTTGCGCCGTTGTTGTCACTAGAATCGGTGATGGATGGGACAAAAATGCTTCCATATGATAGCCTCAATGGTGTACTTGCCACCGCAGAGACTCAGCCTCCTGATAGCCTGACTGGGGTTGAAGCGCCTTATCCAGCAGAGAAAGCCGTGAGCCCTAGGAGGAGTCTGCGGGGGTCGAATATCACCCTCCCTCTGGGCGCGGGTTTTGTGTTTGAGATATACAACGAGTTCGATAACTTATTGAGGCACTATCCACAGGCAAGAGACAGCAGATTACTCTTCGAGCTGATACCAAACAAGCAGATCAGAGCAGTCTCTAACCAGGCCACCGCATTTGCGAGCCGCGGAACTTACTACAACGTCAGCACACTCTTTGAATGGGACGATGCAGGCCTGGATGACAGGATCAAGTCACTACAAGAGGACTTGATGAGTCGGATTGGGGATGAGGGAGGCATATCAAGGAAATCTGATTACAATGTGTCAAAACATGGAACGGGGCTATATGCAAACTATGCCAGTACGTCCACTGCAGCCATCCCAAGACGGAATACTAACAAATACAGGCCCTAAAGTACCCCTGGAGACAATATTTGGGGATAATCTCCCTCGTCTGCGCGAACTGAAGAAGAAATACGACCCGCAGAATACATTCAGGAAGTGGCACAACATGACCATCAAATAGCAAACATGATATACTTCAAATACACACTCTGCTCAACCAATTTTCATAGCCGCCTCTGCAATCTTCACAGCCTCCAGCTCCTGAGTCTTGATAACACTCACCAAGTAATTCGTCCCATAATCGGACGCCGCATGCACAATCACATTATCCCCATACCCACAATCCCTCTCACCAGGCTCCGCCTCCGTATACTCGGCAAAGCTCTCCCTCGTAACTCCATCCTGTTGCGAAAGCAACACAGCACTCGCAAGCCCCCTCGCCTCTTCATAACTCTCAAACGTCCCCTGCACCGTGATATCCCGGACCACACCCCCTTCATCCCCCGTATACTCCACAGCCGCCTGGACAACATAATAAAGCGGAACCCCAACCCTCCCATCCGCAAGATCACTTGTCAGATTCTTATCATTCAGCGTCGTATCAATCCGCACCCGGAACGCTGTTCCATCAGGTGCAGTGGCGTAGACGACCAGATGCGGCGTGCCGTTCTGCTTCTCGAGCAGGGAGTGCTTGGTCTCGTAGTGCTCGAACCAGTCCCGTTCGTAGCCGGCCTCGTAGAGACAACTGTGCGCGGCTGCTTTTGCTGCGAGGAGGGAGGTGTATGTCCCCGGGATGCGAACCTTCTCGACGACGTTGTTAGGGTTTTTCCCGATGTGTGAAGTTGTGAGGAGGACGTGGTAGAGGTGTTCTGGGGTGGTTGTTTCGGCCATGATTTTATCACTATTATTGTTATTTATTATTTATTACTATTTCATGGAGAGGTGGTTTTATTTTTATTTTATTATTCTTTTCTCCGGTTTTCTCTTAAATAAATCGGTTATATACGGGTGGTGGAAGTTTGGTACACCACTCACACCACCGCGAATCGTCATCGTCATCAGGCCTCCAAACTGCTGGCTAGACCATTGTTAGATATTACAGCCGTGGAACTCTTTCGGCCGGAAAGATGACTTGAATGCTGTTTTATCCATCCAGTGTTCTCGGGAATCGGCTAATGTAAAGACCATATCAACTATAGCAACTCGCTTGAATACACCTTTACTGAAGAACCCAATTCAAGCCTACTTAGACTTGACCACTGTTATAAGGGAGGCAGTTACTGTATCTGTTTCTTTGATGTCACCAGAAGATAGAGCCTTGTCTGTATCTAGCCGTTTAAGGCAGCATAAATGGGTGTTCCAACATCTCGATCTCATTGGTTAGGGCTTAAATAATTGATGAATATTTGTATTGATCCAAATATCGAAGAGGGAAATATTCGAAACCACTGCCATAAAATACAAATTAGCATTAGCTGAATTTTATACTTTTATACTGCTTTTATGTCATCAACCGTAAGTCTTCTTCATCTGAGCCCATATATTCGCTCCAAATCCCTTTCCATCGCGAGATGATGCGGCTGGCCAGGCAAACATTGCTAGCCGAGATTGCACAACATTCCAATCTGTCGTTCCAGTGACAGCACTCCAGGCTCGAACACAATCGCCAAACCATTCATAGAGATCCTGAAGCTCCGCCTCACACGGCCATTTTTCAGGCGTGGAGGTCCACGTATCAATACTCATATGTTGAGACAGAGCTAGAGCACCGAGAAACGCCTTCCAGAACCAAAGGGATTGACGAAAGCTACCGTGAATTCCGCCCAGATCGGGACGGGTCTGTTCGACGTCCCGCTTCAATATTAGAATGATGCGGTACAGGAGCCGGTACTCGAGTGGCTCGCCTGCGTTGAGGATGTTGAGCACACTGTGCATGTACAGCTCCACTACTGCAGAGATGCCGCTCCACGAGGAGTGAAGGAGTGGTTGCGACGGCGTTTCTCCAGGGCCTTGGTTCTCATTATCATTGGCAAAAGATGATATGTGAGAAGTAACCAGAATCAGGAGGAGCTTTGTAGGACCGCCATCGTTCCAGACTCGGTTAATATTCTCAGCTGTGGGATTGGCGCAAACCCGATCTGCTGCCTCTGTCATGTTTCTGAGGCAGTCGATGATAGGCACAGCATCTACTGATTTACGCCGACTGCCATGAATCGGGGGCGGGCTGAAAAAATACGGGAACAGGCGTACAGCCTTTAATCTGGTTTCAAGGCCACCGGGCTCTATTTTATGCCACATTTTCATGAGACGCAAGGCCTCGGCTGAGGAATCGTCGTTGGGGTCGATACCATGGGCCATGCGAAAGAGCGTAAAGTCTTCAAGACGACTTTTCAAGGCAAGTACAAAGCATGATGCTCTATATAATGTCCTGTTAGTGGATGATCCTTTTCAGGATCGCCGAATACTTACAGAAGAAGATAGCGACTAGCGAGCTCGCTATCTATATCATCGTTATTATGGGCATTGGCTGCCGGTCCATGAGAGTCGAAAAGGGTCATGACACCGTTGAGGTGAGTCTCTGCAGCAGCCAGGTTACCAAGGCACGCCTGTAAGACGAATTAGGTAATGTATTAACGTAAGCCATTAGGCGAGACATTATTCTCACCTCAGATAGGGAGATCGTCAAGATCTGTCTCACACAGGCGAGAAAGGTTTTGGAGCCAGCAGCCCCAAGCCAAGAATTGACGATGCGTATGCTCTCAACCTTGTGGAAAAGAAAAGCGGACTCATAATCCTGCAAATTGCCGGTGTTCCAGCAATAGTGGATACCCGCAAGCAGAAGCGTACTTCGGAGTGCATGTTCATCGTGCGTTGCCAGAGCAATACTAAAAGGTATGGATTTACTTCAATGATAGAGCACTAGGTTTGTCGAACTAACCAGTCATATTTTGGATCTGCTGGAGCCACCGAAAAGGCCATCCCGGTGTGATAGACTGGAGTAGACCGAGTTAGTAATGTCAATGTTCAGTGATGACCGCAACGTACAGTAGTGGTATAATTCTTGTGACTTGAACGGCATTTTGATAGGAAGTGTATCAAAAGGGTCCATGGCCGAACCCGGTGCCAACTTTCGACCAGTCAAGCCATCTGCCTTTTCCAATGCCCATGGAGCTTGCTGACCAGGTGGGAGTACATTCTTTTGCAGCATCCTTCGATCCCGAAGTGGGACCACTGGGGCAGCATATTTGCATGATCGGTTACCAGCAAGGCATGTTTGGCTGCCGAGATAACTTTTAGCAAACCCATATCGGCACAAAGCACTCTGACAACTCTGAATTCTGACTAGTTGAGTACATACCATGATGGACGGTGCTCGTCGCATCGGACGTGACGTTGTCTGCAGGTCAGACATCCGGCTCTACTCCGAGTATTCCCTCTCTGCGACATCCAGATGACCGGTATCCGCGTCTCCTTAGTGTCTTGGACAGATTGTCGGTGATGGAGGAGTTGTGGATGCGAATCGTGCTTGTTCAGCTGAAGACGTCAGCAGTCAGCACGGGATATCGCTCTTTCCTATTTGGGACGAACAGTCGAGGCTAAACCGCTTTGGGACGAATACGCGAGTATACTTCTAATAATACAAACTTGGAGATATCTAGACTGCGAATATAAATACCCTCTTTAACATGATGAATGAAAGTAATTCACTTCTCTATCAGCCATGTATGATAACTATCCACCCCTGGCGGCTTTGCCGCAGCTCACCCTACACCCTTCCGTGGACCCTGAACGCCTCGATGCAGCCAAAATCGTCAATGACTGGCTTTCCTCTTTCACCGAGAGTCTGTCCCAGCGCCGATCGGAAGATATACTAGGCCACTTCCTTGAAACAGAGTCGTGGTGGCGAGATTTCGTTTCTTTCTCGTGGGATATCGCATGTCATAACGGAGCCGAGACTATATGCAACTACCTCAGCAGTTCAAATGTTGAGTTCGCAGAGCCTAAAGCAGATCAGCCCGGCGCATTACAGCCACAGCTGGCGGATATGGGCGGTCTGCGGTTCATCCAGTCCGGGTTTGGCTTCAGGACCAGTTTCGGCACTGGGAGGGGGTTTCTGAGGCTGGCCAATGTTGGACCGGATCAGTGGAAGGCTTGGACGGTTTTCACCGTGATTGAGAAGTTGAATGGACACGATGAGCTGTTTTCACGCAGGGCAAAGGAAGCCGAGATGCAGGGTGGTGCCTCTAGTAGTGGAACGCCAGCAGCAAGCGACCAGACTGACAGTAACCTGCAAGTCTTGGTAGTTGGAGCAGGTGAGACATCGAGCTTATTCCTTTATAGACGTATCGCTAATATCACCAGGCCAATCTGGACTTGCCCTTGCTGCGCATCTGCAGCACCTAGGCATCACATATCTGGTCGTAGACAAGGCATCTCAAGCCGGAGACTCCTGGCGAGCCAGATACGACACGATCAAATCGCATACTCCTACATTCTCAGACCACTATCCCTTCCTGAAATACCCCAGCAACTGGCCGCGTTTCCTCGACAAGGAACACATTATCAAATGGATGGCCCACTATGGGGATATCATGGGCCTCAACATCAAGCGGGCCACCCTCGCGAGTAAAATCGAGTACAACAAGCTAACGCAGCGGTATTCGGTCGAGCTTCAGAGCAAGGACAGCACCCAGACTATCACTCCCAAGCATGTTGTGCTAGCCACAGGGTTGTTTAGTACTACGCCGATTGAACCTGCATTCCCTGGAAAGGATCTATTCAGGGGCCAGGTCTACCACACAGCGGAACATCAATCGGCAGCCTTGGTGCCAGACGTGCAGAACAAAACAGTTACAATAATCGGAGCTGGAACCAGCGCGCACGACGTCGCTCAGGATTTCGTCAACCACGGGGCCAAGTCTGTAACGATGGTTCAGCGTCAGCCTATCTACGTTATATCCCTTGACTCGAGTGAAAAGATCCAGATGGTGCTGTGGAACACACCGGGAGTGAGTACCGAGGACGCAGACCTTCTAGGCAACTCGCTGCCAACTGCTGTTGTTCGCACTCTTAGTGTTGGTGCGACACAGATGATGTCGGCGAACGATAAAGCCATGCTAGATGGTCTGGAAAGGGCCGGACTGGCAGTGAAAAGGGGAGAACAAGGCGACAGCTTGATAGACCATCAGCTCATCAAAGCAGGCCATTTTTACATTGACCAAGGAGCATCCCAAATGATCATCGACGGCCGGATTCAGATTCGGAGATGTGCAGAGGGTGTGCAGGGGTACTCCCCAGAGGGAATAGTCCTGGCCGATGGAACGGAAGTCAAGTCTGATATTATTATTCTGGCAACGGGCTTCGAACCCAGTGCCAAAGCAATTGAGGCGCTGATGGGTAGGGCTGTGATGGACAAGGTAGGAGAGATGTGTACTTTGGATGATAGCCAGGAACGGATCGGGGTAAGTCTGCATTGATTTATTTCAGCTTGTGTTGGCTAATTGCTTGTAGGTCTGGAGACCGACTGGGATGCCAGGATTCTGGTATACGACTGGGAGTTTTCTGTGGTCGAGACAGTTCGCTCCCATTCTCGCTTTACAGATTGATGCTATAGAGCGGGGGATGAACAGACAGTAGACAAATTTTCGATTAGAGCTAGATATAAATAAAGACGAGACACTACAATATATCTTTTCTTATCCGATTGAAGACAAATATGTAGTGTATAAAACCAAAACAGTCCAGTAAGATTATACAAAGGAAAATAAGAAACACGAAAGCCAAGGTGACCTGTTATCTGATCAGATAATCTCAGTCCATTAATTTGAATTTAACCCAGCAGGGAGATTATATAGAGACCAATAAGCAGCAGAGCAGGGGCCGATTGTTACTCGACCTGGCATTGCCAACTCCCGAATACGAGGTCGGAGGGGCCAAGGAGATCCAGACACGAGTTTTGCAGATATAATTCTGGTCATTCCTTGCTTGCCTTCCACCACTACAGAGTGCGAAATCATGCGTTCGAGACCAGCTCAAGTGTGCATTCCGCACTCCGAGAACTGGGACATCCAGTCCCCCAGCGGAGAGCACTATATCATCCAGATCTCCTGGCCACTGCACTGGACCGAAGACGATCTCTCAGCCAAGAAACTAGCACCGGTTATGTGAGTCACGACGCTTTCAATCCTAGTGTACTGCATCTGACGCAAGCAGATATATCGTGGATGGCAATGCGCTGTTCATGACAGCAACCGAGGCCGCCTGGCGACGAGCCACAGGGCCACACTACTCTGGCGGAGGAATCGTCGTGGCAATCGGATATCCCCTCGAAGGACAAGTCTATGACAAGCCGCGTCGAGCATTTGACATGACGCCGCCCTGTCCTGATGCACCGGAAGAGTTTGGAGGAGCCAACGCTTTTCTAGAATTTATAAACCAGGATGTGCGAGAGCTTGTGAGATCGAGATTCCACCAACTGACTATAACCCGGGAGGCTCTGTTTGGGCATTCCTACGGGGGCCTCTTCGTGCTGCATGCTCTTTTCACAAGCCCTTCACTTTTTGACTGTTACATGGCTAGTAGTCCTTCGCTCGAGTGGGCTGACTATTATATCTTAAAGGAGGAGAAGGAATATATTGGGAGGTCTGATCTGGCTACCCCCGGTCTTATGATGTTCTTTGGGTCCTACGAGCAAGATCCCCCTCGGTGGCATGGCGAGACTCAGGAACGTTACGACCAGCGAAAGGCTGTGGCAGCGGCGCGAGGAACGGGGATTAATATAAAGAAGATGCGCAAAAGATTACAGGGTAGCGAGAAACTCTCTGCGGTAACCTTGAATGAGTACGAGGGAGAGGACCATGGTAGTGTGATGGCTTGCGCGTTGAGCCGTGCCCTGACAACCTTTTTCGAAGAATGGCCGCTGGATGGAAATTGACATTATGAAACCAGTCTTGACCTTGGATGGAGTGTAAGAGTGGACCGGCACTAGTTTTGGACTGGTAGAATAGGAAACCCTGACTACTCCTCGCTCTCAGGACGTATATGAGACAAAAGCAACTTTGCAAAAGCCGCCGCCGAAGCGGCAGCATACTTCTGCCAAAGTTTATTCTTGTGGCTATCGCAGTAGTCACAAATACCGCGGATAATCAGCGATGGTAGGGTATTCATGATCCCTGCTGCCTCCATCTCGAAGCACAGCACGTTGTGCTCCTCGCCCCATCTGTCCCGCGTTGCCGCGTCCCGTATGACCTTGTTTCCGGACGCAATGGTGCCGTAGTGTATCACCGGCTGGGATGATTGTCTCTGTGGCCTTTGTTGCTCGTTATCACGGCTACAATTGGTACATGTGCGTTCGCCCACGGGATGCGGATAGGAAGGCATATATAACGTGTCATTCTCAGCACCGGGATAGCGATACTCCTCTTCCAAGTCTTCGATGTGTTGGAGATAGTCCTTTAGAGGATCCTTTGTAAGGGCCGGGTCAGACTGCATCTCACTCAGAACAGATCGGACCCGGCGTGGCGCCGAGTCCAGACATCCATTGATTTGGAATACGCCCTTATCCAGAGCCTTTTCCATATCGTACGGCAGTACGCCTGGATTGGCCCCCTGACGTTTACTCACAACGACATCTCCTAGTCGGATATCATTTTGCGAGGGAACGCCCCCACCTATCCCCACTAGGAGACAGATTCGGAGATGCGGGAAACTGCGCTTCATGTTTGAGGCCACATCTGCTGCGGGGTTTGTTCCGTATTCACCGTCTGGAAGACAGGTCGATACGACGTTGTGCTTGCACATACTCCCAAAGACATAGGCATTCTGGTCATATCTAGGAACCGATATACCGCCATGGGAAGCATCGAATAGGAGTCGGACGGCTTTGAGCTCTGTAGAGAGGGCGCATATAATACCGATCGTGTAATCGTCCGAGGTCATGGGCGCAGTAGAGGCGGCGGTTGAGCGGGATAAAGGTGTGTTGATGGGCTCCGACGAAAATTGAGAGTCATCAAATCCCCTGATTGACCCAGATGCAGCATATATATCAGAAGCAGAAGAATGTGCCATCCCTCCAATGCCACTGTCATAGTAGGACGGAGAGGCATCAAGCTGAGGGGTAGTGAGAGGCTGAGGGGAGGGCTCGCCAAGATCACCCCAATACCATGGATACAACGTGTTATGGCCAAAGATAAAGGCCCCGTTATCCATATTCTGATGGACTGCGCACTTCGCTTCTAGACGGTCACCCATGCTGGACGGGAGCAAGACCTGGACCAAGTCAGAATGAGTACTCCCATCCCCAGATAAACAATCGCAAGTGCAAGGAAGACCTTCTGGGATATACCAGATGTGTTCATCCGTGAGTCTGACTGGCGTAGAGAATGGGTTACCGCGCCCTGCGGCAATGATTTCCTGAAGGTCTGCACTGCAGACGGCCATGTAGAACAGTCCACTCGGCACCGTCGACCATTTAGGACAGTTATCTGCTGGCCGTATAATGTCGCCAAAGTCTCGGCCGAATAGTGTTATAGCATCAATCGTCTTGATCAAGTCCATCCAAGACCTGGCGGACGCGTCGAGCGTAGCTGCCCGCGGATGAGCTGGATCACGCTCGTTCGCGATGTCGTCGAAATCCCATCCCTCTAGGGCTGACCTAGTCATACCAGCAGTAGGGTCTTTGTTTAGTGTCCCGGACTGATAGTCGATCATCTTTTCCATCACTTCATAGAACCTAGTGACCTGGTCTCGGAAACGTACATGTTCGTCATCATCGGCATATACCGTCAATTCCAGGTTACTTTTATCGGATAAAACCCATCCTGCAGAGTCTGGTCGATATAAGCGGTGCTCTCTGATTTTTGAAGGGTCAAATAATGTTAAAGCTGAAAATTCACTATCCTTCTCTTTCTCTAGGGACGTGCGAACGAGATGCAAGAGAGCAGTGGCTCCATTAATCAACCACCCACGCTTGCTTGCTTCGTCCCAGATCAAAACGAAACGTTTCTTGATCCACTTGAGCCTCTTCGTGTAGCCATTGCGAGTAACATGTGCCGGGATATCTTTATTTCCAATGCTTATTGCTGGGCCTCCCCACACGATCTGCCCCATGGATATGGACAGGTTGCGCAAAGGTGAATCATAAGGCACGCCTGGGAGGTTGGAGTTTTTGACTTCGTAGTTTGCATCCGAGGCCCCTATGTGTGTCAGTTAGGGTGGTGGTAATGGCTTCATAGGAATGGTTATGTACCTGCATAGAGCTTCATCTCAGAACACCACCCGAGGATATGACGAGCATTTTGAAGGTCATATGTAGACACGTTCGTGGCGCATAGGGAAGCCGCCTGATTATAAGAAATCCGATCGCCACTGGAGTTAAATAATAAATGCCACATTATCAGATCGTCACGATACATTGTCGGCACAACGATTGCTGAAAAGCCCTTGATAAAGACACCCCCTGCGAAAGAATTGACATGGTTGGTTTTGCACAGTACCGCCATCATACCCAGAGGTATTTGGAGTCCTTGATATACAGTGGACCTTCGTGGTATCCTATAACCCTCTACAACGAGCGGGTTCCTGAATAGGTTGTGCCAACACTGACCGTTGGACGTGCCGCTCTCGACTTCACTTTCTTGCCGAGTATTGAAGCTGATGACGGCTCCGAATTCATCGCTGCGATTAGGCAGTTGCCAGCATGAGATACTTGGACTGCAGTAGGCAACCCCTTCTGCGTAGGGTGAGGAGCGCAGAGCAGAGCCCATCCAAGCAAGGATTTCCCCTATCTCAGCCACACTGGGTACAGGTCCTTCCACTTGAATAGCAAGAGATTGTTTCTGATCAGGATGCATTTCAGCCACGAGAAAAACATCGTTCTGTAAGGTCACTGTGCGATAAAGCCATCGTTAGTATACTGTAGAAGAGCAGCTGAGATAGACCCAGCACCTACGTGAAGTCGCCTCGGTCTCACGATCTCGAGCAAACTCTTGTACCAGGTTGAGTATCTCAAGACCGATAACCGGCCAAGTCTGCTGGAGATACTGGGCGCATGTTGCTGCTTGTGCGATGGAGGCGGTGCCTGTCAGGGTGATGGCATCACGTATTGCAGTTTCCGGGGCACCCTGGTAGCACTGCCCTTGGACAAAATGGATTGGATTCCATTCAACTATGAATAACATCTGTACAGCAGAAGGAGGAACCTTTATGCGTATTGTTTCGGGAGTACGAATGGCAGCGTAAATTTTTCCTCTAATGTTGTCAACCATGCTTCGCGTCGCAGGTGCCAACAGGCATTCGTTGCGGACATCTGCTAGGAGCTTTTGGTATGCTGGGGATTCTTCTATGAGCGTAGCATATTCCTGAATTTTTGGAAAAGCCGGACCGGCCTGGAGATTAGCGCGATATGTGAAGGTTCCCTCACTTCTTTCAGAGGAAGGCCTTTCCCTTATCCATGCCTCCAGTGCCGCCTTTTGCAGTCCTTCCAACTCTATTCGCGCCTGCAACTCGCCTTGTATTTGGTCTTTGTCTTGTGTTTGGAAGTCTTCTTCCTCCTTTAGACGTGCGATCAAATTATCTACCGATTCCATATCTTCCCTCAACATAAAATCTCTAAAGCAAAGCGTGATGTCGCTACACGTCTTGGTTAACTAGATTAGTTAACACATATTTTCGTGCAAAAGGCTTACATCTTGTATTTGAGAAGAACCACCATCACGCTGTAATTCTTTCCACCAATACTCAATGCGAATTGCTCGAGAAGATCCTGAAGTGCCTCACAAATTTGATCTATAACGTAATGCGTGGGCCTATAGTAAGCAACAGATTCTGCAATGAGCCTGGCGAGCAGGCAAGCATATCTATATTTCATACGCTCTGGGATATGAAGATCTTCCAGGCGAGTGTTTCCCCAAAGCTTAGAGAGGGATACTGGAGATGATGCGCCCAAATGCGGACGAAAACTAGCTGATCCGTATCCAGAGTCCACTGAGTTGAACCCATGCATTGCGGACGGGCTTGCCTCGAAGGGCCGCCAAGGGCTCATCGAGAAAGGATCGGGATTCCGATTCACGGATTTTGTAAAGTGACTAGGTGGACGAAAACTAGCTGATCCGTATCCAGAGTCCACTGAGTTGAGCCCAGGCATTGCGGACGGGCTTGCCTCGAAGGGCCGCCAAGGTGAGCGAGTAGACCCTATTGGCATTGCAGAGGGACCGGATTTAGCACTTTGTGAAGTACCTTCCGCATCTTTAGATATGCGACCGGGTGAGAAAATAGAGGACTCGTATTGAGCGTGCTCGTTATACCCGGGACTGGAGGATGTGGTGCTTGAGGCGTCGCTAAAGCGTACGGCGGACTTTGCGACACGACGCTTGGGAACGTCCATGTGGTGGTACTCGCGCAGGTGCTCGACCAGGTGGTCACGGCGAAGGAAGCCATTGCTATCCTTGCGCAAGCAGTCAGGGACAGGGCAATTCTGCAAGCCTGGGTAGTGGACGGCACTCCGGTGTCGCCTCAGGTCGGCGGGGCGACTGAAGCTCTCGCCGCAGTCGTTGCAGGCCCATACTTGGACGGGACTACCGTAGTACAGTTAACTTGGTTTCCTATTTTCTTGTCGAACTGGAGGCTGGGAGTGGCATGCCTGGAAGGAGGCTCGGGCTTATCCATCGTGGGCCTTGCTTCTTCTTTTCATCGGAGACGGATGACTTTGACGATAAACTTGTCCATGGACGGGGAAGAGGAAAGGAAAGGTCAAGGAGGGATTGACGAGGCTGCGGCGGGGTCAGCCAGCCCAAGACAAAATTAGCCGCTGTGACGGGGCTGTTGAACTGGAAGCAGGCCAGCGACTGCATGCTGATCCCCCCGCATGGCGTTATTGCTGGACGCAGATAAGGTGAGCGAAAATATCGTGATAGGTATTCAAGGAGACCGCAAATAAGATTAAGAACCATAAGTTGAATAAAGATGAATTAAGACTGAAACAGTGGATATACTGATATACAGCGCAGCGGTTTCGCGATAATAGACCAACTGACAGTCATATCGAAATACTGTTCGACTAAAAAGCTCACCAGTGCTATTAGCCGTCTTCCGGAATGACTTCTTGACTGAATATTGATAGAATAAGACCTTTGGTGATAATGCTTGATTGGATGACGGATGGTTGTTGATGAAGAGTTGTAATTCAGACGGTAAAAGGTCTACGGTTCCATAAAAGTATGTACAATTCGCGTTCGCCAGTCTACCTAATTATGCCACTCCAGTGATAGGAACACAAGTACCAGGCCGCAAGCAAAGAAATCAGCTATCCAACATCTCCACAGCTAGACGATAAGCCCTTTCCTTCATCTCCCACCCCTGCGTTCCCTCTCTGGCAAGCTTATCCCAAGCATGGTCACACTTATCCATGCGCTCATGCACAACACGCCGCCCCGGATCCTCATCGAGTCTCTGTGCAAACTTCTCAGCCTCAAGCGCGAGCGTATCATACCCCGCCGTAATAAACAGAACATTCTTGGGAAAGCGACTCGGCTCCGCAAGACTCGGCGCAATGCGCGGATCCCGCAGGCTGAACTTCGGCGACTGCACGTAACTCTGTCTGAACAGGCGGAGCACAAATGCCGGGATGGGACGTCCGCCCTTCTCAGGTGCCACCAGGGTATACGGGTCGATAAAGGCCGCAACACTGGGGTAGAAGGCGAGGACGGAGCGGAATGTGCCTGGGGGGAACAAGGAGGAGCTCGCCACGAGGGCGAGGTTTGCGCCCGCGCTGAAGCCGGAGATGGACACGCGGGAAAGATCGAAGACCTCTGGTTGATTTAGCACCCAGCGCACGACATCCTGGACGTCCTCAATTGCGGCCGGGAAGGGGTGTTCGGGCGCTAATCGGTACTGGACGTCTAGGACGGTATACCCTGCCTCGCGGCTTAACTGGCGACAATATGCGTCGTCGGAGCCATGGGCGGGGATCATGAATCCGCTTCCATGGAAGTTGAGCAGAACGGGCTTGGGATGGTCCTTGTCTGTTGAGTGGTACAGGTGCGCCTTGATGGTGCGCTGGGGATCCCGCGAGGGGATGTGGCGCACGGCGTCCGGGTAAGACAAGATTCGGCCGGGTAACCGGGCGAGCGAGCGGATGATGGCCGCTGCGAGCTTTAGATAGAGGTACCGCAGAATGGACATGCTTGTTGAACTGACGGAGTGAGAACCGTCACTTCAGTTCCCTTTAATGTTGCGGTGTGCCTCGGTCCATCGGGCGGGTCTGATTGGCTGGAATATTGCAGTTCATATGATAACTCAATTACCACTGGATCCGGTATATGCAGGTACCTGGAGAGTCTTATATTATACAATATCATAGGAGGGTTCTCTTAAGTAGATTACCAACTGAAGAGTACCAGGAATTACAACGCCTTTTAGACAATATTATGATCTGCTATACTTGACTGGATCTATTGATTTCTCTACTATCATTTAACCATAAGTTGCCTTATAGTTATAGAAGGCAGTGTTTATCTGCATTAATGGCAACTAAATCAATGCTTGAAGACCTGTCAGGTCAGCGTAAAAGTGCACTGACTAAATGCTGGTCCCTACCAACACTATCCAACTATATTACTTACTACTATAGGAGGCCAATTGTGGTCTCAAGCTCAAGCACCCGCAGCACGGCGGCTAACCGTGCTTTTGGCGACTCTGTCCATCGCCTGGATTGCCCTTTGCAGAAGCTCCCTGGTCAGAGCTGGGCTGATGGAGCAAATGCGCAAGACCACCTTTCCATGAACCTTGGTGGTCAGCATCCCCGCTATATTCTCTGCGAGTAACTGGCCGGAGATCTCGCGGTTAATCTCGTCCAATTCGCTCTCTGTCGTGCCCGGCGGCGCAAACCGAAAAGTCACAATCGCCAAACTAGCTGCACTCAGGATTTTCCAGTGCTCCAGTTCTCGAACCTGCTGTTCGGCGAACTCGGCCATTTTGATTCCATGATCAATCAAGCTGCTGGTCTGGTCCACTCCCAGGACGCGCAGTGTGAACCACAGCTTCATCGCCCGTGTAGGCCTCGTAAGCTCAACGCCCATGTTCCAGTAGTTCGGTATGTCGTCAACGTCTTCTGCATCTTGCGTATATTCTGCCCCCGTGCGGAAGCTCTCCGTCAAAAGAGATTGGTCTCGCATGAGAAGGAAGCCACAGCCGTAGGTCTGGAACAGCCATTTATGTGCATCCCAGGAGATGCTATCTACATCACCTAGACATTTCAGCTGGCTTTGATGGGAAGTAGACAGAACTGCGGTGGCCCCATAAGCACCGTCAACATGCACCCAGATTCCGTGAGCACGGCCGACTGCAGCAATCTCGTCAATTGGATCAATAGCCCCGGTGTTTGTCGTGCCACAGGTTGCAACTATGAGAAATGGATGGCGTCCGGCTTCCCGATCTTCCTCTACCATTGATATGAGTGCATCGACATCCATTCTAAACCGGCCGTCTGTCGGTACCTTTCGGGTTTGCTTCTCGTGGAATCCCAGAATCCTCAGGCCCTTTGCGATTGACGAATGGGTTTGATCAGACACGTACGCCACCCCAGTATGCCAATGTTCTCGGGGAAGATTGGCGTCTCTTGCAACGGCCATGGCGGTCAGATTAGCCATAGAGCCACCAGACACTGCGATCCCCCCGGCCGTTGCTGCCGGCAGACCAGCACGGCAAGCCATCCAGTGGATGAGTGTGTGCTCGATAGCGCTGGGACCGGAGCTTTGAAAGCGTGACCCTCCATGAGCATTGAAGGTCGTCGACACCACATCTCCCAGCCAGGCGAGAGGAAGCACCGGGGAGGGAATGAAGCCAAAAAAGCACGGGTGGTTCATGCGCGTGCGGTAGTCGAAAATCTCGAAGGCTTCGGTCAGCACATCATCCACTTTATGTGGAGAAGCGTCCGGAGTGCCATAGTTTTGAGTGAGGGAGTTTGCTGTGTCGACGTCTGCTGATTTTGTGACGGGTTCAGCATCGAAGTTTGTGGTTTCGGACAAGTACTGTGAAGAGATCCTGTGGATGGCCTTGGATATATCGCCCAGATCATAGGCAGGGCTGCTGTCCATGTTTGTATGATAGGAAGTGTTATAACGATTGTTCCTGCAGCTCATGGGGTCCCTTGTATTTATGCGTCATAGGCCTTCGGCTATTATCGGGATCTGCAAATTGGGGTAGTGATTTTTTTAATGTATTCACAGAACCGGCGGAGTACTCAGGAAGTCAGTCTAGTATCCAAGAATAAATGAGGCTAAGGTATCCTCCTGGTGAACTTCGTCATGTTCCCTGATGCAGCGGGAATAAAGTCCACTTTGAGTCCTCGGTATAAACTAGACGCACACCAGCCCACTCATGTCCCTTTCCGATCTAGCTTTTTCTATTATTCATGCATGGAGCCGGTGTTAGGTGGTACTTTTTTTTAATTTTCTTGTCGATGTCAGCTATTCCGTTTGGTTGGTTAGGGCTAGGCTATCACTTGACTTCTGACCATGGGATTTACGGAAACAGAAGCCTCTGGCCTTCTCTGATCACAATTTTAGTCTTGTACTCCCATTCGCTGTACCCTGGCTTGATTCCATTTCATCCTCAAACAGCACTTGCTTGGGCCTCGGAGGCGCTGCTGGTGATCTGAGTGAAACAGCCGGTGAGAACGTTTGATCCCATCGATCTATAAGAACACCCGGCAGCAGTGAGGGATACTTGGTCAACATAAATTCCTCTAGCTCTGGCGTCTCCATGGCATCCATTTTCTGCCGCTGCCGCCCCATGTCAACTATCTTCGTGACTCGCTTTGCCCTGAGCTCCTGTACTTCTTCAAACATGCTTCGTATTTCGCCCTTTGACATCCTACCTGCGGCCGGCTGCGAAAGCACGGCCAGCAAGGAGTTTGTCATGGCGGCCACACTCTCCAATGCTTGATTACCCCCTTGGGCAATAACAGGAAGCATCTACCCAGTGAAGCGAAAAAAAGTCAGCTAGGGACACAGAGACAAATCCACGGCAGCCTTTTCTTACCGTGTGACCTGCGTCTCCAAGCACCATCATCCGGCCTAAAGACCATTTTTTATACGTAGTCTCCCTCAGGGGCGTGCAGACAAGGTGTTGTTTGGCCTTGTATAAATCTGACATGCGCAGGTCTGGAGTGATGCGATCATTCCAGTGTTCTTGTACGATTCGCTCTTTGTCCTCTTCCGTGAAGCAAGGGATATTCTCGCCATGATATGTCTTTCCCAGGTTTGTCGCCAGCAGCCAATATGCGCGGTCGTCAGGACCGGTGCCGACCACGTATGAATAGCCATGGCCGAGGTTCCATTGCAGCAATCCGTGGGACAAGCCTGGGACAGCAGAAGATAGCCCGAAGAGGCAAGCGTACGTTGCCGAGACCTCTGATGAGAAGTGGTCAGTGTCAATAGAAGGCAATGGTAGACACAGACATACTGTCGTCTGCATATTCGTGGCCGACACCATGCTCATTTGCACGCCGGACCATCTCCTCCCTCACGCGCGAACGCGTGCCATCTGTTCCAATCAAGATGTCTGCTTGGTAAGTTGATCCGTCTGTCGTCACAACCTCAACACTGCCCTCCCCGTCTTGGACAGTCTCGATTCGCTTCTTGGCCAGCAACTTTGACTTATCGGCGATATGGTCATAGAGGGTCTGAAGGAGCATCTTGCGGTCACACCAGAAACCCGAGTAGCCCCATCTGCAAATATCAGAATAGCCTCTACGATAGCATGGGCAACAGGGCATACCGCTCAACCAGCCGTTGACTCCAGCCATTCGAGATGTGCAATGCCTCGCCACTTGGGTCCCGAACAGAGGCCGTGTCAAGCACCCCTTTGACCTGGTCACGGAGATCCTCATAGCATCCGAGCTGGTCCAGCACCCGCAGACCGTTCGGCAACAAGCAAATGCCAGCACCAGCCTGTGCCACTATTTCAGGGTATCCTTCGAGGAGAACGTAGTCAATTCCGGTCTTTTCGAGCGCCAAAGCCAGCGTAAGGCCAGCGACGCCTGCCCCGGCGATAGTGACCCTGCACGGTCGGAGAGCTGTATTGGGTGTCATTCTGGAGAGCTGCTCGATTCGTCAAAGTGCAGGCAGGGCCCTCTTTGACTTAAGACCAACCGGAAAATGCCCCAGCCCCAACACTGAGAATACTCTACGGCGAGACAGCCAGCCTGGCTTATTGTTGTGTGGGTCTAGTGTAACTATCTAGTGTACTACGCCTAAAATATATGGGGCTGCCATCCGTCGTTAGACGAGCCATCCAACCGGCGCCACGATTAAGCCAAAGGCTCCATTAGCGCTGCGCCGGTTTGGGGGCCGAGTGCGGCTGATATTTGAAAAGCCGTCTGACGTCTCAGCCGTTGTGATCGCCGTTGTCTGCCCATCATTACCCTCCATGCCTCTTCCGACGGCGCCGCCTACTCGTGTCCGAGCATGGACGAAGAGATCTAGAACGGGGTGTCGTACTTGCCGGTAAATCCTTGAGCACCCTTTATCCGATTCATTCTGACCGTAGTCCAAAGTGCCCGTCACGTTAAATGTGACGAAACCCCTATCGCCTGCCGCAATTGCGCATCAACTGGCCGGCGGTGCGATGGCTATGATGCTCAAAGACTGGCCCTGGCCCGTAAGTGGGGAGGGAACACCAGCAGGTATAACACCGTTCCACAGCCAGGGCCGGCTAAGGCTGTGACTTGGGCAATGACTTCTGACGAGCGCCTGTGCTTTTCGTACTTCCATGGCCACACTATCCCGACCCTCTTGCAATCCTTCGACTCGACTCTATGGCAGAAGCTTGTCCCCCAGCTGACGCAGCACGAACCCCCCGTCTACCATGCGATGGTGGCCCTTAGCGCAATCCACCGCAGCTCCGAAGACAATGGAATGCAACTGGCAACTCCTGCGAGTTTCAAGGCGCAGGATGCGTGGCACCGATTTGCCCAGGATCAGCTCGGACGATCGATTACGCTTCTCAACCAGCGTTGTGCGTCCCAGGACCCCTGTCTTCGTGATGTGATTCTTGTTTGCTGCCTGCTCTTTGTCCTGGCAGATTTGCTCCGCGGTCGATATGAAGATGCTTTCAGCCATCTCCGTAGTGGCCTGTGTATTCTAAAGGAGCTACAGGTTGCAAATCAGGGATTGGTTGAGCAATGCATTGTCTCGGCGTTTGCCCATTTAGACATACTCTCTTCGCACTACGACCGCGCCTTTCCCATTTTCTCGTCCGACAGCCAACCAGGGCCTACTCAAAGTATATCTCATGGCATTCCAGGCTCTGGACTTTATTTTCGGTCCTTGCCAGAGGTGCGCATTGCATTCGACAGCCTTCTGCGAAGCGTATATCGGCTCGGCTCACGGTGCTTGGGCATGTCAGATGTGGAGGTCGCACTCGATTACGAGACACTCCAAGGGCAACAACTCGCAGTCTGGTCCTAAGTGGTCCGGTTCAAGCAGCCCTTCGAATCCTTTTACTCACATTTTTACGGCGGCCTAAGTCCAAAAGCACAACGCGGCTTGGACATCGTTAGATTACACCTGCTCAGTTTTCCTGTATGCCTTACAAGCCTTCTCTTGGGGAGTAACCGCGCCCCTCTTGCCTATTACACACCTGATCTGGAGGCTGTCTGCGCTCTAACGGAGGAAATTATGACCAGATTTCCGGAGAGGCCTTCTGTCACCGTGGAGAACGGCGTGGTCCCACCCCTGTTCCATGCAGCCACTGTATGCTGTGAATACCGCGTCCGGTGGTGGGCACTTGAGCTGCTGCGATCCTGGCCACACCGCGAGGGGCCCTTTGACTCCAACTGGGTGGCTTTTCTATCCGAAGAGACACTGAGGCTCGAGCTGGAGGCCAGGTGCGCTGAAGACCCCGGCTTTCGCGAAACGGTATTCGTTCTCGGGGGGGCGAGGAACTCTCCGTTCAGCAAATGCTCGCGAAGATCACGCATAGTCAACGCCAGCAACTAGATGGGCTGCGTAGAGCGGGCCACATTAAAGCCCCGCCTGACGAACCACCTTCGGACTTTTTGAGCACCTTCTCGGAAATCAAGGGCATGCAGAGTTGGTCCTGCGTTCGCGCGTTCACCGCCGCCACATCGCGAACGAAGGAAAATCTCCATATCTACAAACAGTAGGCTGTTACTTCCGCTCGGAGCATCATCACGGCATGTGGTGACCTAAACGCCTAGTGTTCTGTTCCGTGGCCGTGTGGCCCGGTTCTGAACCCTCTATATAACCCTAACCCAGCATTGCACCTAAGATGCGACTAGCTTGCATATTAGCCTTGCTACTTTCCTTACCTTTAGATCTACCTCGTGCTATATTCAAAAGTATTATTGAATGCAGTAATATCTATTCTAACGCATCCTTTATGCCTTGCTCTCTGTCGGTCCTATTCCTCCCGCCGAACCGGTTGGCAATTGTGGAATATATGCCGTCTCCAGCCGTTTCCAGATGATTTTCGAGCTGCCGATGGTCAGCACTTGCTCCGTTCAGGGAATGGTAGGCATTATATATTACCTCGGTGTATTTGAATAGGACCCACCCGGAGAAGGTCATAAACATCAAGGCACCCGCTAAGATGGCCATCCACCACCATCCTGGATTGTCCGCGAGGACGTTGATATTGGCGCCGAAAACACTCTGCTAAATGTTAGCAACCTCAGCCAGTTGTGAGTAAGCGTGGTTCTGAAAAGAGTCAGTCAACATACGGCTGCGAACGTGAGAGGAAGGTATATAAACTGATCTTCATATTAGCAGATGCTCAAGGGCTGATGCCCCTCTGTGACTGTTTAGAAAACGCAGGTGCATACAGTAATCCAGCTCAGCCGCTTCATGCTAACGGACATGCTCGTAGACAGCTGTGCCTCGTGGATGGACACTAGGCTGAATTCCTGGTACACGGGGAAATGTTAGTGTTCGACGTGATAGTATAAAGCTTGCTCGTGAGGGATATACCAAAGTGATAAGATCCTGAGTCAGTTGACTGAGTTCCGAAATCTTCATTTTCACGTCCTTTTCCAGCTGCTCTGTGGATGTCGACACGTTTCCAAGGGCTGAATCATCGTGTAGGCTATCGCGTAGATAATCATGGGTCCGATATACCTCGACCTGGCTCGTTATGCGATGGACCTGCAATTGGAGTGCACTAACCAAGCGAGAGCAGTCAAGACTAGCACGGAGGAGCTCCCGGATTATTCTCTTGTTTCTGCCTTCTTGCTGCAAGACTTTGATGCGCTTTCCATGTATAAGTCAGTTTCCCAAATACATCTGGTCTTCCTTCTGGCTATGTCTGCTCACCATCCGGTTCAAGTACTGCAAAGACTGTTCGTAAACCAAGTGCCAGTCAGAATTCATCTCAACCAAAAGATTAAGGCATAGCTCCGCGGGTGACTCGGGGATCCATCCGCAATCCAGAGTCGAGAAGTATGTAACAACTCGTAGTCTGGAATCATAGGGTTTAGCGTCCTGCCAACGGTCCTCGCTCCCTTTGCTTTCTGCCCTTGTCAACACCCAGCCAATAAATTGGCCTTCGGGTGGAATGTCCTGTGCATTTGCTAATGGCTTGTCTTGCAACCCCTCTGGACACTTAATGGAGATGGAAAATGTGATAAAGACTAGATTTACTCAGCCTCTTGATATTCATCTCGGTAAAGATTCACATACATTTATTTTGGGGCAGTCTTGTGAGATGCGTCAACTGCGGTAGGATGGCCTTTCGCTCCCATCTGTCGTGGTTGAAAACACGGAAACTCAACGGACCCATCGCATGCGACGGATCCAGTCTAGAGCGAAAGGAAGGGTCGATACAGCTCTTAGGAAGGAGCCTGAAGTTGGCAATATTAGCATTAATGGCAAGGGATCGGGCCAAGGTACGTACAGCATATTGATTTCGCTGTGTGCGTCGCAAAAGTATGCAGGCAAATCAAGCACATTGAAATTCACATTGTAGCATCGATGAATAGAATATGTCTGGTTCATGCTTCGGCTTATGTGAATATGGGAATCATTATCCCTTTCAGGGGGACCGAGGGCCTTCCACCAGTCTCTGGCGGGAATCCCATCGATCGATGCACCTCGATTCAGGAGTGCTCTAACTAGCGCTCGTGATGGTGAAGCGTGGTTGAGAACAGATGTTAAAAAGTTTCGAGACAGTTTAGCCATGTTCGCGTCATCTATTGATTCCATCAAGCGCTCACATATACCAATGTCCAGCTGCTTTTCAATAGCCATATGGGCCGGACTGAGCCCGTCTAGGTTCAATAAGGTCCCATCGGCATGAGCAGATAGCAACATGTCAATACAAGGTGCAGACTTCACCATAACAGCAAAGTGCAGGGGTGTTGATCCAGTCTCATCTGGCTGATTGACGTTGTCCAAATAGTCAGGCAGTAGCTCCCTCAACCAGGTGTCCCGCTCACACCAAACCAAGGCGTGAAGCAAATAGGTGTTCTTATCTCGTCTTCTTAGTGCATCGACCAGAGACCGATTGCCATTTTCAACAGCAGTTCCAAGGGGTGTTGAAATTGGAAGACGCATATATTGATAATACAGCTGGCGAAAGACTCCGCTGCGTTCACCAAGGGCTTCAAGCATGAAGATGACCAGAACCAAATCGTCACGAAGTTGTCTTTGTGGACTGGCATTGGACATAAGAAGCAATTCCACCATAGCTTCATCGTCCAATGCAACTGCTATGTGCAGTGGTGTAACCCCCCACATTTCATACGCCATCAGTTCACCTTCGGGGGTACTTCTCTCTAGGAGTATTTCAGCAATCGACGAATGACCTTGTCCTAGGGCAATAATCAATGCCCTTGACACGCATAGTTCTGGGTGTTCATATTTAGATATCCCACTGTCCAGGAATCGACGGCACCCTTCAGTACCCTGTGCCGTCAAAGTGCTTTCAAACTCTGTCATGGCGTAAGGGTCGACTGCGAGGCTTGTACTTAGTATATCTGCTGGCACACTCGGGGACTAGGGGCTGCACTTCAATACCATGGATTTTGGCCTCTGGCGCCTGGCATAGCGTCTCTTGCGCACCTGTTTGTCCTATGTTAGTCTATTTAGGTCTCGATATAGAATAACGGACTACAGCACGTACCCATGATCGAAACTAGGCGCAAGCAAAAATATTGTCTCTTGGGTGTTAGTCGAATTTCTGCTCGACGTTGAGCTCATAATAGGGTTGAAAAGAGTTATGAGGTTCGGCGGGAGCCAGGTTCAGCTGAATACGAACGCATCTTGTCTTCACGATAACCAAAGCGAGCAGGCGGTGGGACTGCAGTGACAAATTGGCATTTCCTGCTAAGGAATTGATATACAGAGTAAGGATGAAGATCGGTGGAGTAGTAGCTTCTTAGTCCGATGCTCCGACTGGATCCATCATACTAGCGATGTAGAAGTTATTTAACTGCGTCGGCTGAGAGTAATAACATTCCTATCTATTATATTAATTATGAATCCTATAATATTATAGATATTGCAACGACAATAGAATATGCTTCACAATATCCCATTAGAAGACCAACACGGGAGGTGACTTATCATATCGCAGATACAGTCAGTGTGTACCGTAGATGCATCACCCAAGCTATACGCATACGCACGTATAGGCTAATCGGAAAGTCGGATCGCGATGGCAATTCGGTGATCGATCGACCAAGGCTTGGGCACGTTGCTTATCCGAGACCTGGTTCCAGGTGATTCAAGTGGAGTGAACGTTGTACTTAATTAATAATAACTCACGCTGGATCATGAGATGGCTCCGCGGGGAGATTTATCCAAGTGTTCTGAGAGGCTAGACGGCATATTACCCGTTCGCTATAAAAGAATAAGAATATAGAAGCAAGAGACAGCCTGTTAATTATTATTAATGTGAAGCTTCCAACGTACGTCATCTGCCAAATCCGGGCCCCAAAGCCCGAAGCGAGGGTTATAGGGTATACGCTCGCAACTGACAGTGGGGAATATCAGCTTAAGCTATGCTTTTAATGATTTGCAAGGCTTGTGTAAGCAATATCAAGGTTTCGGGGAATGAACCGAAGAACATCTGAAAGTTAACCTGGGGCAGTACCATTGCAGCAACGCCCCGTGCCAGCGTACTCGCTTAAATGCTAAACAGGCCATTTCCTGTTCGATGTCATGATAAGCGACGATCTAGACCGCGTCCAAGTATTCGAACCAAGGGTTGCAAGCTGTCAATCTTATCCTGCAAACCAGCAGCCATGTCCCTTGGTTCTGACTCGCACTAGATACAAAAGCGGGAAAAGCTTTGGCTGGGTCGAGGAATGGACATAGCGTTAAATGGAGCAGATCGTCTAGGATCCCATTGACAGGGAAGAGTGCTTTTTGTTATTATTCTTGCGATACTGCGTACTGCGCTCGATGGCCGCGACTCATCCTAAAGCGAATCCTAATCACCGACCCCGCCAGCTCTCAGACGGCCACGGGGCCCAAGGCCACGTCGCCTGCGAGGAATGTCGAAAGCGTAAGGTCCGCTGCGATGGAGAGTCTCCCAAGTGCGGTGCCTGCGTGGACGGCGGTTTGACATGTAGAATCATTGCGAGGAAATCGGCCAGAGGGCCAAAGAAAGGTCTTTTGAGGACCCTCCGAATGCAAGTTGGTACGAGCATTGCTCATAGCTGATACGATAGAAAGCTGACCAGATATAGCTGAGCTCAAGGACCGCCTGCAGGAAAGCGGACTAGGAGGCTTAAAAACCGAACAAGACGATATATCTGGAGCGAAGTACCTGCAGTTCAGCCAGGTCGACCAGGATCCAGTTCTATCGACTAGTCTACCTCCTAATGGCATGCTCTCCCCCGATAGCTACCCGGGAGGACAGTCTCCTAACGGAGGTGGTCTCTCCGATCTAGAAAAGTCAGATCTGTGAGTACGCCTTGAGCAGTTGTGGATAAATGCTGACGGCGCAGAACTGATCTATACTTTGACCGCGTCCACCCATGCATGCCCTTCATGCAAAGGCGCCGCTTCTTCAACTGGTCAAGTAGTTCGCATCTGACACCTGGCCAAACATGCCTGAAGCTCGCTATGTGGACGGTAGCTGCGTCGTTATCATCACAGTACACCAGGACCGCCAAAGGCCTCTACCTCCAAACGCGAAGAGAACTGGAGGAGCTGGAACTCAACAGCTTTGGTTTAGACCCTGTCGACCTTGAACAGGTACAAGCGTGGGCATTGGTCTCACTGTACGAGTTCTTGCAGATGTTTTACCGAAGAGGCTGGCTAAGTCTGGGCCGGGCGTGCCGTCTGATCCAGCCACTGGGACTATACAAAATAGATTGCGAGCACAACATTCTGGCTGAAGCAATGGAGCATTCTCCCACAGAAACCGAGGAAAGACGACGCACCTTCTGGATGGTCTACTGCGTTGATCGACTGGTCAGTATACGCAACAACTGGCCCCTCAACTTCAGCGAATTCGTTGTAAGTACCCTCCATACATCTGATTGTTCTATACTGATCGTTTGAAGATCTGCACCCGACTCCCAGTATCAGAACCAGACTTCCAAGACGAAAACCCGCGAATCGGTCCGTTCCTCTCTGAAGCCATGGCCTCCGAGTCTCCCATTTCCGCATTTACGCAGTTAATTATATTCGTCACCATCTGCGGGCGCTGCGCCTCACACAGACAACAGACACTCGTCGAGTCCGTATACGGGAGCACCAACAGCGATTTCTGGGAGCGACATAGGTGGATCCATGCAAGCTTGCGCCAGAAACTGCAGCTTATCTCGTATACATCCGATGCGAGTGTCTGGTCATCGGGACCCATGCATCTGTTCGCGACTATGATGGCCCATGCGACGGTGATATACCTGCATAATATTCTGCGGGACTTCCTTGCCAAGGATGATTTGGGGGAAGAGGCAGTATGTCTGTACAAGGATGCACAGAGTGCTGCCGCCCAAGTTGCGATTCTGTGTCGGTCGTTGGATAGTTTGAGTGTTTTCAAGGTACTTACCTCATTTCCTATATACGGGAAACGCCCATGCTAACAGATAAGATTCATCCATTCACCCCGTACATGGTCTACTCTGCCGCGGAGTTGCTGTCGCATGAAAACAGCAATCATGCCGAGACACATTTCTCTGAACTCGTGTCCTTCCTCCACCGGTTGAAGCCTGTTAATCAACTGGCCGATAGCTATCTGAGACAGCTGCCACTTTTATAGTGGCCGGACCGGCAAGATGGACCAAGGCGGCGAAGGCCATTTTCTCTTCGTGAAGAGTATATTACTTGTGATAATTGGATAAATGGGAGTGATGGTAAAGAATGGGGCTACTAATAATAAAAGTGTTGAGCTTCGTTAGTTGTATGTGCCCTAAGGATGGATAACTATATATTGAGCATAGAATGGTGCATCTCATAGAACTAGCGACAACCGTAAGAGCTTCTACATTCCCATCTACTCTGTAAACTGCCAGACCACTCAATTTTCCTGCTACTTCGTCTCTACTTCCCATCCGTGGTTCCCTTCGCCTTTGGAGCGGCCTAGCCCCCTAACCTTATCCATCCACCTCCTGCCCCGAACACTCTGCGCCACCCAGCGCCCTTTTCCGGCTTGATCTTACTGAACAAATACGCCGCTTGGCCTATCTCACGGCCAGGTTTTACCAAGTCAGCATCCCGATGATCGGGAATTAGGATTGGCTTGATGGCAGTTGACATAGCACCGCGGATCTTGACAGCATCGAGCTTTTGGATATACTCGGTAAGGAGGACATTAACCTGACCTTTGCACCAGATTCCCCAGATGAGGCACATTTGTCACGTATGGCAGAGCGCTGGTGATGAGGATATTGCGCTCCCCGGGCTTGGGGAGGACTTTCTCCGATTTATGCGTTTCTTCAGACATTTATATAGAGGTGATGTTTTCTGATGTCTTGAGCTGACGAGAGAAGAACAAAGGAATGCATCAAGTAATGACCCACGGCTAAAGAACCCTGCAATATGCAGGAAATGCTTTATCAAGCTTAGAAATATCAAAATGCAGTGTTTAAAGGTGTTGGGGCAATCTTAGAGAATGATTTGAGTAATGTCAAGTTTACAAAATGTCGCTGTTTGGTGCGTAATTTCTTAATGCCACTGGTTTAGGCTTGCTTGAGGATATACATGTCTAGTAAAAAAAAAAAAAAAAAAAAAAAAAAAAAAAAAAAAAAAAAAAAAAAAAAAAACTCAAATATGCAACAATCCGACGACATTCTTCGCCTTCTTCTTCCATTTCCCGTCATCATGGTCTATACTGTATTTCCGCCGATACGGCCATCTAAACCACGTACTCCGTTTCACCTGCACCGCAGCCTCAGAATCAGGAGACGTCGGGGCCAGGTACGCTAATTTCGGCACTGCCGGCATACTTGCGGTCCTTGTGTACACCCTATACATGCGACTTTGCATATCGACACTATTGACGAATTCCGCGAAGACGGATGTCCTCAGTGCCTCCGCAATCTGCTGTACTGTCTGTTCCAGAACCCAAGGTTGGGGCGGAGGATAGTGGGCTAGTAAAGCGTGCCGTTGTTGAGTAGTGATGTTAATCTCATTGATAGACTCGGGGAGTATATAGAGAGACACGAGGTTCTGCCATAATGTAGATAGTGCTTCGCGTTGTGGGTGTTCTGTGGCTGATTCGGGTTCCGGGGCGGCCAGGGAGTAGAGGGTCGCGTAGTGCCGGAAGCAAAGGAGGAATTGGAGGGATTCGATGGCATGGCGCTGTGTTAAGAAGTGTTTGAAGGCGGATAGTGTATATGGCTCTGGGGCTATATTGTCTAGGACATCTTGGAATGACGGCTGGAATGGGCGGTAGGGGCCTTCGAAGGAAACCATGTCTAGACTGGTTAAAGGCTGGATAAGAACGGCATTGTTTGATCTTAATTCTGAGGCTGACACTTGTTTTATAGACCCGAGCGTCTAGACTCTCTCATCCAGAATTTGTAATTTCGCCTCTCGCTGCCGTTACATGCGATCGGCTGCAACGGCGGGTGAGCCATGGTATGGAATAGGTCTCGATCCAAGCCATGTGCACGTACCCAAGGATCGACAGATAAGAAACTGGGCTTTCTCCGCGTGACAGGTAGTCAGCCTGTTCCCATGGTACATGGACCTTGACTCATGGGCCCTAACCAGCCTCCCCATGGGGCCCTGTGATTCGGGTTCAGCGGCGCATAGTTTCGGCCGATTCCTAACGATGGTACCTGGACCGATTAGGCTATCGCGAATATACGATACGGACGAGAAATATATTTGTCATTTGAATATTTCACGTTGTGCCTCTATGGATATATCATCGCCGGGATGAAAATGCACCGGCAAATTGGTGGTCTAGCCCTGGGCTCATAGTTGATCTAAAGAGACAAGGTCTAGAAAACTGGAATGGGATTAATCAAGTTTATAAAAGAGCGTATGTTTCTTGAAGATTCAGAAAAGGACCACAATTTCATGACCTATCAAAAAATACACAATGTCGCATACAGATGAAGCTGCTCTTGTCGACCTCCAGGGAATATTCTCCCTCGATGGCAAAGTTGCCCTTGTCACAGGAGGCAGTCGAGGGCTTGGTTTCCATGCAGCATCGGGGTACGTAGACCATTTCATGGAAACACAGATAAGTACAACGACGCTCACAGTGCTTAGATTACTTCAAGCTGGATGCTCTCAAGTGTTCATAACATCGCGGTCTCCCTCTGACTGTGATAAGGCCGTTGCAGGACTCAATGCACTGCTCAACAAACATCCCAATGCAAAGGCAATTGCCGTGCCTACGGACTGTTCGCGTGCCGATGAGCTCGACAGACTAGTTAGTGTGATATCTCAGTCGACCGATCATGTTGATATCGTCTTCGCCAACGCGGGAACAGTCCGAATGGGACCTTTGGAAGAGCATTCGGACAAAGAGTTCTCCGACGTAATGGACCTGAATGTCAAAGGGACATTCCTACTTGTTCAGAAGTAAGCAGCTAGATCATATTCCAATCAGAAATGCTAAATAAAGTAGACTCCTCCCCCTTCTGTCCGCAAAGGCTCAGCGCGAGGACGCATCCCGGATCATCATCAACTCCTCTATCGCCGGAATGATCGCCGGAGGTACTGGACACCTTGCTATGCCAAGTTACGGTGCATCCAAGGCAGCGCTTATCCAGATGGCCAAGTACCTTGCCATAGAGCTGGGCCCGCGAAACATCTTGACCAACGTCATTGCGCCGGGCTTCTACCCGACTAAGATGTCCTCCATTCTTTCTGATAAAGTAGGCGGCCCAGATGTGCTGGCAAGCATGGTTCCGAACCGCAGAGTAGGGACTCCTAATGATATTGCCTCGTTGGTTGTGTTCTTGAGCTCCAAGGCGGGCAGTTACGTGAACGGGGCAACTGCTGTGACTGATGGGGGGTTTGGCTTATTGCATTCGGTCAATGCTGGTGATGCATCTCAGGATGGGACTTTCCTGGGATAGGATAGAAGGAATTACCAGCTGGAAGAAAAGCTTTGTATATTATTATCTACCAGTAGCTGAATCAATTCTGCAGCCGTAAGGACTGCAAGATTGCCCTGGAGAACCAGCGCCATTACAAACCCAATACTCCCATAAAGCCTGGATAGTTCTCAACGCAATCCCAATTTGCACTCTACTACTGCTTCGGCCATGGCCACCGATTTGGCTGTGACTCGTCTCTCGACCAGGGACCTCGCTTTCCAGATACTCGTGGCTTTGCAAAACCTTGACTGGGACCATGGACTACATAAATGAACCAGCGAGTTCTCGGGCCTTATCATCTGAGCTCGACTCAGGCCCGATCTCCCATCTCCATCGCTGTATGTTGAATACCAGGGGTGCATCCATGGATTCTAAATCAGTGCCCTCGCGCTCGGTGATACCCCCGTCATCGTCCTCTCCTCCTTTGGCTACAGGGTCAAACCCTGTTTTCCCCTCGTTGTAATAGCTGTCGAAACCGTCCAGGCCATAGTTATTCTCTGGCCCAAACCCATATGGGTAGAACATGAGCTTGGGGTCACAGTGGTCGTCGTATTCAATGTGGCATCTGGCGCAGAGTGCCACGCCATTCTCTACCGACACCAGGCGAAAGTTTATCAAGCCCTTTGCCTTTAGTATTCGGACCTAATAATCGAACGGGTTGTTTGTTAGTGTCTATTTATTGTCTTACTAGGGCTATGGAATCCAGAATACGAACCGATTCGTCGGATTCTTCGACGAGATGGGCGCCTTGCTGGCCCCGGTGGCCGCACATAAAACACCGCTCATTAGTCGTCATTTCTATTCCGCTCGTTATGGTACTGAAGAAGAGCTGAGAAGGTGGTATAACGCGAATCGCCGGGCTTCTGTTTGGTGACCGTGGACGGGGGCGTGCTGTTGGAACTATTGTGGGAAGGAGCAACCCCAGTGTAGTAACTGGAAGGAACGTCATATAGTGGAGATGGCAAGAGTTATATAGTGAGCAAGGCCAGGCAGAAGTATGTGGGCAGGTCTGTCATGCCATCTCTTTGCCACACATTAGGGTTATGAATAAGTTCAAGTCAGAGAAGGCCACAAACACTACCGACACTGCCGAGTCAGTAGCTGTAGCAGGGAAGCCCTCGAGATTGCCCTGGAGAACCAGGTGATATCATTCCTCGTGACTGCTATGTATGCAATGTAATTTCTCTATTATCTCTGCTCTGTCCCCATAGGTTGAATATCCTCCCGGTCCAGAGATGTGCGTTCCCGGGACTGCCTATTGATATAAAAGCTGTCATTTCTATGTAATGTGGTACTGCCCCAGAACCCAACGATCATATATGCATTCCCCTCAGCCCATCCTCCAAATCACTGGCCCTGGTTACCCCATCAGCCGTCCGGTGATGCTGCCCTCCAACACGCGCACCACATTCCGGACACGTCGACAGCTGCATCGCCCCTCCACACTCCCCAATAGTAAACGGATGTCCATTCTCGCAATAGTACCAGTGTCCTGTTCCCCTGAACTCGCGCGCCATTGCAGCCAGGACGGCTGCGCGTTCCTCGCTCGTCACAGGCGTGTAAAAGGTTGACCCGTGCAGCATGTTCCGGGTGCCTTCAATTTCGTCGGAAAGGCCCCGTGTCTGCTGGGTATGTAAGTCACATAGGCCCTGGGCTTGGTCTATGGCGCTCGTGCCCTCCTGTAACAGCCTCTCAGCTTTCGCGGCGTCAGTCACACTCTGGCGCTCTAACGCGCATAGCTGGGCAAGGAAGATATGCCCCTCGACCTGCTGCAAGACACGGACAGAGGAAGCAGCCTCGTCGATGAGGGTCTTGCTTTGCTTTTTGTTCTCTGCTAGGTTGACATGTAATATGCTTTCGCTGCTGCTAGGGGCCTGTTTCTTTAGGGACAGGAAGTCAGCCAGAAGAGCAGTATCTAGACGGAGCAGAAGCGAGGTGGCCTGGAGGTGGCCCTTTGTTTGGAGAACATCTTCGTCAAACTCGAACTGGCCTAGGGCTTGGTTGCGTCGGTGGGCCCCCTCGACCATGTTGCGGACTTGGTTGTATGGTTGTTCCTCGAGTTTGACTCTGTTCCTGTACGTAGATATCCTATCCCGAAGGTCTAACAGGAGCTTCCACCGCGGTTTATCATGTTTGTTGATATGGGTTGCCATAAGCCGGACTTGATGGCTAGGGGGGCCTTCGATTCGCACCTTCGAGCCGCCGTGGAAAATCCGCTTGGCTATATCCGCTGTCTTTCGTGTCCCTTCTCCATCCCGTAGCTCAGACAAAGCCTTTGGTAAGGCCTGTGCCATTGGTATATATGATTGATTCAAATATACGATGAACTTCTTGGTGGCCTCGTCTAGCAAGGCCCGTCTCACAAGCCTTCCATAGCGAGATAGATTACGCAGCGATCCACGACAAGTCGCGCACGTCCGGATGTCGTCAATCGAGAACGGCTTTAAAGACGAGGCAATAGACACCGGCCTCCCCTCATCGTTCATATTATAATGGCTCCGGAAATCCATCTGGCCGTCCATGCTTTCAATGGTCAAAAAGTGCCCGCACTGAGGGAAGATGCACGGGTTAACGTCCAGGTCTATTTCCTCGTATACATCACCGAGAATGAAATCGACCGGGGTGCTCTTGATACTCTCCGCTGCACACACCTGACAGAATGTCGCAGGGGGACAAGACTCTCCACAAACAGAGGGACACTGGTGGCCGCAGCTTAGGGGTTTTTCACACCGCCGCGAGCAAGGAACGTGGTTGCAGGGCGCAGCGCAAGGCATTGAGCATGTGCTATGAGGGCAGGACGAGAGACATTCAGATACGGCGCAGGGCGGGCATGGATCAGAGCACTTCTGCGGACATCTCGAATGCCCACACTGTACATCGCACGGCGCCGTGCATTCACCGCATGGCGTGCCATCGTGGCAAGGTGCGCTGCAGGAATGGGCACATGTTGAATAAGGCCGTCCACATGGCTGGGTGCATTGTCCATGGTCTGTCGCAACACCCTCGGCAGTGCGCTGTAGACAGTCGGCGCATCTCCGTTTGCAGCTATGGCCGCATGGGAGGATGGTCTGACATGGGCGCCTGCACTGATACTCCACGCTGGCGACATCGACATGGCATGCGATCGTGATAGAGTGCTTGCAATGCGGAACCTCCTTTTTCACGAGCGTAGGGCATTTGACGGTGCTCAGGTCCTGAGACTGCCAGCAGGGCAGACTAGCCATGGAATGGCCACAGGGTAGGATACGTCCAGCATCAAACACTGGAATCTGGCATTTCTTCGGGCACGGGTCTCCACAGGGCCTAGGGCAGGGATGGGTGCATCCCTTCTGAGGACGCTGACAAGGCTCCGTACAGTACACCGCGGCATGTAGCATATCAGAATGACATTTCTGCTTGCAGGGATGGCCGCACCGGAGCCGCTTGCCGCATTGCAGGCTGCAGCCTCCCTCTGGGGCGAGTTGGAGAAAGTCGTCAGGCTCCGATACTGTGATGGGTGTCTCCGGGTGGCGAGGACAGCAGAGGTCAAGACTCGAACCGATATTACCCTCGGACTCCAAGATATTGATCACCTTATTCCACATGTCGACCCCTTTGGATGTTTCTGAATTACCAATAACGTACATTCCGTGCATGGCCCGCGAGAGAAGGACGTTTATCCGGTTAGGCGTCCGGAGGAAGCCGCATTGATTTTGCTTGTTGCTTCTTACCAGGGAGATCACAACAACCTTGGCCTCCTCGCCCTGGAAGTTATCAATAGTGGCGACTCTGAGGGTTTGGAGAAGAGAGGACTTGGTAATAACTTTACTATCCGAGTCTGTTGTCTCAGCCGCAAATCCTGCATTATCAAGGTCTTCCTGGTCCCTTTCGCCCAAGGTGATTGTATAGGAACCAGCAAGTCTCCGCCGTATGCGATGGAGCTGCCCCAGATAGGGCGTAAGCACGGCTATATCGCCAGAGGCATAGGTGCCCTGTCGGATAAGATGATTAACCAAGGCAATCGTCAGGTCTATTTCGTGGTCGTTCCAGTGGGATGTTGCAATGGCGTCGTCGCCAGACGAATCGCCTTCTGCATGTCGGTGATCCAACCAGAACAACCGATGGCGCATCCCCATAACTTCAGGGTACTCGGAGACTACGGGGGAATCCTGCAGTCTTGGGTATAGGGTGTCACGGACTAGACGAGACATGGACGGATGCATACGGCGTTGCGTCTCTAGACTGCAGAAGGGGAGTTGCACCCCGACTCCATCATCAGGCTCCACAAGACGTTCGAATAGAGATCTATCTAGGGAGTACGCTTTTCCAGAGCTACTTTCCCTAGAAAGCTCGTAGTTCTGGATCTGAGGCCGAAGCTGCTGGTGATCGCCAATGAGGATAACATGCTCCAGAGAAGGTAGCAACGAGGTGAGTAAATGCGCTTCGAGAACCTCGCCAGCTTCTTCACATAAGAGAACCTTTGACGGTAAACGACGCAACATGTTCAGGTTTCGGGCCAGACCTGTTGTGGTGACCCCGATAACGTCTGCCGTTCGAAGGCAGCGGAGGTCGATTTCATCCTGTACTCTATCCAGAGAGTGCTTGGTTCCAGAATGCGATGACAGCAGCGACCGTGCCTCGGAAAGAGCCTCCATTCGGGCCCCGCTAGACCAGTGTGCATGTAGGAGCCGGCGTTCTGACACTGTCATCATATCTACATGGACCATGGCCAGTTCAGGTATGGGGCGAGTATGCCCGTGTCGCTGTCCCCCGTTGAGCCATGAGTGCAGGATTCCAAGAGGTCCTGATTTAGACTGCCTCTGAAAGCCATCCGCATCCTTCTGGAAGAGCTGCTGGTAGTGCAGGGGGTTACTCCTTTTGATATACTCTTTCAGTCTGTGCGCTGGGCCTGCCGAGTTGAGCTTGAGCTCCTGGAACGATTCCTCGTCTTCGTCCAGTGACGTGCGTAATAGCCACTGGTTGTGCTTCTCCATCCGGGTCTTGTCAACCTCTCTGGCAACAGTCCGGAGATTCAGTGGCTGCAAACGCTCGGATTTGGATTGAGACCCAATGCGGATGATTTGGGTGGTGATGTCGTTGTCCAACAGGTCTTCCAGGAGTTGGTCAAGGGCATGATTAGTATAGCACACACAGAGAATAGGCCCAAGCCCCTTTTTGACCTTCTTCTTGTTGGCTAAAAGCACCTTGATCAATGCCACTCCTGTAAAACTCTTGCCGGTGCCTGGCGGGCCTTGGATCAGAGCGATTCGTCTCTGGAGTGAGCGCACCAGGGCTGTTGCTTGGGCATCATCAAGAGTGGACTTGCTCTGAAGAGTCTTTATATCGATGGGCTTGGAATGTTCAACAGTTAAACTTGAGCCGTCATTCATGAGACATTTTAGATCGAAGCTGAATCCGGGGACTACCGAGTACAGCGGCGGCGGCACATCTATGAACTCCGACAGGCTGCTTGTATCGCTGGGTGCAATGAAATCTGACATTGGAATATCAGCGGCCTTTTGCATCTTCTGCAAAGCAAGCAGCGTAGGTTGAAATGAGGGCAGAAGAATCCCAGGGAATTCCACCAGCGACATCGCAGACAGGTTCCCTTTCGCTCCATGGCAGTCTAAAATATATTGCCATGTATGCTCTCCTGGCTCAACAAGCTCCAACACTACTGAAGCCACATTTATGTCCCCCGAGAGTGAATTGGCCATTCTTGGGTCCTTCTTCTCCACTGCACCGGGCCTTTTACTCGGAAGATCAGGCGGAGCTACCGTACAGAACACTGCAGTCCCCCTGCGATCCAGAAGGCAAACGAAAGCACTTGCTTGCAGGCGCTTGGATAATTGCCACCAGTCCTGCTGTTTCTGTTTCGACATACCTCGGACCTGCGTTGGCTGCGAGAACTGCACGAGGAACTGCAGCCCGGAACGCTTGTGCAGGTCCACCTGCTTGACGAGGACGTCTCTATAAATGTGCATTCTGGTTTGCCCCCTCCGACCATGTATCGTAGCCCGGGGCCGGAGCTCCGCGTGAATGGCGTCTCTGAGCTGCCCAACAGTGTCTTCTCGCAAGAGCCGGAAGTTCCTGTCTAGCAGTCCGGCCAGCCCAGGAAGATGCCATTGACGCGGGTCCTTCACGGGGAGGTATTCCGTGCGTGATGACAGGATCTCCTGGAAGGTCGGCATGATCTTAACCTTCCCAATGTCGGCGTGGTCATTGTCGTGGCGTTTCCCAGGCGGATCTTTCTGTGCGACAAAGGCAACAGGTGGAGCATTGGATGGGACTTTCCGCGAAGACCCCAGCAACGTTGGTAGAGAGAGTCCAATATTTAGACGGCGCTGGAGTCGCTCAAGGTAGTGGACGGACTGGTGAAGGCCACTTCCACCGTCCAGGCCATGGAGGGCATTCAGGAGGTCTGCGAACCGCTGGACAACTTGCTGTAGCGACTCTTGGATGAAGGCCGTCGAATTCAAGTCGACAATGTGCCAGAAGGCCGATAAGGATGATTCAAGGTATATACAGGAAGCCTCGCCATCTGCCTCGACTTCAAGTTGTATCGTATCGGCTAGAAATTGTAGAAGCGGCGCTGCCCGACGCGCATTAATCCCGAAGATGCAGTTGTATATACTCCCAACGGCCTGTTCCAGGACCAGCGAGGTCAGTAAGCTGGGATATGTGATGACCTCTATGAAAGGCAGCATCTCCTCAGCGAATATAGTGCGTTTCGCTGTTGGCGACAGGACAGAAAAGTCCCGTTCAATAAGCTCTTGAATCCGTCGCAGGCCACCCTCCTTTGAGAGACACTGGATAACCTCTTGCAATGAGCTCTCGTGTCCCTGAATCAGCTTTCTGGCCTTTTTGAAGAACTCTCCCAGCCTGGAGCCGAGTGGTTGACTTGTTCGACCGTAGGCGATCTGTCTCTTCCATGCAGAGAGCTCGTTGAACTCATCGGGTTCGGAGCCTCCACGTCGACCGGGGCCATTTGCTGCCTTTGGTGAGTCTCCCTGGCGTATATGTTCAAATTTGCATGATTTGAATTTGCAGGTCCCATCTCGTGCGAACTGGTAACAGATCCTGTGAGATCATATCAGCGTGACCGTATATGGAACGAAGTGATTTCCTTACTTTCCAACCATTTTTTCAGCAGCAGGAAAAAAGTGTGTGTTTGTGATTATTCAAAAGGAGAAATACTCGCTGCCGGATTCAGTATTATATATTCAAGGGGTCAGTGGTCAAAGTCCGAGTGAGAGAAACGAAAGCGCCAAATCCCCCTCTTTATGACGACAGAAGGCCCCCCGTCCTACAGGCAAGGCTGTTTTAGCCTGGGCCAGCTGTTCATTGATTCCCAATCGCAAGTACAGCCTCACTAGGTCGAAGCGCCGCAGACCTTGCAATCCTGGTTGATTGGGTCGCCGCAAGTCCGCGGCACAGCAAACTCGCAGGTACTTTTATATGGAGGGGGTAAGGCGCCAGAGAAGAAAAAGAAAATATTCATCACTCAGTAGTATTGGTCCTCCCCCATGCTTTGGCCTTTTGAGTCTTATGCGTCGCATTTCTGTCACTAGAAAGGACCCTGGTCGCTCAAGTTGGCGCCGTGATGTAAGATAAACATGACGCTGAAGTGAGTGTGATATTATAATAATTATACTGTTCTCTAACCCCTCCGCTGAACTACAAGGATGCATATAATGTAGATATCATACCATTCTGGCTGAAAGGTTGTATAGAAGACCACTCTTCTTTGGAGGGCTGTGCCATCTCGACTGCAGTCAGTGTATTTTACCTGATCTTATATCTAATATCCTATATAACCATACACATAATCCTAATACGAGATCCAGTATAAAGATCACGCATTGCCACCGAGCTTCTGGGAAAACCACTCGACCAAGTGCCGCACGGTAGGATGATTCCAAGTGAAGTTTGGCGGAACAGACACATTCAACGACTGCTGCAGCTTTCGTCTCAAAACAACACTCATGACGGAATCCAGCCCGTAGTCGCTCATTGCTGCTCGGGAGTCTACATCGCTGGCTGTTGTCTGGAGCACTTCAGCAACACATGAGCGGATATGCTCGTCGAGGTACGCCTTCAGTTCAGGTCCAGAAGTGGGGATAGTGGTAGGGGTTTCAGCTCCATCTTTTGAAGCTGCCTGACCATCAATATTCCTATTAGGCGCCGAGCGAGTCACTATATCCCGAATAACAGGGCAAGGCACGGGCTCGTCAGGACGAAGGGTGCGCGTACGGAGAACAACACCGTGGTCCATGTCAAACTGTGCAAGATGCATCCAGGCTTGGAATGCCTCATGGCGTGTGATATCTGTAACGCCCTTCGCTTCCAATTCCGCAGCAACAAAGTCAGAATCACTCCCCAGCCCCATTCCACGCCAGGACGTCCACTGGAACGAAATTGTATTATCCCCTAGACTTTGACGGTATGTCGCCAGAGTATCGAGGAATGCGTTGGCACTGCCATACGAGGCTTGACCCTGGAACCCTAGGAGCTGTCCGCACGACGAGTACAGGACGAAGAAATCCAGAGACCCTGCTGGGAATGCTTCATGCAAAGCAAGAGCGCCGTTGACCTTGGGGCTGAAGACTCTGCGGAAAGCGGCTTTGGTGCTATTGAGGACCAACTCGTTTTCTACTATACCGGCTGCATGAACGACACCGAGAACTGGTGGGAGACCTAGCTTATTTAGAGAGTCCTGGAGCTTCGTGGCGGCATCCTGTTCCCCTATATCAATAGCGAGGGTGTGAACCGAAACGCCCAACCTCTCTAGTTCCTGGATCCTCGCTATGACCTGCTTATATTCTTCATGAGCCTGACTCCAGGTTGATCGCGGAGGAAGAGAGCGACGAGACAGCAGAACCAGACGACGAGCCCCATTTTCCGCCAGGAACTCAGCGGTCGCAAGGCCTAGATCTCCCAAGCCGCCAGTGATAAGGTACGTTCCCTCAGGACGAGGGAGGCAGCGAGTTGCCTCTTGTGTTCGTGCTTCTAATGCCAACGAGCGCAGTCTTCCGGTCCGTGGTATCCCATCTTGAATGCGGATCACGTCTTCTCCCTGGATATATTTCATTGCCGTTAGAGGGACGGAGAAGCCCTCGCCATCAATAAGACCCCCGAAGTGTTCAGGATGCTCGCTGGCAATTACCCTGCTCAGCCCTACAAGGGGAGCATTGGCAAGCGCTGTTGGGCAATGGCCCTTGATGGCATCTGTCGTCAGCACAAACACCTTCAGCGGTAATCCAGAATGCACGGCATATTTTATGATTTCGAGCAGCTCCAAGGTTTGTTTCTCGGTCTCTTCAAGGACGTCTCCAAGGGACGAAATTCTTGGAGGAATATAAGCAATCACCGTACCCTCGTTCAGAGCATCGCCAGGCAAAGACTGAAGCTCATCACACCGGGAGAACTGCAATGAATGAACGTGGGCAGGAAGAGAGGAGGCGTATTCCTGCATCAACAACTGATTTCTGCCAACCAAGACGACCTGGCTGATCTTGAAAGGGTCTTCTGCAGGTAGGGCTGGTGGCCACGCAAGTCTATGAACTAGACTACCAATCGATGTGGTAGAACCGGAGACAGCTTCGATTTCAGAGAACTGCATTCCACTTAACCTTGTGAGCACCACGCCTTGCTCATCAAGAACCATAACATCCGCACGGCTCTCAGGACCGGGGTCTCTGCGAACGTGAACCCAGCCAAGCTTAGGTGGATTACACGCTGTACAGATCTCCAGTTGCTGGATCTTCGATGGCATCCGTAGACGAGCTTCATCATAAAAGATGCACGACCCTATCGAAGTTGCAGCATCTAGGAACGGTGCCCATGATGATGCGTCCCAGTCCGGTATGTCGACCCCCGGGGCAACGTCCACTCGAGCCAGCATCTCCTGCGAGTCGCCATAATGATCTAGGACTTTCCAGGGGAAGCCCATCGCAGATACTCCAACGCTTGCTAAGTAGTCGATAGTAAAGCTACCGACTTGCCGTTTCATGGCACTACAGCTCAAGTCAACCTTCTCATAAGGGGTAGAGGTTGAGCTGCCGCTGCAGCACGCAGTGGTGTGTGTAAGCCACGAAGCGTCATGACCGGCCTCATTATCCATATTGCTGAGCTGAGACATAATCTTCACCTCGCGGCCCTGCACGACGACCTGCACCGATCGTGCAACATCAACGGCCACGGGCACTTTCAGATTCACCTGCTCGAGTCGGGTACTCCGCGTAGCCTGCAGAAAGGTATTGAGCAGACAGGCAGCAGGGATTATTTCTGTTCCCGAAACAGGGTGGTCTCCAGGGAAGGGCTTCGATTCTTTTTCTAGAAACGTGCTGTATACTACGGTGTCTGTGCCCGCCACTGGAATATGGTGCCCGACGAGCGTATGCTGGATTGGATTGTGGGTTTCTATGGCTCCTGGAGAAGAGGAGAGCTTCGGTAGCAGGGTTTGATGGTGCCATGCCTCTGTCGGTAGTCCCTGGGCCCAAGGACCTGGCATCTGCATTCTCCAGTCAACATCAACTCCGGCGCAATGCAGTTGGCCAAGGGCATGTAAAATGCTGATATCGGCAGGATCATCGCGTCTCATTGTTGAAACCACTGAGAAGTCTTCAACTCCCGTCTCCATCACCGTCTCGGTGATCGAGTGGGATACGATAGGGTGACTTGATACCTCGAGGAAGACCCGGTAGCCGTCCTCGATGGCACATATTATTGTCTCTGTAAGCCGCACCGGGCTGATCATGTTGTTTGTCCAGTATTCGGCATCACGAAGGGCCTGATCACGGGAATTGGGGAGCGATGTTGAATACAACTTCACGGAGGGGCGTTTCGGGTGTAATGTATCCTTGATTGAAGCCACCAGCGGCTTTCCCAGCGGGACCATCATAGGACTGTGGAATGCAACGTCGGTTTTCACAAAGGATGCCTTAATTCCCTGTTCTCTATACGTATCGGCAAGCAGGGCAACCTTGTCCTTCAGCCCCGCAATAACGCAGGATGAAGGCGACGAGCTAATCGCAACAGTCAAATCTGACCGGCCTTTAAGATCCTGGCTGACATCGGTGGAAGACTTGTTAACGAGCGCCATCGCACCCTGGCCCATAAATTGACGGTATAGAACAGCCCGCCGAGTAACGACCAATGCCCCCTCCACAGGCGAGAGTGCGCCTGCGACAACGCTGGCAGCAATTTCACCGACGGAATGACCTATTATCGCATTTGGTAAGAGACCGTTCGATTTTAGAACAGCAGCGATGCCTATCTGCATGATATATGTTAGGATCTGAATCCTGTCGGTGCACTCGAAATCGCCATCACACAGCCACTGAATAGGCGACGAGTTTATCTCCCTCTGTACAATCTCGTCTAGTGGGCTAATTGCATTGCAGAATACCGAATTGCTGAGCATTTCTTTGCCCATGTCCATCCACTGAGCTCCATGCCCTGAGAATACCCAGACGACCTCCTTGCTAAGGTTGGTAGGCAAGCAGCGATTTTCGCACGCCCACTTGCCTGGGCTCCCTCCTTTGGACAAGGAATCAAGGGATCCAAGAGCTTCTGGAATACTCTTGATGACGGCCGAGAATCGGGTTTCGTGGTGGTCACGTCGAGTTGCTAGAGTAGTACAGATGCTCGCCAGATTCTCCTCTGTCCCATTCGCCGCAATCCAAGTTCGCAGAGATTTGGCGATTATGGGCAGTCGTTTCTTCTGCGGTGCGGAGATCATAAGGACCTTAATATCAGGCCCTCGAATATCCTGGTCATGAGTCTGAAATTCCTGATATTGTTCCAGTATAGCATGGGAGACTGTCCCGCCATAGCCATAGGAGCAAATGGCCGCCCGACGTGGCCCATCGCATTCCGGCCATGCTGTCTCCTTTTGGACAACTTTTAGGCCAGATTCCTCCCAGTCGATGCGATTATTTAAGGTGTTCAGGTTCGCCTGGGGAGGCAAGACCCCCTTCTGGACTGCAAGGACAGCTTTGATAACGCCCATAACACCGGCACCTGCTTCCAAATGTCCGATATTAGGTTTGATAGACCCAATATGGCAGGGGGCATCTCGACGTCCCCCATATACAGCACTCATGGCTGAGACCTCGGTGGGGTCACCCAACGGCGTTGACGTTGCGTGGGCTTCAATATACTGAATAGCACTAGGATCAAGATTGGCAACACGAAGCGCATTATCTGCAACGAGACTCTGTGCAGCTGCATTTGGTGCCATGATCCCATTCTTCTTTCCATCGTGGGCTACGGCGGTTCCCCGGATAACACCAAGGATATGATCGCCGTCCCTTACAGCCTGACCGTGATTTTTCAGAATCACAGCCCCTGCGCCCTCCCCACGCCCGTAGCCCTCTGCACCATCATCGAATGAGCGACAACGACCATCGGAGGCGAGGGCACCGGCTTTTTGGAGGACTATCGTTAGCCCCGGGCCATACAGGGCATTGACACCACCCACAATGGCGATGCTCGACTCGCGATTGAGAATTGCAGATACCCCGTTATGTACGGCAACAAGGGAAGAGGCACATGCGGCATCAACAGCGACGCTGGGCCCTTTCAAATCAAGGTGATAGGAGATCCGGTTTGGGACGCCGCAGTAGGCCGTTCCGATACCCATCCAGGCATCAATCGTGCCTAGATCCTCCAGGAGTAACTTGGAATAGTCGTCCGAGTTCACGCCCCAGAATACAGATGTGTCCGTTCCCCGCAGCGACTTTGCAGGAATACCAGCGTCTTGGAGGGCCTCGATAGCAACTTCGAGTGAGATCCGTTGCTGGGGATCCATCTGTTCAGCTTCCTTTGGTGAGATTCCAAAGAACTGACAGTCAAAATCATCAATCCCGTTGAGGAAATAGCCAAACTTTATGGTTTTGTCGAGTATTGCTTGATGTCGAGGGTTCCGTGTATAGTATGGCTTCCATCGAGAGGCAGGGACCTCGCCAACGCCGTCCTTCTGCGAGAGTAAAAGGTCCCAAACTTGCTGGGGATTGTTGACATTCCCAGCGACGCGGCAGGACATCCCGACCACTGCTACTCCATCGCATGTGTCCTTATGCTGGTCAGTATTTGGTACCCGGGGTCTGTAGATTAACGTACCACCGAGCTGTTATCTGTGGTATAGTTCGTAGTTGTAGTAGAACTACACGGAGATTGAGGTGTGTTCGACATGGTGACAATACGATACAGCAATATGGGATCAAATGCAATAATGGTAGTGACATAAAAATATATATATATATATGATTTCGTGTCAAAAACAGATAAATATATGGTGACTATAGAGCAAGGCATCAAGGCCACATAAGGGATACGCCGTATTGTACTGTACATACCTAGGGGATGAACGAGGCCATCGGGACATGCCCGATCCGATAGCAGATTTGCAAGCCAATATTGTGCAAGATGATGGAGCCATAACTGGCACGGGGTATCAGCTGGTCGGTGTTGCTGATCGAATCCAAAACCCGGAAATTGAATATCCTCCATTGCCGCGATGCACTATGGGAAGTGGAAGTGTTGAATCGGTGGTGTCCACTAGTAGAAACGTCGATGTCCTAAATAGGAAGGAGGTAGGGTTTCGTACTTTTGGTGATCCACAACGTCTTTAGTCCGATCTGCCCGTGCCAGACTATGATTTACCGCAGATCAGATCAAACGATTAAAATGAAAGAAGCAAATACTGTCCCCGTGCACAGTTCAACGAACCTAAAACCACAGCCCGGATTTGGAATCCGAAAGAAATGGCGTGGCTAGCTATTGCGTTTGTCGATCAGAGAGACCTGAATTTTGGGGATTCCGTCCTCTGAACTGGGTGCAGCTGCTGGGTCAATGGTACATTACACTATTGCCTTTGAGAAAGGTGAAATGATGTCTGTCTACATCCAAGGCACAGTCAAATCAGATATGATTTCACTTGCTCGGCGGCTATTGTGAGGCGACTTCTACTGTGGGGAACTATACATGATATTCCTAGATACTGGCCAGTTCGATTCGTCTGATTCAAACAAGATTGGCTGATACGCCTGGCACAATGGCCTCCAACTTCTCCATCAGCTCCCTCCAAACCTTCTGCTGGGCTTGATTCCCCTCCTCGCTTCGAACAAAGCCGGACAAAGCTCCACTATATTAATCGTCAATACGGATACCTATTATAGTTAGGGTTGGTGGGAGCAGCTCACTCGTCGATCTTGCAGTCATTCAGGTATTTGCCATGCGATTCCAAACCAAGGCTTGCTGCATGGACCAGGGTACGAGATCCCTGTTCGGCTGTTCTGGCAAGGGACAGCTTCATTATGTACAGCTGCCAGCCCCAGAAGCCCGTAATGCCATCAACAAGGTGGGTAAGACAATACCCAGGTGTCAGCCCATTGACAACGACCTTTGGGCTGGTGGCGGCGATCTTGTTTGCCAGTTCGCGCATACAAAGAACTTCAAGGAGCTTGGATGCGTAGTACCTGTTATCCCGCAGGATTAGCCCTCACAATCACGGTGGGTCAGGTTCACAAGTGCAGAGGATTACCGATCATCGGGGCCAGAGTCCGTTGCAGCGCGCAAGGTATCGAACGTATTGGGCGTCTTCCACTCAGGCAAGTTGGTCATCACATGCCGATCAGACGCCACGATAACCAGTCTGGGAGTAGGCCGTCCATCCTGCGCGGAGGCTCGAAGTTTCGGTAGCACGAGCAGCGCTAGGAGCATCGTGCTGACGACATTGACGGTAATTGTGCTCTCGTCTTTCTCGGCAATGTAAAAGTCTTGCGACATCTTTCCTGCATTGAGGATTGCCACATCGACGCGGGGCAGGGCAGACAAAGACGCAGCGAAGGCCTTGACCGACTCGTAGTTTTCCATGTCGAGTTGAAAGACATCAATTGGAGTGGTTCTGCCAGTGGACGCCTGGAGTTCCTCTTTGGCTGCCTGTCCCTTGGACAGATTCCGCACCCCAAGAATGATGTGGGATGCATTCAGGTTTAGCATGTAGCGTGCTGTTACCAGTCCCAGGCCGGCATTACCACCTGTAATGACCACGGTTTGGGCCGTGAAGTCGTGGTTTGGTACAGGGAGGCTGACAAACAGCTGGGAGTAGAGAAAAGCCGGGGCAGACATGATCAATGAATGTGAGAAAGAGTAAGCTGAAAAAACTTGCAAATTTCACTTCCAAGGCGGGAGAAGGCATTATTAATGCCATCTCGAGGTTCGCGCACGATCAACATGAGAAATCGAGATAACCAACAAGGTTTGGGTGTGATATGCAAATCTAGTGGCCCGTGTACGGGTGGAGCACACGAACTATCACCATCCCTTAGGGCCAAGGAGCCAACAATAAAAGCCAGTAGGGCCTCACTAATGGCGGGGTGCAATAAGTTTTCGAACCACTCCTTTACCCAACCGTGCAAGATGTACTCTGCTCTAGGGTATGCCGTCATCCTCGCCATCCTTGCTGTCTTGTTAGTTCGGCGCCAGTTCCCAGGCCTGCGGGCACCAAATCTGCCCCCTGGTAGGACCCATTCTTTCCACACCATATCCAACGCAGGCTGACTGTATGAAGGGCCTCCATGCCTTCCTATTATTGGAAACCTTCACCAGATACCCCAAACCGGGGCTCATTTCAAGTACCTGCACACCATACTGTATATATATGCACTAAAACTAACACTGGGCTACAGGTTCACAGAATGGGCTGCGATTTATGGTTCGATATTCTCGCTCAAGATGGGACCACAAACTGCTATAGTCCTCAACTCTCCGTATATGATCAAGCAACTCATTGACAAACAGTCAGCCGTGTACAGCAACCGACCCAGGTCATACATTGCAGACAGTCTAGTCTTCCACAACGATCATCTGATGTTTCTGAATCCCGACACTAGATGGCGACGAGGACGACGCCTCTACCATAAATTCTTCAACGAAACGCTCTGCGAAAGCAGCCATCATCACCTTCAAAACGCCGAGGCAGCACAGCTCCTCAGGGATATCTGTCAGAGTCCAGACAATTTCATGAACCATATCAAACGGTTTACGAACAGCATCATAATGAGTCTGGTCACTGGTATCAGAACGCCAACTGCATCGGCAACTCACATGAAGAGCCTCTATGCCGTGCTGGACGGTATATCTGAAATATTCGAGATGGGAGCAACTCCGCCAGTCGACATCTTCCCTTTTCTGAAGTGGATACCTGAGAAGGTCTTCAATAACTGGAAGTCTCGCTCTGCCGCTCTTGCTCAGACCATGGACTCCGTATACGGCCCTCTGGTTGACCGAGTCCTATCACGCCGGGAGAAAGCAGGGTCACTAAACAAGGGAAGCTACCTGGATATGATCTTTGACCAGCAGGATACGCTGCAATTAACTCGTCATGAAATTGACCTTATGCTCGGAAATCTGCTAGAGGGCGGGTCTGATACGACGGCTATAACTACGATAGCATTTATTCAAGCTATGGCCCTATATCCAGAGGTGCAAAGAGAGGCACATGCAGTTATTGACTCAGTCATTGACCACAAGAGAACTCCGACGTGGGAGGACTTTTCCAGCCTTCCTTATGTTGTCATGGTTGTTAAGGAGACAATGCGCTGGCGGCCTGTGATGCCAACCGCCTTTCCACACGCAACAAGCAAAGGTAGCTTTCTCTGCCTTTCAGACATTTATTACAAACTTGCTAATATAATTGGACAGTGAGCACCATCGATGGAATGACCATCCCCGCAAGATCAGCCGTTATCATGAACGTCTGGAACCTTCACAACGACAGCGCCTACCATGACAACCCCACCCATTTCAACCCCCATCGATACAAAGATTGCACAGATCTTGCGGCCGTATATGCATCCTCCCCTGACTACCAAAACCGCGACCATTATGGCTACGGCTCTGGGCGTCGTATCTGCCCTGGCATCCACTTGGCTGAACGTGGTCTTTTCGTGGCATTTGCAAAGCTGCTATGGGCATTTCATATTACGCCCAAAGTAGATAATACGGGAAGCACTGTGCCGATTAATTGTGATCCCATCACTGGGTATACCGATGGGTTTCTGCGGTGTGCTAGGCCTTTTGCAGTTGATATCAAGCCTCGTTCGGAAGAGAGACAAAGAACTATCCTGGCGGAGTTTGAGCGCGCGGAGCAGGAGGTGTTTAGCAAATATGATATTTAAAGTATAGGATATGAGATATACAACCTTTTTAAGCCATTAGTAATAGGACCGTTGTTGGAGATGGTACTGAATTTGAAATAACTGTACATATCCAGGTTTCGACCAGCTTTCTCTTGTTCAACTCTCTTTGATACGCCTCATAGGAAACGCTAGATTTACTTTAACGTTGAAAATACATTTGTAAGAGTGAGTAAGTGTGATTTCTAATGCTTCGTCTGACTGGCAGTAGCAGGATATCCTCATTTGTTCATGGTCGCTTGGGCTTGCCAGTTTAGGGTTCAATCTATAGATTTGATCGGATCACGCAGCAGCGGGTCAGTTCCTACGATGATCAGATGAGACGCGAACAAAGAAAAAAAAATCAATATGCGACTATTTTACTAGTTTCGTAACCACCTCGGAACTACAAAGACAGGCCGCGATTACGTTTGGCAAGTGATAGGCCGCTAAAAACTTGGCTGTGGGCCATGATATCACAAGGTTTATACTATACATAGCCTCCACTACCTTGCACGTAATGATATCTTTCAGCTGCGCCCCTCGATCGTAGGTTCTTGATATGGGTATTCCAAATCCGATTTGCAGAGTGTCGGATGGGACTGCCAACTGGATGTATTGATCTGCGTTTCCTGGGCCTGTCTTGCACGGCTGCAGTACACCCACCCAATTTTTGGGTACGCGGGTCGATTAGATCGATGCCTGCAAGATGGAGCTGCAATATCTAGCATCTCTAACCGGCCGTAACGGGTTACAGTACAGGACAGAGGGTGTATGTGCTCGTTATTTATCGCAGGTATTCACGGCATCCCCCGTTCCGATATTGTCCATGTCCCATTCATCCAGAGTTCCAGGCATAGTATTACACCTCTTTTTATTGATCAGTCTTCGAATACCATAATGGCGACAGTAGGAAGTCCTCCCATTGGCAAAAGGCTCATGGCCCAGGTCATTGATGGTCTGTCAGAGGCAGACCCAGAGCGTAAGGTGTGCGCTATGCCAAAGAGCCCTGGCACACCTGACGACTATGTGGATTTGCGCGTGTGCAAACTTGCCCAGGCAGTCAATTACACAGCCTGGTGGATTGAGAAGCAGTTTGGAAAAGGGAGCTCGTTTAACGAGACCATTGCTTATATTGGGGGGAACGACGTGAGGTATCTGGTGATGGTGGTCGCGTGTAACAAGACTGGCTATAAGGTATGTACATGTTACACAACCCTGCAGAAGAGCATAGTGGCTAAGAGCATCCGCTTCCTAGCCCCTGCTCTCGTCGACTCGGAATTCCCACGCCGCACACGTTCGTCTCTTTGAAATGACGGGCTGCGCCAAGCTTTGCTATAGCTCTGAGAAGAAGCAAAACGCGGACGAGATTTGTGCCGTTGCGTCTCATGTTGCCAGCGTGGAAATACCTTCATTTACCGATATGATAGCACAGGAAGTCAGTTTGTATCCATTCACGGGCACAATCGAGGAGGTCAAGGATAAAGTGGCATTTATAGCCCATAGTTCTGGGACGACAGGTAAGAATATTTAGCATTGTGTGCTTTAAATGTTGGTATCTGACTCGGTCTCATTATAGGCTTCCCCAAGCCGATTCAGCTTACATTTGGGTATTTTGGAGCGTTGGACCATGGAGCCTATGTCCCTATCCCACCAGGCCGCGTTGCTGGCGTCCCAGACCGGCTCAAACCAAACGATCTCATCCTTTCAACGACCCCGTTCTTCCATCTAATGGGGTTCTCACTTCTCATTATGGCTGTATTCCATGGAATCCCCTGTGTGATGCTCCCGGATAAACCACTATCAACAGACCTAGTGACAAGGGTCCTGACGACCACCAAGCCAACAGCAGCTCTCTTTCCTCCATGTATATTGGAAGATCTCTGTGCAGTCCCAGAATCACGCAAGGCCCTTTCCCAACTGAACCGTGTCTATTTCGGAGGTGGTCCACTCTCCCCAGAGGTCGGCCGGCAGGTCAGCGAGATCACGCAGCTCGTCAGTTTCTTGGGAATGACAGAGGGTGGCTTCGTGCTGTCCCTTCGGCCGGAGCAGAACGAGGACTGGTCCTACTTCGAGTGGAGCTCGACCTTTGGTATAAAGATGGAGCTTGTCGAGGGCGGGCTGCATGAGATGGTCATCCACAGAACCGAGACCCCTGAGTGGCAGCCTATCTTCCATACATTCCCTGAGCTGGACTGCTACCACACAAAAGACTTATACTTGGCACATCCGGAAAGACCGAACCTGTGGAGGTTTCACGGCCGGCTGGATGATGTGATTGTGCTCAACAACGGGGAGAAGTTCAACCCAGTCACGATGGAGAAGATCATTGAAGGCCATCCGTTGGTGGCTAGGGCTGTCGTCGTGGGACTTGGAAGATTCCAGACTGCCCTGCTAGTTGAGCCAAACTGGAGACAAGTTGATTCGGAGGCGTATTCAGAGGCTGAATTCATCGACATCATCTGGCCGACAGTGCAAGAGGGGAATCACATCAGCCCGGCACATGGCCACGTCCTCAAGAACAAAATCGCCCTGGCGTCTCAAGAAAAGCCATTTGCTACAACTCCCAAAGGAAGTACGCAGCGAAGGCTTGTAGCGGACAGCTATAAGGAGGAAATCGATGCTCTCTACGCACGGTCTGATGTAGAAGACCTTCCATTCGTCCTTCCGCCGTCGCCCACCATGCAAGATATCGTTTCGTTTGTGCGAAGCCTCGTAATGCATATCTCAGGTGTCAGCTCCTGCGAGGATGATGACGATCTCTACAATGCTGGACTTGACTCCCTGCGCACCATCCAGCTGGCATCCGCTCTGAAGGCCATTGGGCTCCAGGATATCACTCCCCAAATGGTCTACGTGCATCCCAGCATTGGCAAGCTTGCTACTCTCATTTATGGCCTGCTCTATGGGGCCGGGAACGGAGAGACTTTGTCGAGACGTGAAAGAATAGATGGGCTAGTCGCAGAGTACACAGGAAGCCTTCCTCAGCAAGATCACGTCCAGAACATATGCCGTGACACAGACACACTCACGGTGATATTGACCGGATCTACTGGATCACTGGGCAGCTACCTGCTCGACTCTCTGCGCTCAGATCCATCCATCGGCAAGATATACTGCCTAACACGCGACGGCAACCCCGAGACACAAGCCCAAGCCCTACAAAATCGGGGCCTGGACCGAGCCATTCCTAACAAGGTTGAACTCGTCCGGACATCCCTAGGCGAGCACCACCTCGGTATCGAAGATACAAAATATCAGGAGATGCTACAGTCAGTAGACACAATCATCCACAACGCCTGGCGAATGGACTTCAACATCCCCGTCGAGTCATTCGAGCCAGTCCATATCCGCGCAGTGCACAGCCTGGTCGAATTCTGTGCCCAGAGCGCCCACCGAGCGCACCTCCATTTCCTATCCTCCATTGGCGCTGTTGGAGGATGGTCCACATCTGCACTGACAACTGAGTCTGAAGGTTCTATTCCCGAACTCCCATTTGACGACTGCGATGTGACTCTCCGTCAGGGATATAGCGAGGCAAAGCATATCTGTGAGCGTATCTGTCTGGCTGCGTCTGAGAAGTCCGGGGTCCCGACGAGCGTCCATCGTGTAGGACAGATCGCGGGCTCGTCTGGTGGGAGTGGATATTGGAATAGGAGTGAATGGCTCCCTGCTCTTATTGCTACGTCCAAGTATATTGGAAAGGTTCCATCCAGCTTGGGGGCTTTTGCGGTTGATTGGGTTCCTGTGGTGAGTTATTGCTGCTGGTATATACGGATGGATACTAATGATGCCTAGGATTTACTCGCGAAGATGATCGTGGACATCGTCCATTCCCGCAGTAAGAAAGAGAATGAATCTCCATTTGGCGTCTTCCATCTAGTAAATCCCACCTCCACATCGTGGGAAAGTCTCCTCCCGGCAATTCACGCCATGTATAGCCATGAAAACGGATTAGAGACAGTGAGCATGGAGTCTTGGGTGCAGGAACTGCATCAGATCAAGTATCCCAGTGCAGAAGACCTTGACAGCAAGCCAGCACTAAAGCTAATGCCATTCTATGAGAGTCTCGTTGCAGGCGGAGGTCTGGCCGCACTTTCTGTGTCCCTTGATGTGAGAAATACAAATGCTGCCAGCGCCACCATGAGAGCCCTTCCTCAAATCTCGCCAGATATGATGGCCACTTGGCTCAATCAATGGGGATTCTAATATGGCCAGGAGCTGAAGCTCCAAGGGAATTGCTGTTGTATCTAGATAATTGGCGGCCAATATCATCGCTGCCTCACATTTAACTAGGACAGAATGGCATTGATGAAGCTGGAAGACTCGAACTAGAGCATTTCAATATTTTATTAGACTTGGCAATTTTACGTAGTGAGCAGATACCAAGTCCTGAATTGCTGATGGCCTCCTCTCAACATCCCATGAAGCTCGTGCCACTAATACTTTTCGCCGCCTCCTCACTCAAGCAATATTACAATAATCCTGCCCGTAATACATTACAAAACGCGATCTAGTATAAGCTGAGCTCCACATTTGCGGTGCTCGATCTGATCACGCAGCGTGCAGGATGCAGCGCTAATGCAGTTCATGCGACTAACGCCAATAGTTTACAGTTCGCATCAGGCGGAACGCGGAAAGCCAAGGTCAAGACAGTACGTAGCTGGAAGCTTTACCTGTTTGCTGTCATTTATGCCTTGGACTGATCCCATGTTTTCCTGCTACTCACTCTCGCATCCAGCTCAGCTTCCGCTATGACGAATTTCATATCACAGCTTCTTCCTAGTACCACCTGTGGGATGCTGGGTCGCTGGCTCTCAAGGGGTCGTTTCTTCCAGTTCCCAGAGCAGAGACCCGGTTATGTTCTTCCCGAATGCTATTCATCAATGGCTGTATCCCGGGAGTCGGTACAGCAAGAGATATCCAGCAAGAGCGAGAATTGCACAGTCGACCCTGAGATGGCTAGCAGGACGATGCTTGTAACATGGTATGATGCTACGGACCCGGCGAATCCACACTGCTGGCCGCGGTGGATCAAGTTCATGGTCTATTTCCAAATCAACTTTTACACTCTCGTCGTCTACATGGCCTCCTCAATTTTCTCTGCGGCTCAGTCACAGTTCGAGACCATATACGGACTATCAAAAGCACAGGGATCCCTTGGTCTAGGGCTTGTTCTTCTAGGGTATGGACTCGGGGCTCTCCTGCTAAGTCCGCTCTCTGAAATTCCCACTATCGGTCGAAATCCGCCGTATACCATATCTCTAGCACTCTTCGTGCTGGTCAGCGGCCTTGCAGTGAGAGTTGATAGTGCTGCCGGATTCCTGGTATTGCGGTTCCTTCAAGGCTTCTTTGGCTCGCCATGTCTGGCTACTGGTGCTGCTTCACTGACGGATATCACCGACATCATCAATATCCCCTATGGGATTTGGATCTGGGGCACATTTGCTGTTGCTGCGCCTGCGGTGGCGCCTAGTATAGCCGGATTCAGTATCACTGCGCACGACTGGCGGTGGTCCATGTGGGTGGTCCTTTGGGGTGCAGCGCCGTGTCTTATATTCTTGGTATGGCCCCTTTGATTTGTTTTCTTCATGGTCTGATCATTTTCCTTTCAGTTGTTCCTCCCCGAGACATTCGGCCCTGCAATTTTACACGCGCGGGCTGCACGCCTTCGAGCCCTCACTGGAGATGATTCCTTCAGGGCCCCCTCCGAGATGGAGAGCAGCAGATACTCTCCACAGGCCATCGTCAATAAAGCGCTGGTCATTCCATGGAAAATCAATGCCCTGGATCCAGCTATCCTGTTCACAACCGTGTATACTGCCCTCGTCTATGCCATCTTCTACTCCTTTTTCGAGGTCTTCCAGCTCGTCTACCAAAAGATATACCACATGGATGTCGCGCACATGGGCCTCGTCTTCCTCGCCGCAGTCGTAGCAGCCCTCCTCATTATGCCATTCTATGTCCTCTTCATCCACTACGCCATCGCCCAACCTATCCGGACCAGTAACACCTCCCCACCACCAGAACGCCGCCTCATACCCGCCCTCGTCATCGCCCCCTTCGTCCCAGCAGGAATGTACCTCTTCGCCTGGACCTCACGATCCGACATCCACTGGACCGTCCCCACAGTGGGATTTATCCTCATCATGGCCGGCGTGATTACACTGATGCAGTGTATGTTCGGGTACATGGCCGTAGCATACCCGCATTACTCGGCCAGCCTGTTTGCCATGAATGACTTTGCGCGCTCGACTCTCGCGTTTGCGGCTGTGTTGTGGTCTGGGCCGCTTTATGCGCATTTGGGGGTTGAGGGCGGGACGAGTCTTATTGGGGCTTTGACTGTGCCGTGTGTGCTGGGGATTTGGGTGTTGTATTTTTGGGGGGAGAGATTGAGGAAAAGGAGTCGGTTTGCGGGGTGATGGATTATATATATACTCCAGTATGCAAAGTGGCTAAGGAGCTATTTGGCGAGTTAGGACATATATGTAGGTGCCTGAAGTAGACTACCGGTGGCAGAGAATAAGGAATATATTTATCCTTTATACCTGCTTCAGGCTCACCAACAGCAGTATACATATGTAAACCGAAAGAAAATGCTTCCACGGTGAGATGCTCCTTGTTCCGTGACTCGCATTCTCTACATATAGATCACGACCAAAGCTCGAATTCAGAGTAACTCGCCCATTGACCGTCCCATCCTCTAATCGTATCCACGTCTCAACGGGATTTTCACTCACGTTATGATGTAGGAGTATCTGACGCCCACCTCGAGCCCAGTCCCCATATCCTCCATATCCTGTGCGCCGGCCAAAACACATAATGAGTCCGTTGCCTTCGAGGTCCATATCAGGCAACCTCTCGTTCCAATTAAAACACCTAACTCAATCGTTAACGATAGCCCATTAGAAAAATGTAAATAATGTGTTGTCTACCAATTATTCCCATGGTCATGGCCACTAAACGTCGCAATCAATCCTTCTGTCGCTAGTAATGCCTGCATGAATGGAATATCTCGCCCCGTGTAATCCTCACCATCCCATAGATACCCCTGTTGTTTAACCGGTACGTCGTCATTAATCCCTGGCTCAGTGCTACAGTTCAGACCAGTATCCTGGAATGCCCTTGCTGCATATGTAGGTATATGGAAGAAGGCCAATGATGGTACTGCCCTCCCATATCTGTTCGTGATCTCTGAATGCGTCTCGTTGAACCATTCAATTACCTGCAAGGTCAACATCCACAAAGCATAAGGTTTTACAGTAATGACTTACCGACTGGTCAACCCAATCCGGCCTTCTGCCAGATCCATCTGAGTCCGGACACGAAGTTCCACCCCTGGTATCAAAAAACCACAAAATCACCTCTGGGACTTCCAGGGACTCGTTATGCGGAAACACAAGCAGGAAATAATTCGTATATCCAGCTGTAGAGTTAGGAACCATGCTCTGCGTCAGGCTATCCTGATTTCCCGTTTCCCTCTGGAAGACATCCTGCGGACATAGGCTGGTCGCACTCTCATGATTCCCATACGTAGAAGCCCAGGGCACATCATGCTCAATAAATGGCGCCACAATACGGTCAACGTATGAACTAGAGTTAGACCGGTTGATTGCTTCGCCGGTGATCAGATCCCCATTCAGCACGACGAGTTGTGGGTTTTCGATATTGAGGATCGAGGCCATGACGTTGCTTGTGCGGGCGTCGTTCTCAGGCCCGATTGAATATTGCGCTGCTGCTGTTAGAAGAGCCTATATATGAGATGTGCAGGCTAACATTCTCCATAGTGCAGGTCTGAAAAGATTGAGATCTTGAATGCACCGTCTGCAGTGAACCTCAGTGTTTGGGTACTGTTGGCCATGGTGCGTATAATTATAAAGGGATTGTTCTACAATCCGACCGGTTCGATTAATTTTATTTCTGGAAGAAAGAAATGTCTGAACAGCTGATGAATCAGTGATTACATCACAACGACTTGGCTTTCTATATTTGTCGGTCCCAAGGCTCGTCCTGATAGAGTTGTGGTTAGCCGAGACAAACCAAGACTTGGTGGAAGTACCACCAGATGGAGCCATAAAATAAAACAAATACCAAAAAGTAGCCTCATAACATCAAAATGATTCTTAAAGTAAGATTGCTGTCCAGATATGACCTGGTTAACAACTAGATGCCCTGCATCACCAACCCATACCAACACTCAACACTGTCCGACAGCCCGCAGCCCAATACCATGGGTTGGAGGATCACGCTGGGACTGGACAATGTGAATAGCCTCTTCCCCGATAATCCCTTTCGCAACGAGGTGGCGGATAAACTCCATAGTCCACTCCTGGCATCTCTTGCTGGTTGTCTAGAGAGACTACATAAGCAGACGACCAATAGTTCATACAAGGACTCTCACATCATTAACGGGTGCCAAGGGCTGACAATGCCTGGTAACAGAGTTTGCCCTGGCCACTAAATCAGAGTCTAATCGTTGGTTCTGTACCGTATGCTTCGGGATACCAGTGGGACGGTAGCCTATGCTTCTGGTAGAGTGTAACAAGTCGATAATTCAAGGCAAGGACGGAGTTAATAAGCTGCACAATATCAAGTAATATAATTCTAGTTGCCTGAAAGGTTAAACTTCCACCTCCGCGCTTTCTCACCAATATTGCTCGTCCTCCTTGACAGCTGGACACCCCATTTCCCATGCTGACATACGCTCCACTCAACATAGTAGTAGGAAACAATTAAGACTACAGCGTCACTCCAACCCCAGATCATAAGCTTATTCATGGACCCACGAGAGATTCTGCTGCTGCAGTGCCTCAACACTACCCGGATCGTCCGTCCCCGGAAGAGTGTCCGTCACCGGGTCCCCCATCTGCGCGAGAACATACGCCAGACCCCTGTAGCTCTCTCGCGACGCCATTCCCTCACCAACGGCATCGTTAACGTCGTCCCTAAGCTCCGCTGGAAAGGCCGGGGTGATTGCGTCCTGGACGTAGATGACCTGCATACTCAACATCTTCCAGCCCCTCCTCGCTTCCTCGCCCGTGCGTTCCAGCCGCGACAGAAACCGGCATTGCGAAACAAGATCGTAGTCTACGCCGTCCTGGGAGAATCGGGAGATAATGCTGCCAAGTGATACAGAAAACGCCTTATCCCCGTTGAGCGTGATCTGGACGGGGTTTATTGTATGGATAGAGCTGGTTCCCTGCCCCGCCATACTGCTGGACCTTTCCAAAAAGCCGTCGATGTCGCCGTGGTACCTGGACATATTGTTAGATTGGGAGCAGGCTTTAAGTTTGAGATGGTAGACTCGCCTGATAATGTCGATGAATGTTTTCGATGGGTCTGGATGGTAGCAGCGCCGGAGGGCTTCGAACTGGTCGGTGTCGCGGCAGTATCTCTCCTCTACGACCAGGGCCCTGATGGCCATCTCATCAAGGAGGCTGTCAGACATCGTTGCCGAATAGCTGATCGACGTGCTTTGGATGTAGTGGAAAGAAGTTATGAGATGGAGGTGGCAACTTCCCCACTTTACATGGACTCAACGTGTAAAGTGCGGGGAAACCAACATACGGACGAAAGGAAACGAGAGGGTGGACGCGTCCCATCTAAAGGGTTTACTGTAATCGCCAGACGTTATACATATGGCAACCAGAGAGGCATTAGGGTCTGGGGGATACGTGATCGAGAACAGCCGTAGAGTACACCAATATTTATTTAGAAACAGTTTCATCCATCCATATATACCAATCTATCCGATAAGGCCATAACAGCCCGTTTCATATACACATCCACATCTCAATAGATGGTGCGCTACCACCCAAAAGCCTCCTCAAAATACTCAACATCGTACCTCGTGTCCTTGAGGACTTTATGCACAGCAGCCCTAGTCACATCTGCCAGCGCCGCCGGCCCAGAAGCAAACACCGCTGTACGCCCAGGGCAAGGATCTGCCGCTGCAATATTTTCAATGTTCTGCCGGATTAGGGCTGGGATGTCGGGGCGACCGGTGTTTATCTTGACCAGTCTATCCTGGCTCTCAGCGTTTACGCTGGCGCTTGAACTTGAACTTGAACTTGAACTTGAGCTTGAACTCTCCGGTCCTTGTACTGGGCCTGCTGTGGCAAAGTATTCAGCAGTAAACATCCCAGAACCAGCGGTAAGAGCTCCAAGCTCCGTTGCAAAAACCCGGTTTATAAACGCCTCCTCCTTCGCGGGCCAAATCAGATGCACGGATCTCGTCCGCAGAGTCTTATCGCTCTTTGATGTTCTTGAGAAGTGGTCCCGGATATACGGCATCGTAGCAGTAATTCCAGTTCCCCCGGCGACTAATATTACGTGTTCGTATCTGTATAGCGGCGACGGACCGCCATAGGGTCCTTCAACAAGCAGCGTTAGGTCCATTGGGGACGGGGAAGTGGATTTGAGGCATTGGTTCTTCAATCGCGATGTCCAGCCTGAAAATGGGCGGATGTAGAAGGTGAATTTGTTACCGTTATGCCTGACCTCGTTTGACTGGGAGCTGTAGGTGTCGGATGAAGTGTTCGTGCTGGTTTGGGGCTTCTCAGAGTTTCCATCTTGGACTACATCCGGTGTAACTGTGCTGCCATCGGACCAGGCTGCCAGACTAAACGCGTGGTTCTCATATCCCTTCCACCGGAGCGGTTCGTACAGGTAGTAATGCTGTCCCGGTCTAGGCCTGAGAGAGCCAGAGCCAGGGAAGACATCGAGTTTGATAACGTTTGCGTCCTTGAGGTAGACCGCTGTTGATTTTGTTGACTGGCGTTTCCCGTTTGGAGGGAAGGGCAGATTGCAGTATGCGAGGCGGAGGAGGCGGAATGTTCGCTCGAAGCCCCATATTGCAACGATGGACCAGATGAAGGGGTTGTATTTTCCTTCGAAGATGCTGAGGTGGCTGCGCTTTCTGTTAACACCGTTGGCACTGCTAACACTGGTAAGGTAGGCTGGACACATACTAGTAGAGGCCTACTACGGCGACGACTGCGAGGAGGATGTGCAAGAGGAGCCAAAAATCGTAAATCTTCTGACGGACTATGGAGGAGGATAGACCGACCATGACAGACATGGTTGTAAGAGCCTTTTATGTTAGTGATTACACATTGATCAAGATGGTTGACTTACAAGAATACCGCACCGGAACCAGTACTCGACAAGTGTGGTTTTATAAAATTGAACTGAGCAAGTTAGCTTAGCCGGCAATTAGGTAAATTGACGTACGCTCGACACAGTATCTGGTATATACGGACGCGTGGATAATAGCTAGGACCATGGTGATACGGCCAATGGTGCGATGGTAGAGGTTCAACGTCCCAAACCTCCAGCCTGTAGCCCAAAGGATAATATTATTTCGTCCGGAGAAGGCCCATAGAATAGGAAGACTGCCAGTTGCCATGATCCCCGTTCTGTCCGCGACGTGGCGCTGGATCTGGTGCGGTTTTGTGTCGAAGCTGTTCAGTTAGTCGTGCGTCCGGACTATATTATTTTACGAGTGGAACCCACTAGAGACTCTTGTAGTATATGTAATAGTCCATGGCGCAAAGAAGAATAATCAGGATGCAGTAAAGCACAACCACAATTGTTTCCATGCGGGTTGAGATCTGGCGATGCCACACCCATCCGAGCTTGCGGCAGCCAGAGTCGAATTCAGACGGGAGCAGAAAGTGTGTGTTGATCCATCGATGGACTTTGCTGGTGATTCGAGCTGGCAGGCTGAGAGAGGTTTTCTGCTCTCCTTCAACGTCGTGGTCTACTTCGTATTGCTGGCTCAGGAGGAAGGCGTTGAATACGCGGTGGGCTATGCCGAAGAAGACAATCGCGACCCAGAAGACATATGGCATGAACCTATTCAGTCAGACGATGTACAGAAAAAGAGGGTCGTACTGACGAGTAGAAGTGATGAGCTTCTGTTGCGATGTCCCAGCTTTCCTAGTCCAGTCAGATAGCATTCTTATATAAGGTGTGCACTTACCAGAGTCCTGTAGCCCTGGGTAAAGAATTCCTCGGAAAGCAGTGCTGGCTTCTCCAGGAGACCTGCCGCCCCCTCTGCCATGTTATGAATAACCTTCAAGCCCTGGATATACTCCTTTGTAAACGTTGTGGCAACATCAGAGTAGCGCATAAGAGAGACGCCGTAGTCCTCCTGACATTCTTTATTCTTCGCCTCATAGTATGCAGCTATATCGCTTTCAGTGCAGTACTGGTAGGCAGTAGCATAGAGCGAGGTAATCTTCAACTCGCTGGAGCACTGGTTGGCGAGCTTATCAGCAGAGTCCGTCGAGAAGACAACATAGTCCAGCGACGCCGCAGCACCGGCTAGACAGAGTTGGTCCTTGGGTGTCTCCGCTTTCGCTTTCTCTGCTCTCGCGGCCCCAAGGAGGGCGAAAAGGACAAACGAAGGAAGCAGCATTGCTGCAATGCGAGAATGGGGATGTGGCGAAATGTTTTCTTTCGAGAAGACGCCCTGTCATGGGCGAATCAAAGGGTTTAGTATATAATTGTGCTACATCCCACGGAGCTTCGGATACCGCAGAATCAGATTGACATTCAGGAAAGATCGAATGCAGATCCGGGGCATTGTCGGTCTTGAACGACTGGGTAATAATTGGGCTTGACTGGCCTTTCTCAGGAACGGTCCATTCTGTAGGGCGGTTTCATGCATCTAATCAATCTCATAAGAACCTATATCAAGTGCTCATCTTGCCCTATTCGACCTCGCTCCGAGATACGATACCGGCGAACAGGGATTCTGATACGCCCAAACCCTGCTCACAGATCGGCAGTATTAAACAATGGAGTCATTGGTGATTCCGTGAATAAGACTATCCCCAGCAAGGACAAGGTAGACGGCAATTGACCGGACTAGAGCGTAGAAACGGCGACTACATCGTGTATACCCCGTGGGGGTTACCTGTCTACAGACTTTGTTGTGTATTCCGACCCCACATTCGTGCATATGGATGACGTATATCGTCTGGAAGGGTTCCTAGAGGTTGAAAGACTAAGGCCAAGCAGTACTGGAGTATCTTCGTGAATCTCATAAGGCGCCATGCAGCTTAATAATCGGACTCGGAAAGTGCATTTCCTTGTTCATTACTTGGGTTGTTTTGATTGGTCGAGACCGGGAGGATTCTTTGTAATCGAAGACTGAAAGAGTCGGGCTGAATATCTTATCTGATCCTGAAGACTACAACAAAACTAAGACTGACACTGGGGTCCAGCATCTTGAAGTAACAGACCGCTCGGTCAGCATCGGTCAGCAGTCAGCAGAGCAGTATCCCTGTCTCTGTCGGGTCAGGGCAGACTGGCCAGCCCACCGTGAAATCTCCGGAGAACGTCCGATCCCTGAGCATTGCCGGATCAGGCAGTGCATTCCATTGGTAACAATGTCTCAGATTGTCTCTGCCGGAAGCTTATAAATATCTCGGCACCGGCTCAAAACAGACAGGATTGCCATGAAACCTGGAAACTCAAGAGAAATAAGAGTGAAGATCTGCAGACGACATCTGCCCAGCCTTGGCTGACGAAAATTCTTTCTGTGCCGTCTCGCCCCACAACGCATTCCTTTTCTTTTCTCTCCTGGGCAGGGATAGTTGGGTGGTGAGTCCGGGGTTCTGATGACACCAGCAGATTTGGGCAACCGTGGCACCAGATTTGTTATGATTGATGCCGTGAAGAACAGTGGTTGTTAAATTGGAACTGAACAATTAAACTACCCTTTATAGTGCACATTTTTGATTGTAGTGGCTGAGGTATCACTGGAAATACGCATCTCAGCGCAGATACACTTGATTTTCAGTCTGTCTATATCCAACATACCTATAACTTTATCTTTATTCCACAATTAAAGGAAACTACAACTTGATCCTAATACCAGATGTTAACCACTATTTATTATTATATTTACCTATATACATGTTTATATATATACTATGAAAAACCCGTCGGCGCCTGCTCGGTCAACCAAAACTCATCCGAATCCCTCCGATGCACCATGGCAACCAACATGCCGAGCACTGCAAACTCCAGCTTCAACTTGACGCTATAAACAGTCGCCTTGAGAATGACATGGGTATAATAGTAGTTCAAATACTGCAGAATCACCAGCACCAGGTCCAGCCCGATTATAACCATATTGATAACCAGCAGCTGGAAGAGGATTTTATGTCGTCGCTTGTCGTCGCTGGGCACGAGTCGGATTAGTTGTGTTGTGTAGTAGATGTACACGCCCGATATGAAACACTCCTGGATGGTGAACCAGGTTATCTGGAACCGCTCCATGATGAAGTAAGCGCGCACCCACGGCTGTGAATGGGGGAGGTAACTCGACCCGACATTAAGGATGATAGTCGGGACACAGATGAGCATGAGGCAGCCGAAGATCAGCCAGAGCACGATCTGGAGGATGAGTTTACTGGGTGAAATCAGGTGCAGGCGCGAGTATAGCACGACCGACTGGTTCGGGACCATGAGGATGAAGCCGAGATTCTGCAGGAGCATGCTGAGCCAGAGCGGCCGGCGGCCGAAGAACTGCAGGACGCCGCCGATGGAGGCCGGGATGACGCCGAGGATGGCGGAGGTCATCATGGACCAGAAGTAGAGGCTGCGGTAGCGGCGGAAGGAGGAAGGGAGGTAGATGGAGAGCTCGATGGCGTTGTAGACGGCGATGGCGGAGAAGACGACGATGGCGATGTCCAGGGCGTCGTTGACGTCGTGGTCGCCCACTTCTTCAGGCGAGGTGGTGCCGGACATGCTGGACGGGCAGCGGCCGGTCCGAGCGATGCATTTTCTGCTGGATAGGAATAGAGGGGATGAGATTTAAGAGATGAAGGGATGAAGGATGAAAAGGAGAAGGGAAGAAGGAGAGGGAGGTTAAGCTTCAACTACCCCAGATATGGCACCGCAAGCTGGGCGGATTAGCCCAATAAGAACCCATCAATTGGGCAGGACAGCCCAATAAAAAAGCACCAGTTGAGGCATTTCATTTGGCCAAGGATGCGAAATGAGTGGCGAAGTTACGCATGTGGCCCCCAGTTACGTCCATCTGGTTGGCAGGACTGAACTCTATGCTGCCCATCCACGGATCCTGACCGAGTTCAACGTTTGTCCCCAGCACAGAGTTCGGGTCGAATCGCGTGGCTGGCGGCCAGTGACATCTTTCTCCGCATAGGACGGACTCGCATTCTTTCCCCAGATTGGGCGATGGGGCGATGTCCAGCTCTTGGTTGGCAGCTGGAACTCATTTCCGACGCTGCTTATGTAAGATCGCAGTGTACAACTTACATTATAATATACGAAAGACTTGGGATTATCGGTGGGACGTAGGTATATAATTGTCTGGATAGACTATTAAATTCAAAGAAATAGGCTATAACATGTTATATATATACATCACCAGTCGTATTCTACTTCCCCTCTAACGCTACTGTTTCGATCTGCGGAGGTGGCAACCAAGTGGAACCGTGGACATGGAGCCTCTGTCTAAGGTTGATACAATTCCGGGGAACGAGCAGGCGATTGAACGTGGGTTTCGATAACTTCCAGAAGGAATAGAGGTCTGGTCCAGCTATGTGCATTCGGCTGGTTGGTGTTCAGCTACTGATCTCGCCTAGCTACAGTCAAATTTAGATAAATAGATATGATATCGTTTCCGCACAGCTATGAATGAGATTTCAGTCAATCTACGTGGCAGGACAGTGCTGAAACCGCGACAGTCCAACTACAGTAAAACCCGGCTATACCGAAGTCGGATATAGCGAGATCCTCCTTTTAGCGAGATAACCACCATGTCAAAATTAAAATCTCACCTATCTCTTTATACCGATAATTCGTATGATTGTTCCTTTTCGCCATATAAATCTTGTTATAACCAAATATTTTTCTCTGAATTTGAAGCCTTTTATGGCCTAAAATCTTTATGTAAAGGCCCATCGCGTGGCTATTTTACTTAATCAGAAAGCTACTCTCTATAAAAATACGAGAATATCCATCCAGCTCTTAAAAAGATCTTAAAATCTGGTTTTAAGAGCAATTCAACCATTCACCTTTATCTAGTACTATTACTGAGATCTTAAGTAACAAATATCTTTATTTAGATAATCTGTCGACCTCTTTGTTATCCTTTAAAATAGATATCTGTGTCTTTTATTACGGTATATACTTCACCGCTATAAAAAGATTATAACTGGCTGGAAAGTTAGTATGCAGGCCCAGGGTGATATTAGAACCTTTTTTCAGTAGATTTAATACTATTTCTACTGTCTAATTACTTTAATTAGTGTTTTTTAGAGTATTTTGAAGCTATTCAATTGCTTAAATCGACTGATATATATATTTCCTGGATATAGCGAGATAACACATCATTTTTATTCAATTCGCTGTAGCCGGGTTTTACTGTCGCAACTCACCCGAGACGCCGAACGCGAGTTAATCGTTACTACTTTAGTTAATAACGAAGCTAACAGCCATGGAGAGTATTATTCACTGATTGGCCAGTTATAATTGCCTTCTCCACGAACCCCACAAACCCCTCATTCAAGCAATCATTAGGTACCTCGCAGTGCCCCGGTTTACTACTAACTTTATACTCCGTCTCTCACCTGTATACTAACTTTATCCTCCATCTCTCACCTGTACACTAACTTTACCCTCCGTCTCTCACCTTCTGTACAGCCTCACCAACATGTCTCCTGTGTCTCCCCGTCCCTGCAGAGCAGAACATCTGGGCTCTTTACTCCGCCCAACCAGACTCCTAGAACATGCACAAGCAGACGTAACCCTCCGCCAAATCGAAGACGACGAGATCACAAAGATCGTCAATGAACAGGTGAAGCTCGGATTCAAAGCCGTTACGGATGGCGAATACAGGCGCTCTCGTTCGTTACCACACTAACATAACATACTTGCAAAGATCTAACTAACGGCTTAAAAGTGTTCTTCAGCACATTCTTCAACAACATCTCCGGCTTCGAATCGGTTCCAGTTGACGTGAAAGCCCTCGGTTTGCGAGAATACCTCCCAGACGTGCAATCACTGTCGGCGTGGCAGTTCGCGCTCCCGACTGTGGTATTCTGCACGGGGAAGATAAAACATACCGGGCAGAGTAGCACGCTTGACGAATTCCAGTTCATGGAGTCGATCCTGGGAAAGGCGAATGTTGGGGATGTGAAAGTGACTATTCCCGCGCCGAGCTGGTACCACTTTAGACATAAAGATGGCAAAGCCTATGCGAAGGGCGTATACAATACCGACGACGAGTATCTCGATGACCTTGCTACGGCTTTCCGGACTGAGCTGGGTCTTCTTTATAACGCCGGTCTGAGAAGGATCCAGGTTGATAATCCGCATCTTTCATGTACCCATACCATCTTTCAACATACAAGGTATTTTGACTAACTGATATAAAATAGACCTCTGCTCCCCAAAGATCATTTCAGACTGGACCGCCGACCCAGAAAGCATCAAATCGCCCAACGAGCTGCTCGCGACGTACATCGCCTGGTACAACTCCTGCTTCCGGGACGTGCCCAGCGATATGGAAATCGGGATGCATATCTGTCGCGGCAATTATAACGAGGAGCGCTTCGTTTCGTCGGGTGGGTACGACGCCATCGCTGCGCAGCTCTTCCAGGATCTAAACGTGAATACGTTTTACCTGGAGTATGACACGGATCGGGCTGGGGGGTTTGAGCCGTTGAAGAAGTTGCCCATGGGGAAGAATGTAGTTCTGGGACTTGTTTCGACGAAGAGGGTTGAGATGGAGGATGTTGAGGTGCTGAGACAGCGGGTGTTCAAGGCTGCGGAGTTTATTGCTCAAGGGAATGGGGTTTCTGTGGATGAGGCCCTGGATAGACTGGGGGTGAGTCCGCAGTGTGGGTTTGCCAGCCATTCGAGGGAGAATAGACTGTCCAGGGAGAATATGCTAGATAAGCTGAAGCTGGTTAGGGATTTGGCGGATTCTATCTGGCCTGGTCAGGCTTGATCTGTTGACATTAAACATTAAGTATTATCAGCTAGGTATTCTATATTCTATCCAGATCAACAGGCCACCTCTCCCGAATAACCTTCCCATACCGCGTAAAAACAATCGGAATCGGCACAAACACCAACGCCAAAAACCCCAGCAACGAATTCCCCCATCCCAGCCCCAGCGATTCAAACATCTTCGGCCCAGCCAGCGGCAACAACCCCCCAACCAGGGACCTCGTCGCCGTGAGGCTGGCATTCGCCGACGCCGCATACTTCGGGTAGCAGTCAATCACATACGTCTGGATCGGAATGTACACGCCAATCATGGCAACCCCGAATGGGAACATGCCGATTATCGGCACGATCCAGTGGACGTCGTAGTACACTGTCCAGCCGTACCAGAAGAAGGAAATGGGGAGGATGCTGGCGAAGAAGATCATCAGGGGCAGGCGCATTTCGGGTTCGAAGCGGCCGGTCCGCGCGGTTAGTTTGAGCAGGATCTTGTCGTTTGTGCTTGCGGTAAAGGCGATTCCGGCGATGAAGCCGGTGCCGATGCCTAGGTAGGCGAGGCCGGAGAGACCGGCTGAGAAGTTGTACTTGGTTCGGAAAACGGACGAGATGGTCGTGAAGAAGAGGTACAACAGACCGTATACGAGGGCCTAAGGAATTAGCGACTTCATCCCGGATAGTGGCAGGGATCTGGGAGCTCACCATATAAGTAGAAAGAAGGAGGACAATTGGCGACTTGACAAGCAAGACGAACGGCCTCATCAGGCCAGACTTGAGCGCCTGCCTGACACCAACAGCTGCAGCATTCTCATCATACGCACTGCGCAGATCCGTCCGTCCTGTCTCCTTGGCCAACTTCTCCGTCTTCCACTTTATCAGCACCGGCGCAAACGTCTCCTGGTTAAACACTTCAATCGCAAGCGCCATAACACCCCCAGCAACAAGCAAAACCCAAAAAGCCCAGCGCCATCCAGCCTCCTGTCCAATAAACCCACCTGCAATCGGGCCCGCAACAGGCCCAATCAGCGGACCAAGCCCCCAGATCGCAGTAGCCTTCCCGCGCTGTTCAACGGGGAATAAATCCGCAATCACGCCAGCCCCGAGGGTAATACAGCCCGCGCCGCCGATGCCCGCGAAGAACCGGCAGATGATCTCTGTTTCGATATTCTGGGCGAGGGCGCATCCGATCTGCCAGACAACGAAGAACCAGTTTGCCGCGCTGAAGACGATCCGTCGGCCGTAGATTTCGCTGAGGGGGGCAAGGAAGCAGGGGCCGAACTAGGTATATAATAAGCGGCGGATGTATAGAGATTGCTTGAGAGACGTACCGTGTATCCTATCAGGAAAACACTGACTGTGAATGATAGCAGAGTCTCGTTTGTTTCGCGAAAGTCAGCTGCCATGAAGCCGACAGCAGGGGCAAACATGCTTGACGCGAGGGGCGAGATTAATGTAAATGCACTGATCAGGCCTAGAAGAGCCAGTTTCCTCCCTTCAGGGAAGTTCTGGGGGTTATCTGGGTCATCTTGACCGTCCCAGCCGACGATTCCGCGGGAGAGATCTGTTTCTGGAAAAGGACTGGGCTTGTTTGTTGGTGTCGGCTCGTCAGACGAGACTTGCCTTTCGACATCTTTCTCTGTAAGAGCATAGCTGTTGTTTCGTGGTGTAGTGCACTGACTCAGGCTTTTTGAGCCTTGGGCTGTAGTAGTGTCCATGGTGATGGTATGTAACCCTAACCCAGAACTGCATACATGAGAAGGAAGGGGTATTTATATAAGAAATTTATTAGGCAGACACTCAGAACCCATTCCATTAGTTAATGTGTATACTATCTAGACTTTTCTCTTTCACATGCTTCGGAATGCAAGACGGGATCCCGAAGAAAAGGATCGGTGGGGCCGATATTGCACGCCGGACAGGCCGATGGCACCGGCTGATTGGGCCCAGAAAATCTGCTAGGGAGTGACAGCTGATCTGCTGTGGATTTTCACAACTTATACCGATAGTTATGCCCTCTGGACTGGATATACTGGGCAGGCCGAGTCTTGGCCGAGTGGCGCCATCCGGGATGCCGAGGCCACAGCCCTACAGCACAAGCACATGCTTTTCGTTTTATGACAATTCATGGAGATTTATTCCAAGAGATCACTTTCTACTTGTGGAGCCATAACTCACCCAGTGCACAATCACATGTAAATGTTGTTTATATGCATTATTGATTATTATTTCGGAGAGCGACTTCTATTCAAGGCAGATGACCGAAAACCTGGCGAGACACGTTGGGCTAAACCATACACCTCCTGACACTGATCAACAAACAGCATGGCCATTATGTAAATCCACTTTCCGTCTGAAGCCACGTCCCGAAATCCTTCAGACCAGGATGCATCTTCCTCAGCGCAGCAACATCAGCACCATATCCCTCATCATAAAACCACTGAAACATCACGCCCAGTTCCTTCACAGCCTTCATCATCAGCCAAACAGGGAACCTGAACGTGGTCGGAACATCCCTTCCAATCTTCTGCCTAAACACCGTCGCCATCTCCTCATACGTCAACTCATCCCCAGCAAGTGACAAGAACTTCCCCCTGAACTCCTTCGGATCCATAAACGCCCTCGCAGCAAAGAACCCAATGTCACTCGTCGCAACAATCTGCAGCTTCTTCCCCTTCAACCCCATCCCCCACGCAGTGGCAAACACCTTCCCAAAGAAATCCGCACTCAGATTCTCCATGAACGCGGTTGGTCGGAGGATCGTCCACTGCATGCCATTCCCTCCTGCCGTCTTCTCGATTAGATGTTTCTCGATCTGGTGCTTGTAGATGAAATGTGGGACTTTCGTTGGGTTATTGATCGACTTCTCGCCTCCTCGGTCGACGGAGCTGTAGACGAAGAATTTGACACCTTGGGTTATGGATTCGTTTACGAGGGCGATGCCTTGTTGTAGTTCCTGGTCTGATCCGGGTTTCGCGGCCTTTTCTAGTTAGCTTTCTTTTCAAATATAAACTATATCACAGGGTAGGTACCTGCACACTAAACACCCCCCAAATCGGTCTCTCCGTCTGCCGTTTAGCAGATTCAAACAGACCAGCTGGGTTATCCAGGTTCCCCTCCACAATACGAATCTTAGGCGACAGCTGCGCCAGACCTTGCGCAGAAGCAGACTGCGCACTCCGTGTCACGGCGAGAATGTCAAAGGGGGCGTTCTGGGCTAGGAGGCTCTTTATCACGGAGCCTCCTTGCTTTCCTGTGGCGCCGGTTATGAGGATGGCGGACATGGTGGATTTTAAATATAAATGAGTTGGATTTGTATCTGTAACTACTTTACTTGTATTTATACCTATTAAACCCTGCTGCTAGGGTGGTGTGTAATGTGGCGGCGCTCGGGGCTGATTTCAAGGCCGAGGCTGACAAATCTTGATATACTCAAGAACCATGGAATAACCATGGATCGAGTGTGAAATCGAATCGAGTCCGATTATAGAACCCTGAGCCAGTCTTCAACCGAATAAGACAATTCAGACTCAACACCCGGTTTCGTGACTGGCTCCGCACCTCCGTTCCGTACGATGCTCGCTCGCTCCATCAATCGCGCCAGTGGTCTTTGCAGCATACTATTCATGCGGTGCCGCCCTTGCAGCGACATGTTATAGAACTCTGTAACCACGTCCCAGGCATGCGCTACCTCAGGCGAGGCAGGTCGCACACACAGCTCAGACAGCGCAAAGGCGAGGACATGCTGGTGCTTGTATGTTTTGCTGAGCCAGGCCCATTGTGCTGTTGGCTCGTTGGTTTGGAGCAGGTTGGCGAATTTTAGGGTTTCGATGGCCATGTGGAATATCTCGTCTTTGTTTGTGTTGGTGTCGGTGTTTGCGTTGTCGAGTGAGGCTTGGAGACGGACGACGAGCCATGCTTTTGATAGGGCCAGGCGTGTGATGACGGCGGTTATCCATTGTATTGGGATGTTGAGGTTGAATCTGTCGAGATACTCGTTCTCAAGACGGTTGGATAGTGTCGATAGGAGATTGACTCGGTCTATAGTCATCGCCTGTTGAGGGTTGAAAGATTTCCCAACCCAGTATAGGTTTATCATCATTTCACAATGGATAATGCAGAGCGTGATATCAGTGAAGCCTAGTTTATTAGACGGGGGTAGGTCCATATCCACCGTGAGCTCGTCACTGTCAATATTCACCGGGATCTGGGTATCAAACATGGCTGGCATAATCTGGGTTTCGGTCCCTTGGTCTTCAGAACAGAGCATATCGAGAATGCAAAGGTGCCACCATAGCCGGCGCCGCATTTCAGTATCAAAGGGACTTAGTCCGAGAGATTGGCCATCGCGATGTAGGCCTTGCTTTTGCGCAACACGGACTACGATGGCGGTTTCGGCCCATGCTACTCTGGAGTCACCATTGCAGCGTAGACATAGCAGGAACAGCACTGCGGCTTGCAGTATGCGGAAATCTTGGCTGCTGATGAGGTTGGGCCTTGTCAATACCTGCTCCGTGGCGAGCTGGTAATCCAGGACACAGGAATCGTATGTCTGGCCGGAGATGGACAGACACTCTTCGTCTGTTGAACTGACTGTGGCCGCGAAGCAAATGGCTAGAAGAAGAGCTTTCGGAGCTGGATCGAGAAGTAGGTTAGGGGTTGCGCAGAACTCAGTAACCAAGTCGTCAATGGAGGGCTTGTGTAGAATCGCTATCATGGGTGCAACGTTTCTTTTGTAGATAGACCAGAGTATCTTAACCCGTTCAGGCTCTAACACCGACGATACAAGATAGTCATCACTGTCACGTTCTGGGTCAGATTCAGTCCCCTCTTCCACGTCATATGCTTCTCGCAGCTCGCGTATCTACACCAGCCCATCAATACATAACACATCACCAGTAGAAGCAATAGACAAACCTTATCCCCCAGAACCACAGAAGCTTCATCGCCGACATATCGCCCATTCCCGAATCTCGCACCCACTCTATCCCAATTCCCAGCTTTGCCTTCTGCGTCACTAAAACGTTCACATTCTTCCCTCCCCCGCAGCCTCGCTACCTCACCCTCCAACTCCTTAAGCCGCGCCATAACAACCGAAATAGGAGGCCTGTTCAGCACCCGGGGCACTCTTTTGGCAGACCCAGGGTAGGAGCATTCACTTTCAGCGCTGGCCTGGATGCATCGTGCGCAGGGGTGGGCCCGGTCGCAGCGCACCTTTCGCCGGCTGCAGCGGAGGCAGCTGCGTTTTGACACAGCTTCTTCGGGGTGATAGTTCATGTTCTAAGTTTTCGCGGTGGGTTTCATTTACTGGATGGAGTTGGGCATGGTGGTGGGTGGCTGCGTTGTGTTGAAGTGCAAGATGAGATAGCTGATTACCTAAGCCGGTTGATTCAACAAGTTCATCTATTGAAGTAATTAAGTAGCTTGACTACAAGTATATATAGCCTACTCTTGCGGAAAGTATATGGTATCCGTAAGCATTATTTAGCTACGTTACTAGCTCAACAACCAGTTTGGATACCATTGACAGTGGTGCAGGAGGCTGTGCCTTCAGCTTCCCATAAAAGATATGCGTTTGTTTCCTAACCCTAGTCACATTCACCTAGGGGTTAAGTGTTTATATTAATGTGGCCTGGATATCAAGAGACGAAAAGCCCAAAAACGAAGATAAGCATGCATTGAAAGCCTAGGGCACAATCAAAAGGTGTTGTTCTATACACCGAAATTGCCCTAGTCAGTCCTGCTCCATTCTACATATCGCTCTTTACTAGACACCCCAGCACTCAAGCACCGAGAAAACTCCTCGTGAGCGCCCGTTTGCCCGGGTCGCAACTTCAGCCTGAACGGCCACTTCTTAATGACCGTATGTTTTGCCTTCACAACAGCACCTAGAAGCTCGCCCGCTTTCCGGAACTCGAGTTCATCACAATATCTAAAGGAGTCCTCAAAGTCAATACAACAAAATATACTTGCTACGCCCGCTGGAGACAACTTAAAAAAACCATTATACATACCTGTTGAACACATCGTCATACTCCGTGACCAGATCTCGTCCCATGTTGAATTTTATAACCTTCGAATCATATTTAGAAACGAGACTCCCGCTGGGCGGGAGATACTGTAAGAGCCTTCGCGAAGATGTGCTGTTCTGCGTCATATCTCGCATCCTGTCTTCGTCTGTCATGGTTTCGTCCACCGCGTTCATGAAGAGGGTTATCAGCGTTGCATGCGGATTATCAACCTTGTTTTGGAGTAGCGGGATCATATAGACCAGTGTACGGTGGATTCCTAGCCAGCCACTATCCGATATATTGGAGACATCAATTCGAGCGAAGGAGCCCGGTCCGAGAAGCTCAGGGAGAGCAGTCGCGTCGACTTGAAACAGCTCGAACGAGGCCCCTTTGAGGCCGCGAAGGCGAGCCAAGGATGATGATAGCATTTTTCGCAGATAGAAATACAGCTTCCCATATATATCGGCACTAGCTGCGCCAGAGGGTGTACTTGCGACGTCCTCTGCAGGCCACCCGTGCCGAGGGTCTGCATTGTCTGGCATCGGCCACGTTTTATCGTTCTGGAAAAAGGTTCTTTGCCAGGTTAGACTTGCACGGTATCTTTAGTTTTGGTTTCTTTTTATGGGCTCTTGACTCACGGATTAGGCACTTGGAAGTCATGCCTGGGGAAACCAAACGGGAGAAGGAGACCATCCTCGCGGAACCTGCTGAACGGGACTCGGTGAGAACTAGGGATTAAACACATGTATCGATCTCGATAATCCTTCCTTGATTCCGCTAGGGTGACCTTGGTGCGGCGTGTCTGCGCTTGGTGAGTATCTAAGCCGGCAGGCATGTCAAGGAATGACAGAAGACCGCTCCATGACGATTTCCTAAGTATGACCCTGACAGAGCGCTGCCCAAAAGTCCATGTCTTCCCATGGAGAGTAGCACAGGATTTATCTGCAATCTTCGTGCAGACATCAATGATCAGGGGGCGAATCTGCTGGTGCAAGATGTTCAGATCTGACTCGCGGACGAGCGCTGAATACCAGAGATGGACCATGCAATCCGATGCGGCATCAATATCCTCAACAACCATGGCAACCAGAAGCAGAATTATATTGCGCGCTACAATGTCGGGATCTCGGTCATTCAAGGTTATCTCGACTGCACCGTTGTAGCTGCTCGGTAATTGGGCGATGGTTTTGACAATATGCCGGAGGTCCCCAGAAGCTGCATGGAAAAGACAACACGTTTAGAAATTGGGCACAGTATTCCACACCACCAAAGTAATAGAAAGACATACCAGCACACAAAATACGTAAATCGCCATCGTAGTCACTTCCTTCGTTTGCATCCAGCCGTAACAAATCAAAGGCAGGGACATTTCCCCAGAGATATTTCTTGTCGCCGAAGACGACCCCAAGTCCCGCACCCATAAATTCTGGGGTTCGGCTTTCAACAATCCAAGCCGGTTGCCAGGTATCCTTGCGCAAGGGTGACCGGCACGCGGCCTTGTGTAGGGGCCAGTGCGCTTTCTGGCATGACTGACCACAGTACTAGAATATATGATACTATTAGTGCACGCTCCGATGCAGCAGCAGGGCGGGTGCTTTTAAGCCGTGAAGGTCGAACATACAGCGACTAATTGACAATTCTTGCAACCGTACTTGCCACTCTTTTTGCAGTCGGTGCTGCTGGTGCTGCTGGGGGCCCAGTTGGAGCAGATCTGTCCTAGAGATGCCATCTTGCCTCAACTTGGTTCGAATATAAGCAATCGACCCACAGCTCGGGGGCATTCTCATTGAAGTGGACTCTGAATGGAAGTTACTTGGCAGTTGAGACCCCGCATGCATGTCTGCCCAAAAGGCCTGCAATCACTGGCAGCCAAATCAGTTTTTCCAGGATTAAATGTAGTTTGTGTTAATTTAACTGTCTTTTTATACATTTCATTGACTTGCTGTTTAGTGTTTGACAGATCCATGCCTTGTATAGGTTATATTATCTAGACTTCACTTGAGTCAATTGCTATACAAGTATCAAACTAACTGTCTGGTATTGTACCATTTCGTGACTCAACCAAGCTTGTAATACTCTAGGTCAGTATCGGCTTAGTGCACTTTGGCCCCTAGGGTTCAGGAACAGCATTCTTTCTCTTTGGATGGGAAGCTGAAGGCTCATCCCATCTTATACATACTGAACTCAAGAACCAGAAACCCAACTTGGCGGTCTCAGCCGTTGCTACCAGAGGATACAGGGGAATATATTATTTATGCATGACAAACCCTCGGTGAAGTGGCAGCATCTAGAGTGCTCGACATTTCTTGACAGGCTATAAGATATTCTCATCCCTCGGCAACCCTAAGCCCAGCACAGTGAGATTATGCTGACCAGACTCAGCTACCCAACAATACTGATGCTGTTGTTTCCAGCCTGATGCAGCCTCGAATCCCACGTGACAGCATCTCCTGCGCGAGGGGTGCAGCTTTCTGCAGCCTTGACGCCAGCCCCGCCTGAATGTTCCTGGGCGCATTGCACCGGAATGTGATTCATCTACGGTCTTTTCCCATTATCATTGAGCGTAGGCGTGGGCATTGACCCAGGTGCTGCCCTGGGTGCAGGTGCATTTGCAGCTCCCGCTGTTGTCCTGGGTGCGGTTTTAAATCAGATGGGACGCAACGTTTCTATTGCGCATGGTGTGTACCAGTGGAATGTAGAATGTCACCGGCAAGTCTGCAATCGTTGTGCGAGCATTTTATTCCTAGAGACCAGCTTCCCTAGGCTGCGTGGGCTTGGCCTCGGGATGGAGCGATGGCAGGAGATGGCTGATGCAATGGGGCGTACATTCGCGCTACTTGGGCCAGCCCTCCGCGCATTGGCAATTAGTGTGTGAATGTGTAACACGTATCCTGTGATTTACTTATATTGATTTGCAAGGATGTTTTATCAGTATATACCTCCTACCGTTTTATCCACGCGCGAGTGGCCATCTAAAAGTTGCTGCTATCGTATTATTTACCGTTTATACACAGTAAACTCAAGAACCAAAAACACCAAGTACGCAGCCAGCAGAACAAAACCAGAAATCCGACTTGGCGGTCTAAGAAAGACCACAGCGACAAGTAACAACGCAGACATCCAGACTGTAACCAAATCAAAAAGAACAAATGTATCTGCCTGGCCGGCAGCACCTCCGGAGGCAGCAACAATACCGACGCACAGCGTTAGGAGGAATATGTTGCTGCCTGCAGTTGTTGCAACTATAATGCCCCCTTGTCCACGGAAACCACTGAGCACTGAAATGAACTTCTCTGGAAGGGTTGTGGCGAATGCGATGACCGTTAAGCCGAATACGGTGCCGGATAGGTGCAGGGAATCGGCGATTGTGCCGGCGCTGTGGGCGAGGATGTATCCGGATAGAGATAGTGCAATTAGGCCGAAGAGAAGCTGTAAGAGATGGTAGTAGAGTGGTCGTGGTAAAATCCTGCCTTCATCTGCAGTCGGCAATAGAGGATCGCTCTCTGAATGCTGTATCTGATAATCACGACTGGTGGGTATATCGTCGTCACTCTCACTATCTGAAAGCTCAGGCGGCTCGGCTATACCCCTATAAATAGCATAACCGATAGAGACCATGTACAGTACGAATATAGCGATGAGCACTCCTCCGGTAAGTTGATTGAGCTGCTCACAAAAAGCCAACACCACAACCAATGTTGTCACAGAAAGAAGCAAGGCAGAATACATCTTTGCCGTCCTGTCAAACTCCATTCTTCCTGGATGACATAGAAGACCGAGGGAGAAGGCCCCAAGGATATTTGAAACGCTGGAGCCCATCACATTGCCCAGGGCAAGGGGGCTACGGTGTTGCAGCACTGCGGCAACCACAACAGCGAGCTTACTATATCAGTGTTTATCTGAAATTAGAGGAAAATGAAGGAGTACCTCTTCATACTCAGTCCCGGCCGTCAAGAGGGCAATGAGGGTGGGCGAGATGCCCAGGCGCTGCCCCACGACAACGGTGTGGTCGACGAATTTGTCTGCGCCATAGTCAAGGACAAAGACGCCGGCGATGAATGTCGCGATATTGAAGCAGAGGTTATCCCAGTCCATGCTGTCGCAGGAGATGGTGAAGTTGCTGCCTGCCCCTGAACGAGGGTGGAAATAAGTCTGACCAATCAGTCTCAACTACAACGATCGATAAATGGCAAAAATAGCGGTATTGGGAATCAAAAGAGCGTACAAACGGGCAATTTCGGAGCGTAAATCCTTGAGAGAATGTGTCGCTAGCCTGATTAGATGATGATGATTAATACCGGGCATGGCCAATTAAATCTTAGACAGTGATACTTCTTGAGCAACTGCGAAGTCTGTACTCAGCATGCAATAATGAGTACATGTACAAACCGCCGGCCATCCCCAACTCGACATTTCGTTGGCTCAATGGACCGAATTGATTTCGCCGAATGGCACAACGCCGTATGGCAGATTCGGCGAACTCCGCCACAGCCATGCGGGGTGATGATCTTTTCTATACAAAGTATCCCAGTCCCTGGTCGAATGGACAAGATTCCTCCAAGCTTTGCATATTATTTTTAGATTCCGCGCGGAGACTGGAATTCTGGTGCCTTGGATGATCGACGGGGTTTGGATATAAATTCCTTGGATATACATTCCACACTCCAAGGGCACTCATCTCTATAACTTGAACACTTGTTGGATTTGTTGCATTTAAGGATCTTACTACAATGCGTTCATTCTTCTTCCTATCTGCATTAACCCTGGCTGCATCGGTTTCAGCCCAGGATATCGATTCCAACGACGTCCCATCTCAATGCACAGATGCCTGCGCCTCTGTTGTCAGTCTGACTGCCAGCTGCGACAAGTCCACCCACGACGATGACTCGGCTGAGAGGAAGTGCGTCTGCGATGATCCTGATGCGTCGCAGAGCGTTCCCAACTGCGCCGCCTGCCTCGACAAGTACAGCAAAGACGGCAAAGACAATGGTATTTTTGTTAAAGTAAACTCGGACTATGCTAACAGCTTCAGATGCAAATGATATTGTCCGCAAGTGCTCGTTTGCCTCCACCACATATAACCCTACCATGGCCTCTTCCACCAGCAGCCCTACCTCTTCTACCAGTGCGGCTGCCGAGTCGTCGACACCACCTTCGGCAGGCCATTCAATTGGGCTGGCACCGGGGCTTTTGGGAATGGGAATAGGCATTGGCCTTTTGGGCTCGGTTGGGCTTTAAGTCTTGAGAAGCCGGTGGACATTAGAACCCATTAACAATGCAAATACATTATGACTGTGTCAGTGATGTAGCCTAGAGTTGCTTTAAATTAATCTTGGCTCACTCTGGTTACCAAGTCCCGTGGCTGCGTGGCATTGCAGCATGTAGGATGTAACGCGCCCGATATTCCAGATACTGGTACATAAGCCATCGGTAATAGAATACTCCGTAGATATTCATATCCTGAACTGTCAAGTTGGTTTGTAACGTTACCATGAGCAGTCAATGACGTCGCTGGGTAAGTCAGCTCATTACCCAATCCGGAAATATGACGACCCGATGCACCCAACACCACCATACTTATACCGCCATTTTGCCAGTAACTGTACAGGAGAACTCATATTTAATTCTGTATATTTAGTCAGTTTGTTGTAATGGGCTCCAGTAAGGCCGAAGCGGCCACTAGCACCATGACATCCACCCTGTCATATTATGCCCACCCATATGCGCAGCAGATTGCCCTCCATGCGTTGAAGCGGATTAACGGTGCACGGCTAAAGTTTATTCTTCAATACAAAGAACCGCCAGAGGAGATCCAGGTTGGGGAGACCGGATCCGAGAAGTCCGACTCGACTGTGGTGCTCCGCGTTCGCAGCCCCAACGTGTGGATGAGAATATGCTCATGTTTCGACCTAGTAAGAAATAGCTGTTGATATTGGTTAAGGCTTGGTAACTCATGATGTCTAGGGCTTTGCAGAGGCCTATATGTTCCAAGAAGTCGACTGCGATGACCTCGGTCGAATATTCGACGTGCGCATACATACCCTTCAGATTATCGAGATACTAACCAAGATAGATCTACATCAAGAACAAAAACCGCATTGGTTCAGGGAATCCACTACTCCAACTTCTCCCCCGAGTCGCATGGCTCCTCCAACCAACCAACAGCATCCAAGAAGCGCGCCAAAATATCTCCTCCCACTACGACACCTCCAACGAGCTCTTCAGCGCCTTCCTCTCGCCGGATCTGAACTACTCCTGCGCGCACTGGTCCGGCGATCCCGCAGAGCCCCTCGAGTCTGCTCAGGACCGCAAAGTCCGCAACCTCCTATCAAAAGCACAGCTTTCGTCATCACACCACGTCCTAGACATCGGCTGCGGCTGGGGCGATCTGAGTATCAAAGCGGCGCAGATCTACGGGTGTCGCGTAACAGGCCTAACCCTGTCAGAGAGACAGAAGAGTCTCGCTGAGGAGCGGATCAAGGCAGCGGGGCTACAGGATCGGGTAAGTATCCTTCTTTGCGACTACCGGAAGGCGTCTGCGCCAGAGCAGGGTGGGTTCTATGACCGCGTTATCTCGGTGGGAATGTTCGAGCATGTTGGGCCGGAATACCTGGATGAGTACTTTGAGACTATCTCTAAGCTTCTGCATCCTACCCATGGAGTGATGGTGATTGATGGGATTACTATGACCAACAAGGTTTGACCCCTACACCTATTCAACACTATATCAACTAATAATGTGTTATAGCTACGCGAGACGAAATCCAAAATCCCAACATTCATCGGCCGCTACGTCTTCCCAGGCGGCTACTTACCAACAATCCACATGCTCTTCGACGCGCTCCACCAGGGCTCAGGTGGAAGTCTAGAAGTAACATCTGCCCTGAACATCGGCCCCCATTACGGCAAAACCCTCTTGGCCTGGCAGGACAATTTCCTGCACAACTGGGCCAAGATTGAATCGGACTACCGGGCCGCACGCCCGGGGGTGGCAGATGCCGAAGTCGAGGCGTTTCGCCGGCAATGGCTTTACTACTTTCGGTACTGCGATGCGGCGTTTCGTACGAGGTTGTTGGGGAATTACGTTATTGTTGCGGCGAGGACGCCGGAGCAGATGGTTGAGGTGGATGCGGGTAATACTTCTGCGGATGCGATGTTTGAGGAGAAAGTGATCGGCGATGGTATAGCATACTAAAGAGGTATTAGGACTTACTTGTGTTCGTGCTGGGGTCAAGATGTGGCCTGAATATTCTATATCACCATTTAGCGTTGGTATATTGGTAATGCAGGTGGAGGCGAACTATCATATCTATATAATTCTCTGTCAATTTATCAACACAGCACGGTATTATATGGCATCTAATATATCGCTTTAAAATCCAATAGCCAAGCCGATATAAACATATAACATCATCAAAGCATGAATTTTGAATGCTGTGGTCTAGGACTGAACTGCGGGAGACTAGGTCTATAAACACCTTTCATGAGATATCCAGAAATGCCCAATCGTTCGGTTTAGGCTGGCCTTATAACCAATGTCCGTCTTCTCGATTGAAATGAGTAGAAAGGATAATCCGTCTCAAACGGTCGTGGGGTTGTCATACCGCGCCGCCGCAGTGATTGGTATCATCAGCGTCGATGCCGAATCGTCTTCCAGTCTCATCCGCAGAATCAGGCTGGAATGACGAACTATGCCTTCTTACGCTACCGTCTTCATCATTGGAAACCGCACTATCCTGTAGGGAATCGTTGATGTTGTTATCATCATCACTTCGCTCAGTCTCCCACCAGCCAAGCGTAAAGGTCCGTCCTTGGAACACACCTCGCTCTTTGAGCTGTCGGTCATTGCACCACTCGCTGCCGGGGGGTATCATGCCCGTTGATCTTTCGTGGTCGGCGGTCCTGCCAGAGCCGAGAATGTGGGAATCCGCAAGCAGACTCGCCGCTGCGGCAATACTGAGTGGGTTTTTGGGCAGGATCTCTCGAGTGTCCATGAGGAAAATACTGATAGTCCCGCAGAGAGTCATGGCGGCCAGAACGGCTTGCAGGACGCGTGTTGATATCATGTTCTGGAAATGTCTGGCACCGGATGGGTTCTGCAGCGAGGCTTTGTATACTGGTCGGGTTTGGGTGCTGGCGCTGGAGCTGGAGATGGGGCCGAAGCTCGGGCCGGAGCTGGGACTGGCGCTGAAGGTGGTATATGACGTTGCAGCGGCGGGATCCTTGTAGTCCTCCCGGCCTATACTGTTGATCATTTGCGCTGTGATGATGCTCCAGACCCTTTGCAGTTGCGGCGCTAATATGTCCGCGTCGAGTAGGTCCGAGGCCGGTATGTTTGCCTCGCCGTAAATGATGCTTCGGAACACAGGGTCGAGACCTTCCGTGGAGCTATCTCCGGGGTATATATACAGGATGGCAGATGAGATCTCGTCCCCGTCAGGGGCGGCAAGTTCCCCCGGAGATCCCATGTATCCGTCAAATAGGGTCGTTACCGACCCAGGGACAACGGACGGGGGAGATGATAGATCCAAGGTATAGGAGGGAAGCGACAGCTGAATCAAGACATCCACTTGTTCGACCTTGGGTCTGCACTTTAGCAGCGTGATTGCTGCGAGCGTGCCAGGTGTCGAACCAACTTTCCCATACATCACGACAAGCCCGGGACAACTACTCGGTAACTCGTAAAGGTCATCTGCACGAGATTGGTCCAAGGCATTGAAATATACGTTTCCAGATGAGATGCCGGCTGTCCTCAGATGGTGGGCTTCGAAACCGCAGTCCTCAATCAATGCGGTGACGTTTGCACCAATATGGACCTCGTCGTCAGTCCCGGGATCGGGACCAGCGGTGTATTCCTCGGGGGGTAATTCCTCGCAACCCAGATTAAGCCTCAGGCCAGGAACCTGCGCCTTGACAGAGTACCCACGACCGTTCAGTGCACTGGCTGTTTCGTTTGGAAGACTGGTTTGGTTAACCTGCAGTTTCGGAAGTGAGAGGTCCTGATATGTCCACTGTGGGTATGAAAGGTCGTATTGAATGATCATGTCCCCAAGTTTGACATCCTCGTAATCACTCGTCTTTTGATAGAAATACCCCTCGCTCATATTGACTCTGTTCATCTGGGTCAGGGCTATGTTGCTAGTTGTCATAACATCAGACACGGTGTAAAGACCAGAGGTGACGATAGGCAGGAATGGCCCAATCAAGACAGCAATGCCAGCTGCCATGACCGACCACTGTCTTTTCGTGAGAGCTTCCCAAACGCCAACGATTGCTATGCTTCGGTGTTGGTTGTCCATGATACCTGTCTCGGGTGGTGCGTGGCCGCGCTTTAACTCGTGGTAAGGCTGGAAAACTCGCGCGCTGAAGTACACACATTCGTATAGGGATCGGACTCCAAGCATCACGAGGGGCGGAATGTAGGTCCATGTATAACTTAGGTATCTGGAGCTTGTATCAATGTTAGCAAAGCCGTTCGAGCTTCGCGATTTCTGATATAATATCTCAAGGATAATGATGAGCCCGATTGGCGCCAGCAAGATTAGAGCGCGTACTAGAGGAGCTGCTGCAAAGGGTCGCCACCAGGACAGCTGTGAAGATTGACCGGACTTTTCAATCTCAGGGCCATCCTGCTTGATTGAAAAGACATCTCCCTTTGCTGTAGTGGCGTAAACCTGGCTAGAGACGACCTTGCGAAGGTCTGCCTTCGAGGCATGGCCCTTACCGGACAAGGCGTCCATAAATTCATGGCTGTTAGCGAGGATCGTTCCAAGGCCACTGATGGATCCAGGATCTCGTGAGCAAACGGCAGAAGGAAGAAAGAAAATGCAAAACAGCAGAGATACTACAGCCAATAGTCCCAAGATCGACACGATAGCATACACAGACTCATCTCGGACAGTTAGTCGAGTCTCCTGAATCCTCATAGTCCCTGGCTCTGTGCTGCTTTCGGATCTGGGCCTGGGCACCATTAGATAGTCCGATGTAAGGTGAACTGCAAGAGCATGAAACATTTCAGTGACTTGGTCTGTAAGATTCTTGACATCAAACACGTCCTCGAGACCGCGCCCACCTGTGTTCAAAAGCAGATAGGGGGTACTGCGTGCAGTTATACTGCTGGCAAACTTGGCAACTGAAAGGTAAGACCCGTATAATATACTGGATGCACTGACATCCGCTAGTTCAGGGATTTCAACAGGGTGTGCGAGTTTCAAATCAACAGAAGGGTTGCCAGTATCCCCAGACCCCATCAATGTGACGTTGCCACGATCAGTAGAGTAAGACAGCTCGCACATCAGGCCGATAATGTCGACGTAGGCAGTATCGTTGGGGTAACCAGCGTACGGCACCGGATGTCCATTGGGCTCTTCGCGCATCGAGTCTGCAATGTATATCCAGAATCTCCAGTCTATATTTTTGACATCCATGGACTCGTAGTCATTGAAGTCCCCAACGCCTGAGAGGGTGCCGTCACAACTTCCTAGCGCCGTCCGCGTGAGTGGGAATTGATTTATGCTGTAATCATCTATCACCATGGTACAGTCGTCAATCTGCAGCTTCACGTCCGAAACGTGTGCGTATGTTGTTACAGACGTCTCATGGCATTCAAGTGATGGGGTAAACACATCAACAACAGCTTGGTACGTCGTGTTCTCCAAATACATGGGTGTTCCCGCTGAAGGAGTAATGTTAGGATTAAAGTCCACGCAGGGGAGTCGAGTGCCATTTCTTACTCACTTGGACTGGTATCGTAGAAGAAGTTCTGGAAAGCATGTTTGTCCATAGTCCCCTGCGGATGGCTAAGATTATGTTGGGCAACCCCCCACGCTTGGACATAGACCCGCGAGTCTACAGCAGATTCGTTGAAGCTACTCCCTTGGAAGTCTTTCTGTATCTGAAAATCTTTGGTTAGTACCAACTGGATATCTTTCGCGAGGAACAGGCCCGTGGACAGGACTGTCATCAGCTTGATGACCAGTGATACTGCGATCGGAATCGATACCATGTAATGACCACGCTTCAGGGATTTGAACAGGGCTGACACATTCCACATGGAAAGGTAGTCAAGTAGAACGCTATCTGACGCTGAAACAAACCCACGAGACATCAGGCGCCATGGGAAAAGCTGCAGGGCTCGATATTGGACCTGGCCCCATAGGGCGCTGACAATTGTGAAGACTTTACAAGGTATTATTAGCCCAGGCCATTTTCCTTATCACCTTCATCGACACTTACCGGCCGTGGGGCCATAAGTCCAGAGATAATAGTTGCTTGGGTTGACGGTGCTCAGCCCTTGTTCCTTCTCAGAGATCCGCCATATGGTCGTTAATGCAACCAGCAGCACAATAAAGCAGACAGTGAACGCTAAGAGGGCAGTTCGACGCAGGAAAAAGGGCGCCCAGAGTCGTTTTGTGCCGACCGCAATGTTCTGCTCAGTCAACAAGCTGGTGGTGGAAGAGGTCTCGTTCGCGCCCGTCTTAGCATGGCGTTTGGTTGGATCCAAGAATCCAAGTTGAATTGCGCAGCCTTGATCGGCTTCTGGGCCAGAAGCAACACGATGGTGCTTGGTCGCCGACATGGCATCTCAGTGTTGATTTCCAGGTGAGGATTTCATCAGCCTCTATGGTCGGGGTTTGTCGGAGACTTTGTTATAAAATCATTTCCCCTGCAGAGGGGCATCAGCGGGCAGGAACGTTTGACAATCCAGGAGGGATTTATTCGTAGGTGTGTAGCACGAGGCTGAGCCTGGAACCAGGATACAGGACTTATAATATATACTCAGCCACACAGCCCCTGGCAGAAGGGAATCCGACAAACCCCAGCGAATCAGCAGCCAGAAACATGTGATTCTCATGAAAGATGCAGGCCTCAGCATCCCTGTTCAGTTATTAATGAAGATTTAGTCTACAAGGTTCCATGGCTGTGTTATTTAGCCCCTGTGCTAAGCCTGGTTTAGCCTTATCCTATATACCCAGGTGAAAATACTCCAGAATTGTCAAAAGTCCGGCTGCTAATTGCTTGTGCGAGCGCCTTTACCAATCTCCCTCTTGCTTATCCTGTCTCTTTTCCAATGGAACAGACCCAAATGTTGCATCGATTATTGATCTTTAGCGTGCTCTGGCCGAAGTGTCAAGTCAGGACTATATAAGGATCTTTCAGACCAGGTACTTTTGGCATCCTGCGAGAGGCATTTTATAGGTGCCCTGTCCGGCAGGACGAACAGAGAGGGCCCAGGATGGGCCTGCAAAGAGGAGCCTTTTCGGCATCGATTCCATGTTCAATTAAGTGGTCGTCGAGTGCGATGTTGAGGGCAAACTGATCGGCGATGGGGTATAGTAGACCAAATAGGAATTGAAGCATTACTTATATTCATACTAGGTATATCTGTGGGCCTATTTACTCTATATTATTATTTAATATAGGATATTAGTAATGCTGCTTTACGGCGTTAGTGATAGCTGAACTGCTTAATCTATATAATTCTTACTCTATCAATTTATTAGTATAATACAGTATTACGTAGAATTAACTATAACCTTGCTTTAAGCCAACGACCAAGCCGATAAATATATAATATTATCAAATCATAAATATTAATTGAAGCCTGGCTAATTACCGTATCGGATTGAATGGACGCAATGTCCTGCATCCAAATAGGGTTTCCAATAGTAATTCCAGACAGACTTGCCACAACCGGATACTCTTTAACCGCTGGAGGTTATTATCACAGGCTGTTTCCGATATTTAGCCATTCAATAAGAAGCCCTGTATGCACTTTATCGTGCATGAAGAAATGCTGGGTCCACCTTAATGAAACACTCACGTCCGAATCGGGAATATGCCGATCTCTGGTCTTCCTTCACAACTTGCAGTATATGGCATATAAGGGATAGGAAAGTGAACATTGTTTTCGTAATGTTCAATCCTGTTATTGTTAGAGTATATTTGCCAAAATGCCATTCAAACCCTCTCGGATCCAACGCCTCAGCGTGGTGACGGGCATATCAATGACATTCTTCATCGCTGAGATATCTGGTATACTACCCTATCCGTTGAAGGCCCTCATACTCATTTATGTACAGTCGGCTTTTATACAGGCTCTCTCGCTCTCATTGCCGATGCCTTTCACTATGTATGTCGCTAACAATATGTCTACCATACTAGGTGACTGACTGTATCAAGCTTAGCGATGTCGTCGGGTTCATGGTTGCGCTGGTCGCCGCCATTGTACTATCCCACATTAAAATAATCACGGTTCTATACTGATATATAGCAGGTCGAGAAAAAGCATTCGCCACCGCCGTCCTTCACATTTGGGTGGCAGCGATCCCAATTACTCGGTGCATTCTTCAATGGAGTTCTACTGTTTTCACTTGGGATTAGCACATTCTTGCAGTCAATTGAGCGGTTCATCAGATTGGAGAGTATGCATGCCTCTGCCGTTGATTTCAAGTTCAGATATTGACTGCAGTCACTACAGTTGTTCAGAACCCCAGGCTTGTCATGATCATTGGTTGTGTAGGGTTTGGTCTGAATATCATCAGCGTGGTATTCTTGCACGGTACGCCTTTCGAACACCATTACTGAACTTAAATAATTATATTAACTTGTCCATTAAGAGCACGGCCACGAAGACAGACACGATACCCACCGCGATGAGAATTCAGACACCGAACAAGCCATCATCCCACACAAACAGCCCAAGCCCAAGCCAAAGCCAGACCTCGCTCTAATGGCAGTATTGGTACATATCCTGGGCGACTGCGCAAACAATCTCGGAATAATCATCGCCGGCCTCATAATCTGGCAGACGGATTACAGTGGACGTTATTATGCAGACCCCGCGGTGGGAATGGCTATTGCAGTGATGATCTTCCTCTCGTCTCTTCCTTTCAGTGAGTTGTGGACACTGTCTATTTGTTATTAATTTCAGATTCTGATATACCAAGTTAAGCGAGGCGGGCGTATGCTGCTCCAGAGCGCTCCGGACGGCGTTGAGCCGGAGAATGTGAAGCGTGATTTACTACAGGTATGTATACAACCCTTTCTTGAAAGCTCCATTTGCATCTTAGTCCTTGCCCTTCTAACGAAAACAATGCAGATTCCGGGAATTACCGCGGTGCATGAGCTTCACATATGGCAGTTAAACCAGGAGAAGTCCATTGCCTCCGCTCATCTCGTCCTCGAAAACGACGATGAGGTAGACTTCTACAGGCTTGTTAAGACAGTGAATGAGCATTTCTATGGATACGGAATTCATCATGCTACAATCCAGCCGGTGGCAGTAGATGTGAACCAGGAAGATGTCAGTGTTGCTACAGTGGAGAGTGGCAAGCATGGAAGAATGGAAATGACTCAGGTGAGAAGTATTTGGTAGTCATTTCTCACCATTTTGTATTATTTCAAGCCGCGAAGCGGGCAGCATAAGGCTAGTGAACTGGGCTTTGTACATTTATTGTGGCGTTCAAAACGCTTGGGAGGCCATGGTCGGCCTTGGACTGGGAGGGTCCATGTTTATAGACCAGTATACAAAGCATTCTGATATCATGCTCGGTCACTCAAAGTCGCTCTTTCGAACCCAAATGCGTACGGTACCGTCATCTCCGCTAGATGCGAACATATCCGGATTGCGTGGATTTGGTGTGAGAGAACCTACACAGCCTGATTTATGTCCTTCCAAGATATCCACAAGGGCGCCAGTGCCCCGATCCCATACATATATGCGAGGATCTTCACTACCACTGAGGACGAGGTCTACACCAAGGAAAACGCTTCCTATCACGAATCGTTCCTGTCGGCTCCCCCTGAACCGACGGATAACCGTTCCCTGGTTGAAGTCAAGCAGTTGAAGTTCACCACGAACTAGTCTGACAAGCAAATTCCCAGAATTAGGATCTGCTGCCAGAAATGACGGACGAGAATCTGTCGCGAACAAAAGCTTCCTCGCGCGTGTTTTAATATCAATAATGTGCAATTCCCTTTTGGTAGAAACCAGTAAGTGACCATGGTCTGGTGTTATACAGCAACAGGATATGCGTTCGTTGAACGGGTTCCGCCACCTATATATGCACGACCCGGCCAGCGTCCAGTGGCTGAGAGAAGTAAGGGTTGGAACGATGATCTCTTCGTCCGTCATCCAAGGCAGCGAATTATTCGGTGCTGTATCTTTCAAGATACCTACGCAGTCGTAAGTCTGAGATACTGTTAGCGAGCCTCGCAGCTTCAGGTATACAACCCACCTTTGCGTCCCAGATCTTGACGAGCCCGTCCTGAGCTGATGTCGCTAATCTTGTATCGTTGGGGCTGTATGCGAGGCACAAGATCCCTTTTTCATGCCCACGCAGGTTGAATACTATGCTAAAAGTCTTTGTCTCGTAAACTATTAAACGGCCGGTACTGTCTGCTGTGCAGAGGCTGGATCCATCATGGGAAAATTCCAAGACCCAGACTTCGCCATCACGGTCATCAAGAACTCGAGTCTGTATAATGGAACCCATTTGATACGCTGTTTTTGCTGCTATACTGGGCGTCTGGATAGTGGGTTGCGTATCCTTCAGTGGAGACATATCTTGCCGTCGCAGCCTGTTGTCCTCGGGAAATGCAGCTGCTATTTGACCTTCAGTGACCATTAGCTGTCCATTGGGATTTTGCAACAGCAAGACCATAATGTCGGCGTCAAACCAGTGGACAGCAATGTCGAGCACTCGTTTGGTCACGGTGCAACTCGAGCCAGCATTGAGGAAGAGCATTATCAATTCCTTGCGACGCGTCCAAGGGTGTGATGCGATTGCCATCAGCAGTCTTTCTGTGAGAACAAGATCCATATTCCCGTTCTTCAGGAGTAAGTTCACATGGTGAGCACTGTGCTTGTTGTAGATAGCAGCCTCCCAGATATCTTCTGTCGTAACAAACTGCTCAGGTGTGTAACCAAGTAGCAATGAAGCAAGCCTGGTTTCACGCTGATAGCACAGAGCAGCAATCAAGACATCCGGGGTCACGCAGTAATCTGAATCCAGACACTCATTGAGGAAGAATTCCATTACTGCCAACCCCTGGTCAGGGTTCGCTGCTGCTGCTTTGAGCACCTCTTCTGTGACCAACGACTGAAGGCGCCTTCCTCTGAGAAGCTGCAGTAGTTTCGCCATCCAGTCTATACATCCTGCTGCTGCCTTGATTACGGCTTCAGTGACAGGGATTTGGTCGCCTTGTCGGTCTAAGAGGAGTTTTATAATTTTCTCTCCGCTGTCCTCGTTGTACACTGCATCCTTGACCACCTCTTCTGTAATCTGGATCTCACCTTCTCTGCGGTCCAAGAGCAGTGCCAGAATATCTGGGCCACTGTATGCATTTCGTGCGGCTGTTCTCAACACTTCTTCTGTAAGCTGAACCTGATCTCCCTGTCGGTCTAATAAAAGTTCCATAACATCCCTTCCACTCCGACTGTTGTCTGCTGCAGCCTTCACCACCCCTTCAGTAATGGAGATTTGGCTTTCTCCTTGATCTAGGAGAAGTTCCATGACTTTCTTTCCACTCTGCCCATTATATGCTGCACTCTTCAGCACCTCTTCATTGATCTCGGCGTGGTTTTCTTGTTGGTTTAGCAACAGCTTCATGACGCCATACCCGCTTTCCTCGTTGCGTGCAGCAGCTTCTTCGAGTGGTGTAACTCCGCTCGCTGTTTGGAATTCTGCATCATGGTATGTTCTTTCGTGTTGACGCAGTTTTTTCTCAAATCCCCAGAGAATCAAAGGTATAATCTCCCACCTTGCTGCCGCATGGAATATGCTGAAGCCTTCCTCGATTCCATTATATAGCCCTCTGCGCATACGATCGTACCATGCGAGCCATTTCTCCCAAGCCCCTGAATCCGACTCGAAAAATGATTCTTGCTGCGGGCCTACGGCCCAAGCTGTATCGGCATGCCCAGCATGTTCAGGCCAACATTCGACTGCATATTCAAGAAATGGGATTTCCTGATCGCTGTCAAATTCAACCAACTCCAATATGAAGTCGATGCAGCGATTTGCCATATCAGCATGAGCCTTCGTCTCCTCGATTCCAAGCTCTTCCTTAACCAGAAAATCTTTCACTGACTTGTGTAAGAGCCGCACATGCTTGTCTTGAATAACAATCATTAATCGGCACAGTTCAATTAACTCCTTGGTGAATTGAAGACGGCTATCCTCATCGTCATCGGGGTATAGTTGGCAGAGAGCACCAAGTTCAAGCACCGTCAACGGCCGCCGCGCAATTGCAACGAACTTCATCAAATTCTTCATGATTTCTTTCTCGTCATCATCATTGCCTCTGTCAACTAGAGCCGTCTGCAATAACTGCCGATACAAATCATGCAATCCTCGTGGCATTTCCTTGAGGATCTTGGTGGCATTTCTCGATCGTACTTCTGGTCTAGCGAGTTCACTGCAGGCAATTCCTACCCATAGGAATGTTCCCTCAGCCTTGTCCTCTAGGATTCTAGAGATTTCCTTTCTCACCGAGTCTGGGTACTTTTTTCTCGCGGCCAGATCGTCAACTTTTGCTTTGATCATGATCCTGATATCGTGCTTAATCGCTCTGTAGGAGGCCAGATTTTTATTTGTAAAGTTGGATAGGTATTCGCTGATCTCAGGATAGGGACGACTAGTTATAAGGATATGCAGGTGAGACGGTGGTGAGTCTGCCAGCTGTTCTCCGAAGGATTGCTGGATCTGGCGTAGAAGGTCTTGCTGCGAATCCGATTCGCATTCGTCCAACGCGTCAATGATGCAGTATATCTCAACGGCAGAGTCCTTTCCCATTTCCATCAGAATACCCCATAATGCATCGAACGAGTTATTCCAGCCCTCCTTTCTCTCGTTATACTTTGGCAACAGGAACTTGGCCAAGTGTGGACACTGCTTCACCAGAAAATGGATCAGACCACGTAGAATCGAAACAGCCGTACGCTGTTTGTCGTTGCTAGAGTCGCAAAAGAAATAGGCCAGGACTTTGCGTTTGTTCGTAAAGGCCTGTAGCTTTGGGATCTCGTCTGCCATCGTCATCGCCATAGTCGACTTTCCAGTTCCAGGGTTGCCGTGCAGCCACAGGATACTTGAACCTCCTTGGGAATCTGACATTTGAAGCCAGTCCATTAGTTCATCGGTTTCCAATATCCATTCGCATGTTCCAGCCGCACGGCCGCCCTTGCGTCTCCGCAGAGCATTCTTATCATCTTCCGGGTCTGTGAGAAACAGACTCTGTAGACATGCCTCTTCATCTGCTGTAAACCCGACTTCATACTATTAGCACTCTAGTTCGTTTATATTCCATGCAATTACATACCTTTCTCTGGTTGTTTGCTATTATTTATAGTCACTGGAACCGTGGATAACAAGGTTTTGGCATATGCAGCCGCAGTCAGCGCTGCATATGGCTGCCACTCCTTGTGCTTGTGAGAATCACAATAATCACAAATCCCACGTATAACAAGGGAAGGCAGCTCATCCATGATCCCAGCCGCCTCCATTTCAAAGCAAAGAATATCCAGTTCATCCGCAATAGAATCACGCGTCTTGGCATCTTTCATAACCTGGTCCCCGGATGCAATAAGACCATAATGAATACACGGTTCATCAGATTCGTCTCGTAACGGGCGATCGACCAGCTGATCCTGATCACATGCTGAGCAGTAATCAGGTTGTTCGTGATAGTAGTCTGCCTTGAAGAGCATATCCCTTTCCGGACGTGCAAATTGTTCTCTGATTGTATGGTCCGTCTGGCTCAGAACGTCGCGAATCTGCCTTTTTCCCGCCATCTGTTCACCTTCTAAATGTGCCATTGCTTTCAGCAAGACCTGGGGAGGTTTATTAAGCGATCCTGTGCGCTGGAGCTTTCCCTCGCGAACTGTCTTGCCATAATCATACCGAATCACCCCGGATGAAGACCCAATTGGCCTGCTAACAACGACATCGCCGAGGCGAATATCAGCTCGAGCTGGAACTCCCCCTCCAATACCAACCATCAGCCCGAATTGGATATTCGGGTAAGTCGAAACCATATGCGACACGGTTGTGGAGGCTGACACCGTCCCGTAGACTCCAAGTGGTAGGCATACCAACACTACATTATGGCCTTGTACAGTCCCAAGCATGTAGACGTTATGGTCGGTTTTGGGCTGTGGTAGGGAACTGTGAATCTCATCCAGCATGGCTTTTGCTGCGATGATTTCTATCGGTACGGCGCAGATCCAGGCCACTGTGTAGTCATTGTGTGTTAAACGCATCGCGTTGGACAAGATAAAATGCCCTGCGTCCTAATGATGGCAACCTTTGGGTAAGAAGACAGGAATAATAAGATGAAAAGGAAGCTGAGGCGGGGTAGTCAGATTGGCGCTGAACCCGCAGCTGAGATCGGGCGCTTCGTTTTGCAGAGGGGCTGTGATGAACGAGGCTGATCTAGTACTCGTTTGGTGACAGACCAGCATGAACTTTTAGTAGTATTATTTCGGCGAACCCATAAAGGAATACCTTGTCTCCATCTCCTTTGAATGGAAAGTCCCATGCCTTCTAAGTTATGTGTATATAAATATCGTAATCCCTTCTACTCCGTATGTGTAGATTTCTTAAGTTCTAGCGGTTGAAGAATAAATCAGCTTCTCCGTCACATTCTTCAGTGAATATGCAAGTGGTCCTACCCAGCTCAATACAAAGACAAGTGAGCACAACAACAAATGCAGAGCAAACTGGGAACACCATTTATACTCAGAGTATGGAAACGATAATGCTGTGTAATATATTTTGGCGCCAGAGATAAAAATAAAGGTTGTGCCCGTAATTACGACCCACATCTATCCGGTATAGACCCCGTAGATCTTACCGTCCACGCATCGTCTTGTACGTATTAAGCGACGTATTCAGGAAGATTGCTATTGGTATGCATCGGGAAGAGATGAAGATGTCTATGGCTACCTAGCATCTCTATGCCCAATGCGCCTAGAGTAAATCGTAAGAAGCTGAAGTCTGGAATTGCTGAATGGGTATAATACATGGCATCCTAGTCTATCTAAATTTATAACGTCTATTAATTTGAATCTGCCGCCACAAACTCCGGAACTTTAACATCTGGGTTCTCAAACACGGCCTCCCAATGCTCCTTCGTCCGCTCACAGAGCCTGACTTCTGACTCCCAGGATTTAAAAGCCGGCCGCATATCACACACAACGATCAGCGTCTCCTCCCAAAAGGCCTTCTCGACATCCCATCCTAGACGTTGCATCGCCTCGGGAGGGTGTGTCCATAGCCTGATAGGTTCCCCGTTAATATCTGTTAACTTTTCACCTAATAACTCTTTCCCTGGGTTAAATTCTGGGTCTCCGGCATGAATAAAGAAGGCTCGAGGTGGACTAGAGACTGAAGGATCCTTGACTCTCCATTTCCCTTGGCTGGTCAGACTATAGTCCTGGATGGGATCAGCCTGGATATAGCCAGCGTTAATTGCAATATTTGGATCCCATGGATCGGGGTTTCCTATATCCACCACTGTTTCACTAACAGCATAAAAGGTTTGGTTCAAAGCGGTTGCAGCATGGAGGAAGGTATCTTTGTCACCTGCACCCGGCGCACCCTGCCCGAGCAGTATGTAATAATAATCTGGGCCATAGTAATTGTAATAGGCTGCCAGCATTAACGTTGAAAAGTGGGTTTCTTTTGAAACAAGCAGTATTCCAGCCTCTGTTGCCTGTTGGGCAGTGGAGAGCGGTTCATCTTGTCGAGAAATATTCAAGTATACCGGTGCTGCCGAATTAGCCCAGAAATCCGGCCACGTAACAAATCCAGTAGATTTAAAGGACTCAGTGTTTAGTATTGACACTGGATCATAGAGAGCAACGCAGTCCGCGTCCAGCCAGAGGATGCTCTCAAACGAAGAGAATAACATGGCGAACGACTTGATCTGAAAGCCATCTATCCCTGGCATACTCTGCCTATTTTCCTCGCCTGCAACATCCTGACCTGCAAGAATATCCGACAGCACCACGCATTTTGCGCCCAGCGGGGGTAAGACAGTTTCGCAAATTTCAGGTTCATACTCGGTCTGGTCTTTCATAAACAACTCCACCGGCAGAGTCGATCCAGTCCGCCGCAGCAACAAGAGGGATACCAGAAAAGTAGGCAGATAATCACCTCCCGCAGAGGACACTATGCCAGTTGTTCCGTGTACATAGGGACGATTGACTGTCAGATTGCGGATAGCTTGCACAAAGCCATCATGCACTGCTTGCATGGGGAGTTGAATCTCATCAACATTGGAGACGTAGTTTTCACGGGGTGTCTCGTTTATAGCATCAAATCTTCGGGCACCTGCGCTGTCATGCAGGGCTGGTTGAGGACAATCTGGCTTGAATTCCTCAAGCAGGGGGTGAAGCTGCTGCCACAGCTGGGAGCGCCGGTCTTCAAGTGAGATGGCGGGTTGGCGCTCCCAATGCGAGTAAAAATAATAGAAATTAAGTAAGAAGAGACCAGCGCAGAAGTATGCGATTGTTGTTCTTGGAGGAGCCAGCATTTTGTGCACTCCTGCGATGAGGAAAGAAAGAAAGACAGAAAGACAGAATGCAGCTGTTGGAGAATGGGGGGATGTAACATGTCATACAACACTGGTAATATACAACCAAAACAGCGGGCGCCCGTTCTTTGTTGTGAATGGGGCGGGTGAGTCCGCCCTGCGTAAGCCCCTAATTTGATTGGGCTGATCTCGGCTCTTGCCGTCTTGTGTCTTACAAGATTTTGTATTGAAGCCTAAGCACTGCAGTCCTGCCATTGCACTGAGAGTAGCTATTCACATAGTCGATGTATATTTAATCTGTGATCCTACCCCATGTATATCATAACAAATTGGTATTGTCAAGGCCTATGCGGGCCTACATTCAATCACGTTCTACCCCACCCCCGAACAACCTCGTCAAAATGGGACTTTAATCTTCCCTGCCAGCATAGTTATCCTCCCGGCTCTCAGCATCAATATCAAACTTCTGAGAATATCCAAACCGCCCAGGCTGCTACCCCCGGACCTTCCCGGTAACCCGATACTAGGCCATCTTCCACTCATCCCCAGGAACCATCCCGAACACACCTTACACTCGATGGGGCAAGCAGTACAAGTCAGACACCCTATACTTCAACGTTCTATCCCGGCCGATAATCGTTCTCAACAGCATGGAATCTACCCACAATTTACTCAACAAGTGTAGTGCCAGCTATGCGCATCGCCTGCGGTTTGCCCTCTCCGAAGAGATGGGCTGGGAAGCCACCACCATGCGCTAGTCACAGCAAGCAAGATAATTGTTACAATCTTAAATCTTATATGGCTTCAATTTATGCTTGGCTATTGTGCTGTTTCACTAAAAGACGGTATCCGAATACAATCGGGTTTAAATGTCAAGGTTTACGTTCTCAAATGCGCTGGGTGATCTCCAATTACTCCTGTAAAGTAAAGTAACGTATATCTTCCTAGTGCAGTTCTGCTTCCACATTTCCCAATCTTTTTGATTTTGATTTCTAATCACTATTACCTTCTTCTACTCCTTCATTTCACTTCTTGATTTTAGAAAATCTTTCTACCAACTACGCGCTACAAAATGGCCACCGCCGAGATAGCTATACAAGCCCCTGGCTCTACGCTTTCCCCATCCAGAAACAGGGCTGTTTCGCAAGATGGACCCTACGAGATGGACATCTCGCCCATTCCAAAAGCAAATCCTGCTCCTACTACCGACGAGGCCGAACCTCAAGCGACAGACCCAGAAATCGCCCGGACAAACATCCATTGGAAGGCCAAATGGCAGCTGGTCAGCGCATGTCTCATGAGTCTCGGAAATGGAATGAACGACAGTGCCCCTGGTGCTCTGCTTCCATACATCGAAAAGGATTACAGTATCGGTTACGCCACGGTCTCGCTCATCTTCATTGCCAACGCCGTAGGCTTTATCCTTGCGGCTCCGGTCTCGCACAGTATCAATGCAAAGCTCGGCCGCTGCAAAAGCTACGCGCTTGCTACAGGCTTCACTACTGCGGGTTACGTGATTATTGCCTGCCATCCGCCATTCCCTGCGGTCGTGGTTGCATTCACCGTTTTAGGGTTCGGTCTGGCGCTGACTCTTGCGTTCAATAATGTCTTTTGCACAAACCTTCCCAATGTGACTACAGCCTTGGGGTGCTATTCTGGTGCCTATGGAATCGGCGGTGTTGTCTCACCCTTGTTCGCAACAGCCATGGTGTCAAGTGGTGTCCAGTGGTCGTTATTCTATACCATAACCCTGGCGGTATCTGTCCTCAACATGGTATTCGCCTGCTGGGCATTCTTCAAGTTCGAGGACAATGCACCAAATCTCGTCCAAACCAACACCAGACAAGACGAACATCCTACCCGCCGTGAAGTCCTCAAAAACTCCCTCAAAAACCGCACCACCATCCTCGGCGCCCTCTTCATCTTCGCCTACCAAGGCGCCGAAGTCTCCGTCTCCGGCTGGGTCGTCTCCTTCCTAATAGCGCACCGCTCCAGCTCACCCTCCCAAATCGGCTACGTCAGCTCCGGCTTCTGGGCAGGCATCACCCTAGGCCGCTTCCTCCTCGTCTATCCCTCCCACCGCATCGGCGAGAAAATCGCCGTCACAATAATGACCGTCGGCGCCATCGCCTTCCAACTCCTCACCTGGCTGATCCCCAACGTAATCGGCGAGGCTGTGGCAGTCGCAATCCTAGGCGTGCTTCTAGGCGCAGTATACCCTTGCGCCATGGCAATATTCGCAAGATTACTACCGCGGAAGATCCAATTATCGAGTCTGAGCTTTGTCAGTGCCCTTGGCAGTAGCGGGGGTGCAGTATTCCCGTTTATGACGGGGCTGATGGCGCAGAGTGCGCGAGTTGGACTTGGGACTGTTGTGCTGCATCCGATTTGTTTGGTGTTGTATGGGGTTATGGCGGCGAACTGGGTGTTTCTGCCGAGGGTCATGAAGAGAAGCGAGTAATGTTGATATTGGTGTTGTGATGGTGCGTAGGAGAATGTCCTGTAGCCCTGTTTATGGAAGGTGTTGCCTGGTTGTTCTTTCCTGATATATTGAAAAGTTGCATGGAAAGTGGTTTGGCAGATGAGGAAAGCGCGATTGCCAGTTACATGAGGCAAGTGCAGCCCGACCTGGGATTCTGTTCATACGGAAACTACGACATGACTGAATCGAGCTTTCCTTGTTGAGGAGAACATATTGGGAAAGTACGATCGCATCGTTGCAGTGAATGCGGCAGGTGCGGCCTGCGAATGGGTTGTGCAAGTGTTATTGCAAGACAAGTGTATGGTTATTCTATTGATAATTAAGTATAGGCCTAAAATTTTAATAGAGTTTTCATATCTCTGACTTGTCAGGCCATGTGTACCTACGATGTGTAGATGCAGAAATGGAAACTCCAGGAGGAACGACTGCAGTTCACCAACCTCCGTTGCGTAGGAGATAAAATGAGCCTGCTAAAATGAAACTCAACGGGCTTACTGGGCAAGAAGGTGCAACTGGCTGGTCACTCTTTCCTCCTACCGTATGGCATTGCAAAGAGTGGGCGAGGAAGGTTCGAGGGAGAACATGTTCTATAAATGGCAAGTACGGCCACTTCAAAAGCTAGTTGTATCGGGCAGGTATGGATATTAAGGCACGGTTGTTCTTTCCTTGGATTATTATCGGTTCCTTCAGGAAGGCGCGTTTTGGAATGAAGAAGGCGCGATGGAGAAAGTGGTTGTATCAGGAGGAAAGCGCGAGCCTCGAAAGAGTTATACACGGCAAGTACAACGAAAGGGTCTTGTTTGTTCCTTCCTTGAAAGAGGAAGTCGCGATTGGGATGAGCTTGGTCGTGGTTACTCGGTCTAGAAGGGTTTGATGGTGTATGGAGTATACGAGGTATAGATTGCGTGAGGCATCGGACTTCGAAGGCTGACACTATGCTCTACAGTAAGTATATCAAAATGCAGTTAGTTGTATTATTCGCATGGAGGCTTATCTATTATGGTAAGATGCGTCATGTCAAGGCTATTGCCCATTGCTCTTCGGGGCTGCTCAATTTTGGAATACTTATCAATCCAAGGGCAGTTTAACAAAGCAGAACAGAGTGTGCAAGGACTTAGACTCTCTGCTGACAGATAGGGGGTGTCAAAAGGTGAACTCCCGGGATTTTTAGGTCAAATATGCCGGTCCAACTCAGAGAGCCCCTCTTAATCAAGGAATGGGAGGTTGAGACGGGGGATTTAATTCGCTAAAATCCCTTCACCATTCGGGCTTCTTAGATTACAGTCGGTAGATTTTCGGTTCTTCTATCCAGGCTTCACCTTGCTGGAAGTTCATAAAATCGGCAAATGATAGGCGCCTCAATTCAGACTCTCTGCCAACCTCACTCTTATCCACCCTTGTCAGCCGCAAATAAAAAGGACCGTTTGCCGTTTCTGAGACGGTACAGGCCAGAGGATTTCAAAGGGGAGGTAAAAAGCCGATCAGGGAATTGACTCCCGAGAAGAGGACTTTCACTTCTCTCAGGAAGATCTGCACCGCAGGAAGAGAGCCCCCACCAATCCCGATGACTGCACCGACGAGGCGACTCCGTTAACCATCATATATCTCGAGCGGTGAAGAAACCGATCACGAATGGCCAACGGCGAAAGGATCTCCCTGAATGGTGAAAGGTGGGAATATGTGCGTTTTGGCCAATCAGGTGCAGTCAAGGACGGCTGCACCCCATTTGAGAAATCAGATACGACGTCTCTCGTCTTGGGTCTGGAGACTGCATTGTCCTTGGCTTGGCTGTCCTCCCGAAACGGCATGCGAGATCGATCCTTCGGTCAATCCAAGTCCGTCCAGACAAGGTTAAGGCCTGATTTTGCGTGCTCGGAGTTGGGGCCTCTTTTCGTTATGCTCGTATCCTAACCTAGTCAGATGTGGAACAGGGAAGATCGGAGTGGGGAACGATGGGATCATTCTAATCACTTGCGGAGTAGTGGCTCGTGTTGATAGTTCTTGAGTTTCTCGAAGAGAGCCAGGTCCGGGCCCTTGGTGCACAAATTCCCTCTGGCCTCTGCTCACAAAGGCGGCTGTGATTACTATGGCATGACTCAAATTGCCCCACTCAGTCTCGCTTTTAAGCTTCAGCTCCATGTCAACGCTGGCTGTCTTCGTACAAGAGAAACGGGGTCTGATGGCTTGCGAGGTAGTCATGTGGCGTAACGGGTGCAAATGCTGATGATGGCATGGTTTTAGGCATCACAGCAATATCCCTGAGCGGGGAGGAAAAGGAGGTAGGTCTGTGCAGATGAATTACTATTCCTGCCCGGGCGTTGGCGTTTTGTTGCCACGCTGATCAACGACGCTGTGTAAGGATACAGTGGCGTGGCCGAAGGGGAATAAACTCCCGCCAAGTTATATCCCAGGTTGACCCTGCTGCAGCGTTGGCGCATGAAGTATTCACGCAGAAAGAAGACATTGTTAGTTCATCCCCGTAAAGACCAAGACACGAGCCTTGTCGTCCAAGGATGACTGCCCGATGTGGGCCCCGACAGCAACGTTTGTCCCAAAGCAGTGTAGGATATGAAATAAGTCACAGGCAAAAAAGGCCGCAGCTTAGATTGCACAGGCATTTCCTTGGCAAGCCAGTCGAGCTAGTGATTTAGGGCCTAGGCTTGACAAACGAGGCTGAGGGGATCCTGTTTCATCCACTCGTCCAATCTTATTTGCGAGGACGAGTAAGACGGCCATGCTTGCAAAGGGGGTTGATTTGTTTGCTTCCAGCGTCTTCAAGTTGCTTCGCTTTAACTCCGTCGGTTCTTCCGCACTGGGGGCTATCACGCATTTCGCGGTTTCATTGTATCAGACGTAGCATTCGATGTCTGCAATTCTGGATATTATTTAGTTAAGATTACTCCATAAGAGGCTATCCACTACTCCACAATACTGCTGTTGCCTGCAGTGGCTGTGCATAGTGTGCCAAACTGCCTCCGCCTCCTGACCTCGACCGTCAGCCCCTTCGCCCGAGAGTCATCGAAACCAGAAGCCACGGTCGATGGCGAGGTACATTGCCGGCTCTTCCCGGACAGTTGGCACGTTTTTGTTGGCCTGTTTCCCTCCAACTGTTGTCTGCATGGCTGACCGGTCCTGGCCAACGTCACTCGCGTTCGGCCGTTCAATGCCAACCGGCGCATCAGTCTTTGCTGGGGCGCCAAGATGTCTGCCGAAATTCAGTCGCTTCAGCCCTGGCAGCCGCAGCGAAGGGTCAAAGTTGATGAGGATAAACGCCTGGTCGCCAGGCTGGAGACCGTCCCGGTTCACCGAGTACACAATGGATCTATCGTCCGCCAGGGCTTGAACTTGCCCGCTTCGCTTGGAGGGGCATAGTAAGTTATTTAATTCTTCAGGAGCGTCATCGGGGGGCCAGAGATGGACGCCTCGGGTTTCGAAACGCTCCTCGCTGTTCTCTACCAATCGCCCGTCTGCTTCGCTAAGCTCAGGTTTGAACAGAAATCCCGGCTTTACCTGCACACCTTCCTCGTCGATAGGGCACTTCCGCTTCCTCGATACGACGCGTATTCGCATTCGATCACGGGGCACGAGCTCGCCGCTTCGCGCCTTTGGGAGCGGGTCATTCACGAGATCAACATAGCTGGATGCGGAGATATTATATGTGCGGAACTTGGTTTTGGCCAGGATGAAGTCCCGTCTAGGCTGTGGTTCGGCGCCTCCCTCGTACTCGGAGTGGTAGTGTCTGCGGAGACGCTTTCTTGGTCGCTCATAATTGGGTTTGCAGTTCTCGTCCAGGGTCTTAGCGAGTGGCTCGTCAGGTAGAGGTGTCAGGTAGTAGTCAGAGGGCGGCTGTTGTTTGTCGACGTCGGCCGGCGCCGGCAGCTGCTGAACGTAGTACGTTCGACAGTTCTGACTCCCACCATCACGCCACTCTCTGCGGCACTCCAGAATCATTGGCTGTCCAGTTTCTTCGTCCTCTCTGAGTGAGAGGTCGGACCAAGTGTCATTGATCGGGCCCTCTCGGTGCTGTCGACGCCAGGTGCGGTGGGTCTTGACGCCGTCCTTGTGTGTTGTGAGCTTGGGATCCAAGCAGATCCAAACGTAATATGAGGTCCAATCAACTTCCTCCTCCTCGAAATCAACCAGGGTCGAAATAGCGTAAAGATGGTCCTGGTAGACTTCAAAGCAGACAGTTTGCCCAATCTCACTGCCGGCAAATTTATCCAACACAACCATATTTTCACTCTGTGTTTTTCCATCCCTCAGATCCACACAGTTGACTTCCCATTGAGTGTAGCCGTTAAATCCAAGCGCAGAATGTGTCCCGTAGTAAAGATATCTGCTGTTGTGCCGAATGAATAACCGTTGCGTTGATTGAATTGCCTTCCGGCATCTCAGACGGGGACTTTTCCCTGGCAACTGGCGCCGCAGGTCCAGGGCCAAAATGTAAGCCTCAGCCCTGTCGTCCATTTCTACCAGGAATGCAACAATCCAATCGCTGTAATTCATGAGTGAGACCTGCGTCATCCCGTTGTCGGGATTGTAGCCGGGGATTAAGCGCCGCAGAACGTTGGGGAGATTCAAAACCTGCTCGACGCGGCTGGCACCACGCACGTCCAGAGCACGGATTTCATCATTGTAGATGTAACACAGCGAGCCCCCGGAGTACAGGAAAGAACTTCCATAGCCAAGGACAGACGCTGAGTAAGGCTCGGCGGTTGCAAATGACTCCTTGATGTCGTACAGATGGCCGATGGCTTTGCGGTAGCCCGTCTTGGTTCTCTTCGCTTCTCGCCCTTCCCTTGTATGGGAAAGTGTGCTCTGCGGCGGTTCAAGTCAGCGTTTGCCCCGAAAGGTGAAGGGGACTGGGGAGAGACGCACCCTGACGGTGTTACGAGCAATGGAATCGCCTCTGGTCAGGGCATTGAGAGCGCGGTTGGCTTGGCTGAGGTGGATGTAATCATGGCAATCGAGAGTCGAGGCCACCTGGAAGAAGACATCGTATGGGATGGAATCCAGGTTCTTTGTCATTTCTTCTATAGGCAGAAGAGCGGACAGGACGCCGGGAAACTAAAGGAACGAGAGGACAAACGAACCGATGCAGCGAACTGATCTTCGACATCTGATCTCCGAGGTCGAAAATTAAGGGATTGAGCAGCCGAGCAAGTGGTGCTGACTGGGAAGGGAAATTAGTGAAGTGTTTAGGCGGGCAAGACCCTTGTTATGGTAGAGTGAAGCAGGCATTGAACAGCGACCGATTTATTAGGGCGACATGAGGCTCAACCTCGCGAGAGTGTGGAGATAAAGCATGAATTGAAGCACGGGCTGGGAATGAGGAATGGGTCAGTTCCATGGATGGAGTAAAAGCCAAAGATTCCGGTGTGGGTGCTCAAGCACCGTGAGGCTCAAGCTCCCAATTTCGAATACCCGGCGTTCCCCCACCAACACCAACACCACCAAGTTACCACCGTGCAGCACTCGCCTGTCTGGTTTCGCCCCTCTGGGCCATCCGGTCACGATCGTCCAGTAACTCATATCTTTCCCCTACTTCAGTGGCAAGGCTGCTGACTCTCCCTGCTGTCCCCATCTCAGTTTGTGGCGACTCGCCCAGCCACCAGAGCTGAGTCCTCTTGGGCCGATTATTTTGGATCGCTACGTTATTACTTCATCTACAAGAGTTTGCTCATCTTTCACTTGCTGCTGATTCTTTGCTGACGGACGCCCTAAAGCCACCGGTATAACTAAGTCTTGTGATGAAGCCCGGTCGCAGGCCACCAAGCAGGCCACCAAGCCGCCGTACTACCCAGAGTCCAAGGCTGCCAGTCCGGCAAGGCTGAACGCTTGACAACCAAAGTTCTGCTGTTTCCCCAAACTTGCGTCTGAGCAGTCTTGTTTTAGCCGGGCTCTCCTTCGGGAGTTACCCTTGCTCCTAAGAGGGAGGCTTCGCAATCCTGGGCTGCCGCTGCACAGCCTCCCACCGTCCCACTCAAGTTGCTGCAGGAGCTCCGGCCCACGAGACTGCGCTCAACATGGCCTCGACCAAACGTGAGTCTGAAGTAACTCCCCGCGTGATGCTGTCCGAGCATGAAGTGAGTATACTCGACATCCTGCTGCACTGCCAATGCGTAAATCTGCGTCAAGTTTGTCGACTTGGCCCATCCCCTGTCAACGTGTTCACCGGCTTGTGGTCCTAGGCTTCTTTGTTTGTTGTTCCACCTCGGTGAATTTCCAATCATATACGCTCAAGGCTCTCTTCAATCGACAGGCCAATCGCCGTGGGCTCCTGCTCTTATCGTGAGGGGTACATCCAGGCCATTGTACCTGTGCGACGGTGCAGAACAAACTTGACTAACTGCAAGGATAAATCGGAATCCCTGTACTCGCATTCGTTTTGCCCGGGCTAATCGCTCGTGCTTCCCCTCACTTATCTCGCAGTTCCTTTCTACGAAATCCTCTTTGTTCCCTGGACTTTTGTTTCAATTCTCTGCCAAGATAAAGCGCTCAGCACGCAAAGCTTCCAGAACAAAATTAAGAACCTTTAGCATCTATTCTCGACGTTCCAGAACTATTCTAGAACTTCTCTCGAAGCTTTCCTAGTCAGGTACTTGACCGAGGATCCTTGTCGGGTGCCTCTGTCGGATGCTGAAGAAAGATCCCAAAGAGCCAATTGATTCGAGAAACGTGTATACTGCCGAGATCCGAATGCAATGATCCACCAAGTAGTTGTATTTATAGAATATGTTTTCCCCAGCTTCAGAGTTACACAGCACCTCCTGTGCAGGCCAAAGCCTCGTCTCATTCAGAAGCCACGACCATCCCACAGCAAGGACTATCGATTCTGTGTTCTGGCCTCTGTGTTCTAGCCGCTGAGTCCAAATCCATTAAACCTTTCAGGGACTAGGACCGGGCCCCATTGCGGCGCTTCACCGTACATTTGGCATCGGCAGTGGCGAGAAATTGAGCCTCCAACCATCCACCAATAAAACACGCAGACGATGACCTCGCCCTTTGTTGAGCCGCTTCTTGGCAGAGAAAACGAGTCTGTCTCGGGGAAATGGCTGGGATGATACGAAACCTGTCCAACTGATCCAGATAGAAATGAAAGCTTTCCGAGTGCCTCACGACGGCGTCAAGGACTGGCTATCACTTTCTCCACCAAAGCTCGGTCGGACTCCCAGCGTACGATCTCAGAGCCTCATCACTGTGTATAACCTGTATAACCCTGCGGGTCACGTCATTGGCGTTTTCCAGGATTCCATACCTATCACAGATCGTGCTACTGTAGTCCGTGCCATCAAGCTTACGCGGCTGTTGTCTTTCAGATGAGCTCTCTGTTGTGCTGGTGAAAGTCAGCGGCTGGGCCTGTTTGAACAGTATTCCCGAGCCGCCTAACAGCGTGGAGCCTAAACTAGTCAAGCCGTACGGGATGAAATTGTATATTCCTTGGTTCATGATACAAGACTAGGGATCAACTCCACTCAGAGGAAATAGGGGAGGACAATCATCATTGGCAATCCGATCCTCACTTAACCCCTATTCATTATTATTGGCACAATGCAAGCGTTGAATTCAATATCGACGGCGACCACTTCATCCAAGGTTTAAAGCTGATGCGTGACCGACTTCAAGGGCGATATCTAGCGTATGCTCTGCAATGCAGGTGCTGTCACGCAGGATCTCGTGGGGTAATACCTCGTACTTTACTTAAATTATCTCTCGGGGCCCAGCTTACATCCCGGGTCTTAGCATGCTGATTGCTGCACGCTTCATCTGACACTGTTCTCAGACAATATTCTCAAACACGGCCCCCTCATCCATGCGCGATTTGCATCAGAACACACCCTCTTTCCCATCCCTGTTGACCTGCCTAGACCTGATTTGGAAGGACTTTGCTGGGTGATTGGATGGCATTATTCCCGCGTGATTACCCTCACATCCTAGACTAAAGCTAACAAGTGCGTACCGACCTGCTGTCGAGCCACGAAGTCCAGATTCGTTCGTTGAGCACGCGGGGCGGTCTTTAGCTTATAGAACTGGTTTAGTAAAAAGAAGAAAAAGAAAAGAAAGGAAGACAATTCTAAATAAGCCCAGACCACTGCTGGTCTGCAAACTACTTGAAGGCGTGATCACTGTACAAAAGCTCCAGTACCAATGGGGGCTTGAATATTGGGACCGTGCGTGGATGTGTGCTGTGTCATAGTGAGGCTGTGAGGTTGATCCGGGTTTGCCTGTCGCGTTAAGTGCGGGGCATGCAATAGACTTTGTTCGTATCTTTCCTGTCTTGTAGAGATACTTCAACCGTTTCAGGCCAAAGGCTATGGATGTGGGATGTATGTAGGATGTATATGTGCTGGCACCACGCATCGTGGGGTCCCACTCTTCAAGGCGAGGGTGAGGCCTTGTCGTTATCACTGAATCAGCAGTTTGAGCACTTTTCGGGTAGCGAGAAAAAGTGGCTCTTATCGTTTATGATTATGAGAATCTATTATTCACTGGGTTGTTTGAGAAACCCGGGTTGATCTTGTGGTAGACGGAGGATGTTGTCATCTCAGGTGCTCGGCGGCCCTAAGTACTCTGTAGAAAGGCCCAACCCCTGGGTATATTCGCTACCGAGTTAGCCTGCTATGAAAGTCCACTCCACGTCTTGCTTGTGTCTTCATAAGCAAGCCTGTTACTAATAGTCAAAAACGCCTTTGTGCGAGCATTAAGAATCATTAAGAACACTACCCGAAATATATATCGGAAAAGCTATTGTTGAATAACTACAGTGGCCACAGCTCTTTGAACTTATATCTATCAACGATACTATAGTATTATAGAAGTACCCTCCAAGTCTCTTTCATTCCGTAAAAGAATGTTGTTTGTGATGGGTGTATTTGCAGATGCACAGCCTGCAGGCGTCCTAATCTGTTCAAATTAAGCTCCAGCTCTCGTAGCCAAATATTGAAGAATCTTGCATAATCAGATAACGTGGCCGAGTGGTTATGGCGCTAGTTTCAGGTACTAGTGGGAAACCGCGCAGGTTCGAATCCTGCCGTTATCATCTGATTTTTTTTTGCCTCTTTCCGTTTGTTCACCTTGAATAATTTACTTAGAGTTAAAAAATATGTTGCTCGACTGCATCAATACAGTTTTGCCAAGTGGTTTTAGAGTTATTATAGTGGGGAACCATTTGCAGCAGGCAATCATGCACCCTCCTTGCGTCGCCTGCGATGCCAATGGATGCATTCTTTCGCTTCTTCAACCTTCATCTTGCTTCCATACCATCCGCTGTTTCATGCCTGTCTAACTCCTTGCGTTATGCCATCCTTCAAGTTCTGCATTTTGCTGCTCCATCAACCCCTCACCTGAGCAAGCATTCCTCCCAGCACCCGCTGCCTGCATGGATCTCCTTCTCACCATCTTGCAAGACGCCCGATGCACAAGGAATCCATGCGCATGAAACATCCCCCCCTCACTTTCTGTTGCACGAACATGGGTTCCCAGACAGATGGATGAAGCACCGCATACCCTGATTGGCACAAATTCCAGAGTTGCACTTCGGATGCCTTCTCAGTACCAGCGTGATGGTGCCCGGACTGGAAGCCCAAATATGGCAAGTAATCCTGGCGTTGCAAAGTGTGGTCTCTGTCTAGCCCTTGTTATCCAGTAGAATGGCATCTGCGCAAGGGATAGAAGAGCAGATATCGAGACCGCTGTGTTTGTTCCAGCTAGATGGTATGCACTCTGAACGAGTAGCTGAGCGCTGTTTCGCCGAGCGTGGGTTGGCGGGGGATGCAGAATGTCCCTTTCTTCTTTGTAGAGTTGCATCTTCTGCTATTCAGGGGGACAATGTCCTAACTGCCGCCGTCACAGCCATACAGGTGGAATTCGTGGCATGTAGTTGACTGATGGATCCCGAATTGGGACATGGAAAGAGCCTGACGATACTGTCTTGACTTTTCACTCCGCAAAATGGCTTCCCACATGATACGCAACAGCCATTTCATCGCCTTCAAAGTCCCCGCAAACAGGACAAGTCACTGCAGGCGCTTCCACCGGCGGCGGCGGGCTTTCATTCCCAAGTTGCGATTGCTGAGACGCGTCGTGATTCGCACCTCTCCCCCTCCCCCTCCCCTTCCCATTCTGCCGGGGCTTCCTGCCTTGCGTGATGTACGCATCCAGGCCAATATCACCCGATGGAAGCCCCGCCTCGGAGTCCTCAGTAGGTCCTCGACCCCTCCCCCGACCTTTCCCCCTTCGCGGCGCCCAATCCTCAGCCGGTTGCACTTGAGGTGTAGGGAGATCACTGGTACCATCCCCTCCTCCAGTACCCAGTTTCATAGACTGCACCCTCCCCACACGACCATCCGTCAGCCGGACCTTGATACCCCGCGGATGGTTTCCGCGGGTGAGCACATCGGCTATAGCGCCCGAGACGGTCCGGCCTGTGCGCTGGTCGGCTTTGAGGATTATGTTGACTGATGCGCCGGGGATGACGTCCTTTGTTGTTGGGACGCTCGGCATTTTCTATTTAACAGTTTTTGACTGTGGTGGGGTGGGTGTTGGTGTTGAGATGGTTGGTTTGGAGCGTGGATTTTGTGTGTTTGTGCATAAATATACACGTGATGGGCTATGCTTTGTCATCTGTGCATTAATGCGTTTCTACTGGGCGATATACTTCAATATATACTTCAAATGAATCCTTCTCATGGCAGCGCTTCATTCAATTACATATACAAGTCATGTTTAAAGGTATCTCAAACCAAATACCGAAACCCAAGCCCACGTACGCCATTCTCCTCCATGGCCACATCCTCCGCATCTAGTTTCCTATTTTCCCTCCCGAGGCAAATCCGCAGTACTGTCGCAAAGGCACAGCTCATAGCGAGCATGGCGATATTGATACAGAAGGCCTTTGTGTATCGTGGGGCATCTGAGTCTAGCAGTAGTGATTCTGGTTAGTGTTGCGCTTTCGGCTTGCGATGGTGCAGGTTTTTGTCAACTCACTAGGATAGAAATAAGAGGTATAAATCTGGCAGGCATTGCTCAGACATGTTATTATTGCTATTGCCGCGGCGCGTTTGTCTGCTGGTCTGGGGATCACTATTTTTTATTTGTTGTTAGTGTGTACCCTTAGAAGAGACAGGGGGAAGATACCGTTTGAGATATATCCCAAACCAACAATATACCCCGAGTATATCGTGCTGATAAGGAAACACATAGATCTAGGAGCTGTTATTTCTCAACGTTCACCTCAACGAATGCAATGAACTCACATATAACGAGGCACAAAAGATGTAGTCGCAGCGCCGAGAATAAACGCTGCGATTGCAAGGACAGCCGGTATGAAGATATGCAAAAACCGCTCGCCGGTCTTGTCAGAGTGCCAGGCATTCCCAATGAGAGCTACAGCGCCAATCAGGTATGGAGGTGTCGTAAGAAGGAGTGTTTCGACGTCTCCTCTTCCGAGTCCTTTCATTACACTAGCTTCATTAGCATGACCAGAAAAGCCATTATGCATAGGGCACCCACGCCGGGAAGAAATTCGTTATAGAGCCTGCGGACGTTGTGCCGTATACTGTACCAAGGAGGAGCCAGACTTTGTAGTCACTGGGACAGTAAAAGGGAGTTAGCCACTCAATTAGGGTTTAGCGAGGACTTGAGAACGTACAGGAATGCCCTCTTAGCCCCCAGATAGAATGACTGCTGCTCGCCGTCTACCCAGTCGTCTTCTCCGATATCCTCTTCGAGTCTCCACGCGGCTAGTTCCTTCTCTTCTTCACTGAGCCAGGATGTCGTTCGCGGAAGATCCGGTATAATGAAGTACGCGATAAAGGCAACTGCAATCTATCAATCGCAATGATGTCAGTAGTGCAGGTAAAGATTATGGCCAGTGAAGGCAGGGACTTACAGTAATTGCGCCCTCGATGATAAACAACCATCTCCAGGCTAATAGGCCTCTCGCGCCATTCAGATTATTGATAACACCCGCCGCAATAAGTCCAGAAAAGGCGCCCGAAATTATGGAGTCCGAGTAGAGCAGCGCAGTTCGTTTCACCATTTCCTTGCGGGTGTACCAGCATGACAGGAGATATAGGCAACCAGGCTAGTATGTCAAAATATCGTTAGCATGTTTCTGACAGTACCAATATATTCTGACAAATTCGAAGACCCACGAAATAGGCTGCCTCCGCGAACCCAAGGAAGAATCTACAGGCGACTAGGCCGCTGAACGAGGTTGCTGCGGCTGTGGCGGTTGAGATGGTCCCCCAGATCACCATCGCTGTTGGGAGGTAGAGGGACGGTTTCCCAAATTTATTTAGAAGCAAGTTCGAGGGGACTGTCAAGTAAGTCAGTACATACCCTCCATCTTAATGCTTAATTGTGCACCTACCCTGCATCAAAATATACCCAACGAAGAGAATACTGACTGTGGTCTATACATTTTAGACAACAACACCAGACAAAACCAGAAATATCATACCTGAAACTCATTCCCCTGCAGCCCAAGATCCTCTTCCAAACCGCCGAGCTTTGCAGAGGCGATGTTGTTCCGATCAAGGTAGTTGAGGACATACATGACGAAAGTCATAACCAACAGCCTGAAGTCGATTTTTCGAACCAGTTTACGCTCCATCCGAGACCTCTCTTCATCGGTCATGTTTTGGAGAAAGGAGGGCATTGCCGGTAGAGCAACGGCCACGTCCACGGGTTTAGCAATGTCGACATGCTCTGTGCAAACCGATTTTGGGCTCATAGCGGTAAATTATGGGTGATGAGCTCGAAAAAAGAGCGAGGAGTAAAAACTGAGTGCTAAAAAGGATTATGTGCAGGTACTTATTTACTTAACTATTGAATCTGGGGTCTGGGGTAAAACTGGAGAACGTAATTGTCTGTAGGTGATTGGAGGCATATTGCCCATCCGGCTAGTAACGGCCACTTTACAAAGAAATGCCCGTGAAGTTGGAGTACTTTAGGGCATACCAGGAACCAGATCTAGGTTTACTCGGTTTACTCCAACATTTGACACTATACCATGGCCGGGAAACGAGAGTTCTCAAGGGCTCACCTTTCAAGACTTGCCGACAAGAATAATCTTCATTTGCTGATTCATGGAAAAGGTTGGCTACCAAAACCTATGCTGTAACGTCCACTGATGCCGTTCTGATACAGTTTACAATGCTCAAACCTTTGTCAATGAGGTAGGTAGCTTATCGAAACGTGAGCTATTGCTAATATTATTTAGCACCCCGGTGGTGACTTGGTCCTTCTTGGTGAGGGAGGGAAGGACGCAACGAAAGCGTGGGAAGACGTGCAGCATTCCGAGGAAGCAAAAGAGCTGATGAAAGATTATCTCGTCGGATACTGCATCGAGGTGAGTTGAGAGCATACTGCCTATCAATACCCCGAGGTGTACTGACTCGCTTCCTTGTTAGAGTCCTCAAACATCAACATCCGAGTCCAGCCAAATAACTGCAAACGAGAAATCGCGATTGATAGCAAGGTATGTACTCTAAAATAAACACCCATTTACAGTCATTGACATGTGATAAAACCAGCCAACAGCCCGTCCTGGCTCTTTTATCCATCTTCCTTGCTATTCTACTTGGTGTATACTGGCAGGCCCAATGGCCAGTATAACCTTGTAGCATATAATAAACAGATAAAGAATTTATACCATATTCCAATCCATAACCCCGGACGTAAAAGGCTCCCAAAACTCCCTATCTTCGTTCCCAAACAGCGACGCAAGTGGCTCAGAAGGTAAAGGTCCACCCCAAGCTGAGTTCAAAGGCGACTCTTCCGGCGCAAGGCCAAAAAGGGCATCAATATCAGACGCCAGACCCTGAAACGGCTGCTCAGCGACAAACGAAGACTCCCTATTGCCCAGTAAGGCGGGAAGACTGTTATCACTCTCGCCAATACTATCAAGTAAGTTATTAGACATAGAGTCGGACCAGTTCACACTGGTATTTGCAGCCGGCCTGGGCGAGGACGGACGGGTAAGAGATGGAGTCTGCAGGTCTTGATCGCGGTATATACGGCCCAGTAAATTGTGTAAGGCAGAAGAGTAGCGGACGCCAGGATGCTTAGGGTCTGAGGAAGCGGTTGCCATGCATTTTGTGAGCGCGCGGATTAAGCGTAGGATGGCTCGCTTTTGGGATGCTGGAAGGGGGACAATCACGGCTGCCTTAAGGAGGAATACCCCTGCGTGGCTGAAGTAGAGGAAGAACCGGAGTGGCAGGTATGACAGGGCCTGATAGGAGTTAGGGGGTTGTTTGAGTATGGCAAGCAACGCACTTTTGAAGGATGGAGTCTGCCTATTGCGAGGCGGAGGACGTCTGCCTGGAAGTATGGTCAGATCCAGGACGGGGCTTGTACTTTGTGGGTAATATACCGCCGCATTAATAGCTTCAATAATAAAACGTGCATCAGAGGATCCCATAAGACCAGTTGGAAAATAATTCAAAGGGCGATGTGTGTCATTTCCACCAGCCCGCTGCATATATGCTTGCAAAGAGAAGGAGTAGATATACAGCCGGAGATGGTGCTATCAGAGAAAATCAGTATAACAGTTTGTTATAAATGAACCACGCACAAATGTTATCCAAACGCATTCGTTAATAGGATAAGTCCGCCACGTCTTCTTCTGCCATCGACTGCGGAATGCGGATAGCGCTGACAGGTCAGCAGTGCATGCTAACGAATTATAATAAATATCTTACTCTCTGTAAACTCGTCAACATGTTTATAGTAGTGCTCAGCCTTTGCCAAAGCTGCTGAGCGGCTTTTAGAAGGATACAAGAGGTCGTGGGCATTCGAAAGGACCTGCGTTATATGCACCAGACACTGCAGATACCCAGCATAGTCGTCCTGCACACCAGGTATGTCGCGCATCTCAGGAAAGTCTTCAGCAGGATCCATGTGCAGATGCTGATGCGTCATTCCAGGGCCTAGTATTATTAGACGCTTCTCTGGTAAGGGCATTGGCACTCACTCCTATGCCAGAAGGCCTTCCCTACGCGTATAGAAATCTGCCGGTCGAGCAAGTAGCAATCTGCAATCATCAGCAGGTTAGCCATTCCAGACTGTGTTAGACTTACAGCTCCAAGCGACCTTTCCCCTATCGCGATCATGGGCTAGCTTCTCGTCCAAATCCTCTGCTTGCATTCCCAATTTCTCAAGCCCGAGGAGATATCCTAACCTTACAGCCTAGCAAAGTCAATTCATATAAATACAGGAAGAACAGGCTAAACTCACTGTTCCGACAGTCATCCACGACATTCGATCCTCATCACCAAGTCCGGTGCCGTGGCCCATGTTCGGGGGATATTCTGCAACTCTCATTAACTCTGGTATGTCCAAAGCGTCCTGTCACATACCAGAGAGTAGTATCAACCCTTCAATAACCTCGATAGACGCATCTACACCTTTTATTGCCACCTCTGCAAAAAGACTCTGCACCCTCTGCCATAGCCGGTCATGCAGCGCCTGGTCACCCGCTAGAGAGGCCGTAACCACTAGAATTGCAGCCATAAAATGCGGTTCTTCGCCTGCCATTTTCAGGATATGCTCCGGTGTGATCTGCATTCGTTTATAGGGTATCAACGGCGTAACCGGATGGACAGAGCGAACATAGAAACTGAAAAGCCTGAATAGAGCCGTTTCGTCGATGAATCCTTCTTGAATTAGGAAGAAGGGTGGACTGGAAACATTTGAACCCAGAATATTTGCTGTTTCGCCTGGAGTCCCATGCTGTTCATCTTGGTGTACATCCTGAGTATTCGGCCCTCGATCATCCCCAGATTTACCCTCTGTCTGGTCTAACAGTCTTATGGCATCTGATGTATTCCGCAATGGGAACATCGCCAGCCTTTGACTAGCCATCTGCTGCTCGTAGCTCGTTGGTGTTTGATCGAGACTACCCCCAGAGCTAGAGACATCGTCACGGCTCTCAACAACAGGCTCGAACGAACCCATAGATGCCTGCCACGCGGGGTGAGACGTGGAATCACAACCTGCACTATTACCAGGGTTCGGAGTAATCGCAACTGCAGTTCTGCTTCGACCGTCGCGAGATGTCTTCGGAGGACGGCCCTTTCGCTTCTTCTTAGGGAGCACACATGGTAGACTTGCTCTGCGGCAGGTATGGCAGGGTGGGTTTGGACTGGCTGGATCTCCCAAGTTACAGCGCTGTTTCTTGCGCCGGCAGTTTTCGCAGGCTTGATAGACGCGTTTGAAGCCGGGTTTGGGTGAGGCGTCTCCTTGAGAGGCTATGCCTGTGTCTGCTGTGGTTGCCATACAGGAATTTTAATTAGAGTATAGAGTAAGAAGGTAACAAAGCGAATCGAATTTACAGAGGGAGCTGGTATAGCCGAAGGAGGGGAAATGGCCGGAAGTAGCCGTTGGAGAAATAGAATACTACGTGCACGCACTCTCTACTTTAACAATCGCTATGGAATTCTCTGAATAATTCGAATTCACAAAAATTAATGTAAATCTCGCCTTTCGAACCTCTCCCTAACTTTCATGGGAAGACCACCCCGAATGCCCTAAACATATCAGCACTCCGTGAACGTAAAGAAAGAGAACGTACCATATTCATAGCAGCAAGCGGCTCATACACCTTGCTATCATCTGCCAGGATAACATCAAACCGCTGAAGAATGGCACTGGTGATGGTGATGCCCTCGTACGTAGCAAGAGCACGCCCAAGACAGCTGCGCGGGCCCGCGTTCCACGAATGATATTCTAGACACGGTTAAGACGGAATGCCCTGGTGAACTGAGAGTGTATACTCACTGAATGGACTGTAAGAAATACTCTCCCCATTATCCTTGAACCACCGACTTGGCTTAAACACGGCAGCATCTTCCCCCCATACCTCGGGCATTCGCGCAAGAACGTAGTTCTGGTAGCCGACGATATCGCCCTTTTTCACCCGCCGAGGAGGCATATTCAGTTCTGGAACGGCGGGGAGAATATCGTCCTCTGCTGCTTCCATCTGCCCTGCTGGGGAGACGGTGTTGAGCCGGGCAGTTTCGTCCCACATTGCGTTTGCGAAGCGCATTTTCTTCGCGGTTAGTTTATGTTTTTCAGATGGTTGGATATACATACAGGAACGTCTCCGTAGCCAAGATAGCTAGAAGAGAAACCGAGATCGTCTGCCTCGGTGCGGATTCTGCTCACGGCGTCGAGATGGCGGTTGTCGACGTGGTGGATTTCCTTCATGAGCCAGGAGGTGCTGTATGCTGTTGTGTCGCCTATAAAACAGTAAGTATCTACTATCAACCTCAGATGTATACGCACGTCCGGCTGATAGGAAGGAGAAGACCATTCCGCCAAGTTTGTAGACGTCCGTCGTCGACTGCAGGAAGATATCCAGCAAATCAACGCCGGCATCGGGATTAGGCTTGTATCCATTGCGCATTGCCCCCAGCCTCTTCATAATCAGTCCGTCAATCTTCCCATAGAAGAGATCCACCGCCCTTTTAGTGACCTTGTCCTCGCCAGAGAGTCTTTCAGTAATCTTCCAGAGAGGATCCCGTCTTCGTCGGTCAAACACTGCCAAATCAGCCAGGCCCACTATCAAGAGGAAGAGAAACATACAAACAGTAGCCTGATCAAAAGCCCTAATATAATCCGGCTTCGTCTCCAAACTGACCGGATCTCCCGACAGCAAATCCAACGCAAGCCCCTCCTCATGGAACGCAATCTGCAAGAAAAGACAAAACAAGAACCTCCCCATCCCTCCTGGAAGTCAAACTCCCTGTTTTCCCTCGCCAGATTCCCCAGCAACTCCATCAAAACATCCAGCCATCTATGCACAGACGCCGTGATATGCGTTTCGAAATTCCGCTTACTGAACGCCCTCGTCGCCGCCTTGCGCTGGAACTGCCACTCCGCGCCATCGACCGCAAACACGCCAGACCTGTGCAGTGCCCCGAAGACGTTCTGCGTAAATGCGCCCCGGATGTAGTTCTTGCTGTTGTGTTTCTGGATGTGCTCGAGGTAGGTTGGGTGGTTGATAATATGCAGTCGGAAGAAGGGGATTGTGAGCTCGTAGGCCGGTCCGTACCGTTCATACAGCGAGTACCAGGCTTTGCAGCTGGCGGCGCCGTTTGTTTGGAGTTCTTGTACGTTGCCTTTGAAGGGTTTGCCCTTGGGGCCTAAGATCCAGGGGTTTAGAGAGGAGGAGGACCGGAAGGCGCGGTTGCGGTAGATCCAGAGGAGGCCTACAACCAATATTAGTATTTCATTTGACTCTGCTTGTCAGATTGGGAGTTACCGGTTGCTGTGAGCAGGATTAGCACTGCGGTGCTTTTGAGTGATACTACTACTATGTTTAGCACCTGCTGGGCGTCCATGTTGGCCGACATAGTGGGAATTGGTTGGTAAGAGTTTACTGATTTAGGCGCAAGGCGACTCCATTTATGTCTCAGAGAGCACCGCAAGTATCCGAGTCTGGAAAGTTTCCAGTATGGATGGTGGTCCGGATACTATCGGCCATTTTCATATACACTACATTACTTTCAATATTTAGCTTATCATAAAGGATAAACCACGCTGTTTGATTGTTAAAAACTGCCAGTTGGACGTGGATACAAAGGGCTTTGGTAAGCTAGAGAGCATTATCAAAATAAACCACGAGAATTCCGAGTCCATCAAAAAGTGCTAGATATGGGAATTCCGGCCCGTCTTGTGGCTAGGCTTGTTTCAAGCGCACGTCAAGCGCGCCTGTAATGCTCTTTATATCCTGGAGCAGGTCGGCCGTGGCAGTAAAGTAGGAAATGTCCCCCTTGTCTGAGGCACCAAACAACATCCCCAGCACATCACCGTTCGCATCGAAAAGGAGCGACCCCGAGTCGCCAAGCTCGAGAAACGCTCCGGATGGCTGTGTCACTACGTGCTCCCATGTTTGACGACTAACCGTATGCCCGTTCTTCGTTTCATTTTCCAGGGAACATGATTGTAGGGCGCCGAACTGACCAGATGTGAAGCCTGATACACGGCCTATCTTGTACACTTTCTCGTCCTTTGGGGGTAGGGCAGTTTTGAATTGGCCGACATGGCGTCTATGGAGGAAGCCACTCAAGGTCCCGATCTAAAATCCTCGTTAGACATAATAACATGCCTGGACAGGCGAATCACTTACATCATTCTCCCCGGCTGAGCGGCCACTCTTTGGCTGTACCAAGGCCCAGTCGCGAACAGACAACTTGCTCGGATCGCTAGTCGAGGGAACTTCACGGAGTTTCCCGAAGCGGCAAACACATTTCCAAGGACATGCTGGCCGGTTTGAACAAATGACTCTCTTCGTCCAACTCCGACAGACAATCTGATGCCCTCTTCCATCCCTCTTGATCACCGGAAGAACTAGATCTGCCTTGCGCTCTGGCCCCCTCAACTCTTCGGTAGGCATGATCGGCCTTCGTTACATCTATCAGCGACTCCTTCGCGTCAATCCCTGCCTTGATGTCGCGATAGCATGGTGCATCCACAGAGAGCAGACGAGCTGCGTCCGGGTCACCAAAGCGGACTCCTTCTTGCTTCCACTTCCAAAGAACTAAAAAAAAAATTAGTTGATGATATTAAAAATGCTGTAGCAACTTACTCTCTTGATCTTCATCATTTAGTGCGCCTCTTGGGGGAAGGCAACAATGTGTACAGGTAATGGCAAAAGACACCCATTGTCCGGTTCGTGGGCTTTTGAGCTCAACCCACCCTCTGAGAGTCCCAATCGCATCCTTCATGTTGTGCGGGCCTAGGCTATATCCCAAGGGAGGGTCGGGGCGACAATCGGAGGGCTGGATGGGGTTTCTTTCGATGTTGTTGGCTCTCCGGGGCTTCTTATCCTTCCTGATGCGGACCCCAACACTCTCGAGGCCCCGTGAATTCAGGGCACTGACTATCGCTTCCCGAACGACCTTCCAGTCCCTGAATACCTGCCTGTCTATGCCCACCAATACCGTCGGTGGGCAGCGTAGCCGGTCCATGTCGCTCCCGATGCGGAAACACCCAATGGTGTTGATTCCCGTGGTATCATGGACTCGCGCAAGGATATCATAAACGATGTCCGTCCACACCGGGACCACGGCGTCATTGGGATGGCAGCTATGGATTTTAGCGTCCTCTTCAAGCCGTGGGTCCATTATCTCCACTGATAGTCCCGGTAGCATGGCACATTGCTATCGGAAATAGCAGTGGTCACGAGTCCACTGAACTTTGGCATTGGCTTTGCATTCTTTCAGGATCGACCATTCCCATAACTTCTGCTCGTCAACCCACTTATTGTTGACCGACTCAAAGCGATCGCGGATAGCTGAATAGAGACGCCCGTGTTTCTCACGGCAATAGTCGGCAGCTGCTTTCCAATCCTTGGGAGTGTATGCGGAATATTCCTTTATAAGTAGTATGTCCCGCAGAGCGACGGTTGTTCCATCTGCACTGACCTATATGTGGGATCTCTTCTCTTTGTCCTTGTCTTCGGGGGATATGGCCTTGAAGAAGACTGTCTGGCCTGCTTGTATAGTAGTGTTTCTATATTTATCTCGCCGCGGCGGACACCTATCCGACATTATTCTGATAGGGATAGACAACAGGTAATCAGCTTCGGAGGTATCCATGATAGGACGGCGAGGAGGAATAGAAATAGATATACCCAATGAGGAGTCCAGGAAAGGGTGGTATCTGAGATTTGTAAACCGGAAGGCTTGACCAGAATTCAGGATATCATTATCTCGATCATGGTAGAAACCATCATTAACCTCATGGTGCTTTAGTCTCCCCTTCCCCTTGCGGCCTTTTATCTCGATATCGGAAGGTTCCACCAGCACGAGGTTCTTCTCTGGCTTGGACGACAGAACGTTGAGGTAATCGTCCCTAATTTGGCCCTTGTCCGCGCAGATGATACTGTAACTTCCGTGCGATATTCGCCCACCCCCGTTGAGTGACATCAGGCCGGCTCGCGCGTATCAGCAAAGTCACAATAGGATCTCTTTCGGGAGTGTAGATTGAGCATCGCCCGCAGAAGTTTATCGACGGGTAATTCAGACGTTCTCGGTTTCAGATGTCCATCAGATGGGTTATCAGCTGATACCCATTATGGCCGTCAAGCGCTTCATAGTATTCGTGTGTTCTTGGGATACAACGGACGGTCTGGCAGGGTGATTCGCATAGTTGAGGACCTCCCGTCCTAAGATCGACTTCGGCGAGTCCGTCTTGTGTGGGAAATGGCGCTGGGAAAGCTGCCAGATCTCCGGGATCGAACAGATGTAAACCGCACTGGAGGCAGATGACACTTCGGCGGGGATGAATGGCATAAACAGAGGGTTAAGTTGAATGGAAACTGAGATGAGAATGCGGGGGAACCTGGGGCTATTTATATGTTGGGGATACGGCCCTACTGCAATGGCGATGAAGGGAAAACATTAAATGAGTCATAGGACTACCTGTGCCCTTCACCGTGTGGGAGAGAATATGAAGGCCGTGATGAATGTTCGAGTCAGTGCTCCGTCTCAGTGACTGAGGCGGTGGTCTGCTTTGGTTCTGCAGCGTAATTGGCTCTGGGGGAAGTGGAAAGTAACATCCATATTGTTTTATCTGCGTCTTCACGGCGGCTAGTCGTCTCTTTAGAGAATAAAGCTAGGTAGCGCAGTGAGAAGCTGTTGGGTGAAGAGGAGAGTCACCAGCAACAATATACTGCGTATAATTGTTCTCATTCAAGCACTTGCCAAAATATCTTCATCGACGGCAACTTCCGACCCTATTCGGAAGTATACGAAGGACCAATAGAAACAGACACTGCAAGTGCATATAAGCGGCATTATGAATTAATGGCGTGCTATGCAAGTGGGGTCATTCTAGCCATTCTCCAATTTATAACTCCCAACATCACTTCACTCATTCAACATCCGGCAATCAAACAAGCAGCATGTCGCAAAAGCCAGCGGTCCCAAATGGCAGTATCCCTAATTCAACACGCTATGGCTTCCCAAAAGAAGGACGCTATTCACTATCCTACTGGCTGCAGGGCGTCCAAGGCGATCCCCTTCTAAACCACCGCACGACAGCCGAGCTACCTTCATCTGCAGATATCGTCATCATCGGCTCTGGGGTACGTCTACCAACCCTCTATAATGATTGGTAGCTAACGGCACAGTTGTCGGGAACACTAATCGCCAACCACTGTCTCAAAGCCTTCCCTGGAAAAAGCATAATAATCCTCGAAGCACGAGAATTCTGCTCCGGCGCCACAGGTCGAAACGCCGGGCACTGCAAGCCCGATCAATGGCGCGGATTCAGTGCGTATGAAGCGGCGTTTGGAACGGAGCAGGCTCTTAAGGTAACCGCATTCAACTTGCCGTATAAACCTTTCTTATGCTCTGTATGTTAAACTAATGTGTAGATCCTCGAAAACGAACAAGCGACCTGGACCGCCCTGGTCGAATATATAAGACAAAACAACGTCGACTGTGATCTCTGGGTTGGCGATACCCTCGACGTCCCCGTAACGCCAGAAGTGGCGGCCGCGGCAAAGACGAATTTCGAACGGTTCAAGGCTGCCGGGGGAGAAGTCGGGCATATCAAAGTCACGCATGATCCGGTGGAAGCACGCAAGGTAGACCCTCCTCCTTCTTTATATTTACCTAAGGGTAACACTAGATAGATATCACACATCAAATCCGCACAAGCATGCTACGCCTGGTCCGCATCAACCCTCTACCCCTGGAAACTAACAGCACATATAATGCGCGAGAACCTATCAAAGGGCGCAAACCTGCAAACACGCACCAAAGCAATCAAAATCATTGAAACACCAGATTCAAACCCAGAATCTTGGAGATGGATTGTTCAAACCCCCCGCGGCCCCATCAAAACCAACCAAGTCATACACGCCACAAACGCATATAGTTCCGCCCTAGAACCGTCCCTGCGCGGGCTCATCTACCCCTCGCCACATATGTGCAACCGGATAAAGCCGCCGGTGGAGTTCGAGGATCCCAACCCCGCCGGTCTAACTAACTCCTACGGCGTGCTATTGCCAGAAGGAGGGCTGTTCAGTATCAACCCGCGTAGCACGAGGGAAGGATCTGTGCTATTTGGCGGGAGTAACCCCGGCCAAGCGGCGTTTGAGCGGTGGGTGAATGAGCCCGGATATCCGGAGCGGGGGGTTGATGATGGGATTGAGGTGTTTGGGGCTGTGACGGGGGCAGTGAAAGACTTTGCGGAGGGGGCGATTGAGGGCTGGAAGGCGGAGTTTGCAGTTGATGGGTGGAGTGGGATTATTGGCAGGGTATCTCCTTCTTTTTCTCTTCTTTTCTTATTCCGGTGGATTATTGCTAACCGGTGTAGAGCGTCGACAATGTACCCTGGATAGGAGAATTACCCGATCTCCCTGGTCAATGGGTTTGTGCTGGGCACAATGGACAGTAAGTACACCTTAATCTACCATACCTCAATCTAACAGAGACAGTGGAATGGCACGCATATTCACCGCCGCACCAGGCCTCGTCAAGCTCATGGCGGGGCGTCCATGGGCGGAAACGCAGCTGCCTGATGTGTACCAAATTACCCCATCGCGGGTGAATAACCTGAAGCGTGCACGGGATAGTGGAGATACCTCTCGTCTTTGATATCTGACGGATGTGGAATGTTGTATCGCGGGGAGCTAACCTGTACCTCACGTGGAGAAACTGGGGATGTCCGTTTGCGGGGGTAGGATTTGATCATTAGACTATGTTGCACCTATTCATGCGGGGATGGAATGAGATCTGGGGATAAGTCATTGGTTAAGTTAGACCTGTTATATCATTCTCGGCTTTGTCACTACCAATAACAAATATCCACCATAAGGAAAGCAAATAAAGGGAATACAAAAGAAAAGTCAAAGAAAAAAAAAAAGAATGAGGCTGGTCCGTCTCGATCGGGCAACCTTGAGATCTGGAGTCTCACGCGCTACCAATTGCGCCACAGCCCCAATAGGTGGAAGAAAGTTCCCGAGTTTTGCACCCAAGTCGGACAGTTCCCGAAACAGCAGGGGGGAACAGACATCCATCTTTGGTTACATTTTATTTATTTGTGGGGATGATCTATATCACAGCGCATGTATGACGCCATGCAGGGGTCCCATAAATATGGGGATGAGATTTTCAAACGGTCGGAGATCGCGGTTTGGACGAGTCTATCCCTTGGTGATGCAGGTCTGCCTCCTACAGGGCTGGGAATGAGACCAGTCATCCAGGATGGAATCTCGCTTAATTAATACAGTGGACAGTACGCAAAAGAATCAGTTCGATATCAACGTGTTGATTAAATACACCAAAGCCGGCTGGCTGTATACACAAAACCCCGCCCGAGCGAATCGGGGGATATGTACAGATCAGATCAGTCATTATGCTGCTAATAACAAGAACGAAATAGAGGCAGTCCATATATCGATACCCAGCGAATACTTGTAATAAGGAGGGAAATAGTAGGAAAGAGTATCCAACGCCGAAGATGCTGTCGCAAATAATAAATAAACAAAGAAAACAGAAGGCTGGCACAGACGAAAACAAGAGTGGCGCTGCAAGGCAGCGGGTGCTTTTGATGAGTCGCAAAGATTAAGGAGCGCAGGAACGGGTCGCGGATATTAAGTGGCTGATTAGAATTTGGTGGTGGTGGTTCCGATGCAGGAGACAAGTCAGGTTCGTGAAGGTATCCAAGAATCCAAGAATCAAAATAAAGAAGCAAGATCGGTCGGATCATGCAAGGGGAGTCAGCACCCTGCATGTCCAGGTGTAGAGCCTCCTTGAGACCTTCCTGGCTGAATCAAAAATTGCTGGAGCCGATCAGGTTTGGCTGGGAAATGCTGGCATTCCCGCCGCGGTATTTGTTCCTGCGCTGGGAGAAGCTGAGCGACGAGAGCCGGCGACTCAGCCTCCGCAGCGGCTTATTCGAGGCCTCATCGTCGGCCGGGATTGGCGGCGGCGGCGGGAACGACCTCTCGGAGCTGGCGCTAGAGTTGAACGCCGAAGCCGAAGCCGAAGTCGAGGTCCGGCTCACGCCCAGCGTCGGATTCGAGTTGTTGTCGAAGAAAAAGGACGAGAAGGTCGACTGGCGGCGGGCGCGGATGGCGTCGGCGGTGTTGCGGGGGTTGGGCAGGGGCGTGGAAAAGTCTTCCTTGATGTCGTCGAGGGCGCGCGAGAAGCGAACCAGGCGACGGGGACGCTCAGCGATGGAGGGCTCGCGCTCCTCGAGGCCGTAGATCTGCAGCGGCGTGCTCTCTGGGAGGTCCTGGTTCAGAGGCGTTGAGTAGAAGCGAGGATACTTGGGGACCTCTCTGCGCCGGGGCACGATGGTCGGGTACCAGGCATGTTGCTGGGGAGGAAACTGGCTGATGGGGCTGTCGAAGGAGGACTGGGACGAGTTGGACGAGGATGCCGGGAGCATCTTTATTTCTTGTATTGTATGTACTGTATGTATATTGTATAGTGGTGTAGGTGTAGTATAGGTGTGGTGTATGTGTAAGTGTAGTGTAGGTAGGTGGTGTAGGTAGGGTAGGTCAACGCACAGCACCGACCGGTGATGGAGAGAAACGGATCGGGGGATACAAAATAATTATAGCAGGAGGAAAAGCAAAAGGAAAACACGACCAAGGGGAGCGAAGGGTGTGGAACTGCCGGAGACGTGCGATTCAATCGAGTCTCCAGTCTCACTGGCGGAGCCCCAGCATCTCTGGTTCACCCTGCAACCCGGCGCCTCGCCGTTATGGTCATGGATCTTACTGGACGGCGGGCATTACATGACTGGCATTGGCATGGCTGGCGAGGAATGTAGCGCATTGTTCAAGTCACTCCTGCTGTCCTGCCGTGCATTGTCTGTATCCAGCCCCGAGAAGAGAATGCAACATGGGGCAGATCCTGCGTCAGGTTGATGGTGTCTCACGATCCGACATCGCGCCAGACAGAACCAGTGATCCGCCCGTCCAAGCATGACGCGACTCATCCAATCAGGCGAGCACGCCGGAATGTTATAAACATCTCCCATCCCGAGCACCGTGGGCAGCGTGGACCCAGAGCGGAACCAGCGGGCCAACAATCTCGGACTTGACCTCTCCAGTTTCCAGTCTCTCCAGTCAAACACTAAACTCTGAGGTTCAAAACATTAACTGAGTATGTATTAACTGAGCACACTGCAAAGTTTCAACATCAGGATGACTCGTCAGCATCACGCAATGCCCCTGTCAGATAAAAAAAGAACGGTGGCGGTCCCAAGAGTGAGGACTGAACTGCCACACGCTAGCCCCAAGCGGCCTAGTCGGGAGTGCTGATTTTATTCTCAAACACCCCCACTCGCGCCATCTCTCCTTCTCTTGCTGTAATGTCCTCAGGTGGGCTCGTCTGCAAGTCTCCAATCCTGTCCTTGCCTGCCTGAACTCTCGTCTCCAGTCTCCAGGAATGTGCGTGCTCTCTTTTCTGACCTGATTGGCTCGAGGCTCTATCGATGGCAGTGCTGAGCACTGAGGTCAGAGGTGCTGTCCGCATCCGGAGCAAACTCGCAAACTCGGCCGGACAGAGGCTCCCAGGAGGATCGTCGTACGGGGTACATGCCGGACGCAGTGACCGTCCACATGGAGTGGCAGTGGCAGTGGGAGTGGCAATGGCACTCGGAGAACCGAGTGGAATTGTCGCCGGAGGATTTCCAGGCAACCAACCTGTGTTCATGCAACATACATGGGATGCGTGGATGTGGATGCGTGGATGCGCTGGCTGTCCTACAAAGATACAAAACAAACAAACACCAGATTTTGAAGCTGCCTAGCTGGACTGTACCACAACATAGCCTCCTGCTAACACATGATCACAATATTAATGCCCTGATTTTCGTTGATTTTCGGCTATGGACTCGGGAATCGGCTGCCAGCTAGCTAGCTCTCTTTCCGAAGACAGTAAGTCGAGCAGGGCACAGCACAGCACCAGCAAGAGGAAGATCGACCGATCGCCCACTCATCTCGGGGGTAGAAAGAATCGACGTCATGGAGCTTGACTTCAGTTCACTTCCTTCACTATCATAGACAATGGGTATTCAAAGGAGGGGGGGATAAGTCGATAAAGATTCAATTCTTATCCTCTCCGATCTGAAAACTGGAAATACCTCAGTTCGACCTCAGATGGAAACATGATTCGCTCCCGGTGAGACATGTTTGTGCGCTTTTTTGGATCGACAGACGTGGCCCACGACTGGGACTCAGGGGACCTTGGTTGGACTTGGATTGGAGTGCTCGTAGCCTCCCGTTCCCACTCCTGCATTCCCTCAACCACGCGTGAATGGATGGATGATCGCTGCCAGTGTCAGACTCTCTGATTGATTGCGATCTGATCCCCGAGCATGGCCGTGGCAGGCATCTCTGGTTCTGGTTCTGTCCGGTTCCATGGGTTTGCTGCATGTTCTTGTGTGATTTCTAGAAGATATCGTGGTCCAATCACGGCGGTGCCAGTGAAGAAATTATTTAGGAATAGTCCGTCAGACTGAAGAAAAAAAAAATATGCATAAGTAGCAAGTACAGTTACAGTACAGTACAGTGGATGCGAGTCTAACAGTAAAGGGGAAAGAGAAAACCGTTAACCTAACTCCTCGCTCGCTGATGATTTTCCTCCTGCATGGCCACGGATCGTGCCACGATGTTATCTTATCTACATATTCCACCTGGTTAATTCCGAGTTGACTTGACTTTTGGCGGTTTCAACGGTCGGCTGGCCACGCAATATTCGAGAATGTTCGTAGCTAGTCGACTTTGGCTGTCGAGTTCCGACCGGCAGACAAAAGTACATACGTACGTGCGTGCGTTGCTGGTCTGCCATGACTGCCTAGCGCCGACTCAATGCAAGAATAGAAGTAAGAAAGTCGCTGACTGAGTTGACGCGTCTGGCGCGTCCTCTATCGTCGTCGTCGTCGTCTTCGTCGTCATCATCATCATCGCCGTCATCATCGCTATCGTCGCAATAATCGCAGTCATATAGTCCGTCCTCACATAACAAATAACAAATCAGTATCCAGCGGATGACTGCAGCTCAGCTGCGGCTTCTGCGTGTACTTCCCGTCCAGCTCCGCCCGAATCAGATTCAGCAGCTGCACGTAGCTGAGATTCGGGTACCGCTGCAGCACCTTGATGAACGCCCAGCTGAGCGCCCCGCGCGCTTCGCCGTCTTGGAAGGTATCGGCTCTATTTTCGTTAGTTTTCAATAACGGCAGTGACGGGGTTAGAATGGGGTACGCACGAAGTCTGGGTGTCCTTTGAGCCCGAGAACATGACCACGTCTGCGGGCGAGGTCTTGGTGCGGACGGTGCGCTGGCGCGCTGAGTCGCCGAGAGCGGCTTTCTTGAAGAAGCCGATGGCGGTCTGGGCGACGCCGCCGAGGTCGCCGCGGCTGTAGGAGGTGAAGGCTGAGAAGAGGTCGGAGGCGGCTTCTTTGGCGAGGTTTGGCTCTTTCAGGATGCCCTGGGTGGAGTAGATGTATGGGAGGTCGAGGGCGGTGCCCGAGTGGCAGGAGTCGAAGACGGCTGTTAAGCGCACTCCGGGTTGGAGAGGACGGACCCTGTTGAAGTTAGTTTGGTTAATAGATGGGATGGATGGATGGTACTGACATGATGTCGTGCATTTCGTCGTCGACAATGTGTCCGGCTGTCCGGTAATCCACGGGGTAGATCACGTCGTCAAAACCTGAGCCAGTCAGCATATTTCCCTTGATTGATTGCAGGGACCTCACCATCTTCTTCGTCACCGTCGAGATCAGGCGTCCGTCCGCCGTGTCCTATAGATCGTCAGTGTCTACAGTATATAGCACCCGGGGGAGGGTTTGTACCTGAAAAATGAATAAAAAGCGAGTCGTTCGGCTGCGCTTCATGCACCAGCCACTGCATGGCCCGAATAATATTCGACTTGGTAGGCACACTCTTCGGGTTCTTCTGGTCGTCGGTCAGAATCACCATGTCCTCTCTGCGATAGCCCTTGCGCTCGTGCAAGAACGAAGACACGTTCGTGACATCATTGATACAGCCCTGCAGCTGGTTCGGCTGGCCAAAGTAGTTGATCCCAATCAGCAGAGCCTTCCGCCGCCCCGTACAGGCCGAGTACTGGAATCTGTAGTTCGACGGTGCACCGTGCCCGAAATGCTGGGCGCCCATGGGCGGGCGGGGTGGGAGATTGGGGCTCGGGGCCGGGCTGGGGCTCCATGACGGGTCTGTCTGGGTTAGCCGACGCCTGTGCTTTTCAGTGCGGTATGGGTCCGCGGGCCTACTTGAAGAGTAATTCCTCGAATGGGTTTGGCCCGAGGGCGGCCGTTGAGGGAGTGGCGGTGTGCCGTATGACGGGGCCGGGGAGTGGTGAGGCTGGCGGGGAGCATAACCCCCGGGAGGAGGATAGCCCGCAGGAGGGGGGTAATTGGCCGGTGGAGGGTAGTTGTTTGGTGGAGGATAATGTCCCGGAGGATATTGACTATTCAGCCACTTAGCAACATTCTTCTTCGACTCCTTTGAATCCGACTTTGAACGCGATGTAGAACGCGACACTGAGTGGGTTGCTGACCTGTATTGTTGCGGTGGAGGAGGCTGCGCCCATTGCTGAGGCCAACTCCCCGGAGGCGGGGGAGGAGGATGAGGGTAGGAGTACATCTATTCTCGCTGACAATTGCAGGACAGGAACTTCAAATGCCGGACTATGAGGATTCGCAGCGAGAGCGATTCGAGATATAGCAGCGGGCGTTGTGAGCGCGGCCTGGAGGCGGAACTTTCTCGGTTAAGTAGAACAGCAGGTGGAGGCTCTCACAACAACAAGCTCACAAGACTGCAAAGGAAACCCAGCGAGCCTTCACAGCAGTCGACTACGGTTCACGAGCGAAGACAAGAGAAGAAGAAAAGAAGAGAAAAGACGTTGAAGGAGATTGTTGGCCGGGCGTCCCTGGAGCGACAGGGCTGGCTGATGCCTGCTCAGCACGGGCGCTGATTTGCTGCAAGAGACGCCGGCGGGGGGATTTGCTGCTTTTGCTGCTTTGGCGCTGCTCCATCCGTAGGGCAGAGACATTAACACATGGCATGGTTGACGTTTCTCCTCTTGCGGTTAACCCGTGAACTCTCATCTAGGCAGTAGCATTTTGTCACTGTCGGGACTGGTTCGACTCGAAACAACAAAGCCCCTGGCCTGAACCGTGGTACTCTCAACTTTGTCCAGTCAACAAGTCAGTCAACTCAGCCGGGCCATGGCTGCTGACTGCTGACTGCTGTCAGGCCCCCGAGGACTTGATGACTCGACTCGACTCGCCAAGAGCATGTTCAGCGTCTGCAATGCAGTGATCCCCAGTTCCGCCCCGGATGTCGGCAGCGCCTGCGCCCCGCGCCTCCAGCCTTGTCATCGCCATCGCCATCGTCATCGTCATCGTCATCATCGTCATTGTGTGATTGCCCAAGTCATATCCACGGTGGATACCGGGCATCTAAATGTGATCAGCAGCTCACAAATTGGTCAAGTGGTGTGTTTCTTCTCTATAGTGCGTCTGTAAGGCGGGAGGAACAATTACCTCCTACCTTAGTACATCCATCCGGTCGTGACATATGCCAAGACAGGAACACACTCCTACATGGCAATGACAACAGCATACTCTCGTAAACCTCACAGATCACCAAAAATGCCAAAAGTGTTTTGTAATACTCAGGCTTGTAGGATGTTTTGCTGCTGAAAGCCGCCCTGAAAGACAGTGCCAAAAATTGGCCAAAATTTCCACAGTTGGGGCTGTGGCGCAATTGGTAGCGCGTGAGACTCCAGATCTCAAGGTTGCCCGATCGAGACGGACCAGCCTCATCTTTTTTTCTTTTTACCCAACTTAATTTGTTTATCTTAACTTATCCATTTGATAACAAATTTATGTTATCTGCCTTGTGTTGTGTTGTGTTGATTTGATTGATGAGACCAATATATGTAATATGAAGTAGATAATATCAGCTGAATGTTCTATAGCGGTTTTCTGTTTCCAACTACCGCGTCATAAGTAATAAGTAAAATAAAGAAAGTGGCTGAATTGCTTCGCCCTGGTCCGAGACAACGCCGACACAGAACAAGTGAAGAATGAAGAATGGAATGACCGTAGGTATAATGAAACCAGAACGCTTCTATCCGTAGCAATCGATAAAGTAAAATAAAAATAAATCAAGATAATAAACCCCCAACTCCTCAATAAAAGATCGACGCATTGAGTGACTAGTCCAGGCCGGACGTGGAGGGGCCATCCAAAGGCCAACATTGCCAGATGTAACCCCGCACATACCGGTACATGACGGTGTCGACTTCCCCACGCTATGCCAGTACCGGAACCCTCATCCTGAGTGCAACCCCCATCTTTGCAGTGGAAGACACGCTGTACTGTAGTGTGTGTAGTGTGCGTAGTTTGTGTAGTGTAGTGTAGTGTAGTGTTGTATGGTGTAGTCTATAACGAAACGCCCTCGAGATCCCTCGTCACAATGGCCACCTGCGCCCGTTTCGCGGCTTCAGCGACGAGACTGAAGTCTTTCAGGAAAGGTGCAGTCGCGGTCGGGCCGCCGTCCCCGGTTATTTGGTGTGGATAGGCCTGGGACTGTGCTTGTGATTGCGGTTGTGTGGTATCGCTGGGTTGGGGCTGGTTTTGTTGGCTGGGCGGTTGCGGTTGTGGCTGGCTTTGGGACTGCAGTTGGGCTGCGGCGGGAGTGCTGAGGGTGGTTGAAGTTGAGGGCTGGGGGTTTGAATGGGAGAGGCCGAGGGCTGGTGGGTTGTCCATGGTGGTTGAGGAACCCTCGAGAGGGGGAGGGTGAGGGTGAGGGAGGATACGAAGGGCGATCAGTGAGGTGGTGAGAGGGAGGTAAGGATGACCTCAGGTGGTGGGCTGGGGGGTGTGGAGGAGGCGTGGAGATGCGGAGGTTGGAGAGGGAGAACTCAGACGAGGGCGTCCGGTCGGTGATGGCGAGGAGAAGGACGAAAGGAGGAATGGAAGGAGAGAAAGAAAAGAGAGAGAGAGAGAGCGAGAGGATCCACGCCCGATGAGGAATTGCGTCTGCGATCGGATCCACGTGGGGCCTCGATGCCGCGGCAGAGACGAGTCATGACGACGACAGACGGACAAGACGGACAAAGAGCAGAGGTTATGCACCATGGATGACTTATAAGAGATCGAATTACAGTTAGGATTAGGATTAAGATAAGGATCCTGTTCGACCTGTTCGGCCAATCTCATGCACATGATGCAATAAGCTGCATACATCTATACACCGAGGTGAGATCTCTACTCCTTCTTCCCCTCCTCCTCCTCCTCCTCCTCCTCCTCCTCCTCAACCGGCACAATCACCCCCTCCTCCACGAAATAGTTCGTCTGCTTCACATACCCAACCACAACCCAACCCAAACTCACCACCCCCGCTACATAAAGCACCAACTGCAGGATAACCTGATCCCGAATCTGCATTCCCTGCGAGTCAACCGTAAACGAAACACACATGCCCAGACTCACCGTGCCCTTGAACGCCCCCGCATAACGCGCACACAGCGCCGGGTCGTTGGTCAGCGCTGCCAGCGTCCACTGCACCATGATCTGGAAACAGGCGTAGATGACCCCGAAGAGCAGATACAGCACTATCCCCGGCCCGAAGGCGGACTCGGTCCAGTCCACTGCCGGCGGCGGCGTTGCGGAATGGCTGACGTTGTTGCGGATTACCCACGCCAGGAGTCCGCTTACCGCGCTGAGGGTTACGAGGGCGAGGCTGGCTGTCCCTGTGGCGCCGCGGGCTTTGCGCGAGGACATGCGTTTGTTGTCGAGGATCCATGCGAGGAGCATGGGGGTTGGGATCATGATTGCCTGGAAGAGGAGGTTGTTGAGGGAGCGAGTGCGTAGGTTGAAGTAGTACACTTCCTATATCAGTACAGGTAAAGACATGACGAAGGGGGTGCTGACCGTTGATACTGCTCGTCAAGGCCAGGCACATCTCAGCGACAAACATGGCCGGGAGTAGGATGATGATCTTTGGATCCGCCATGACAGACAATATCCCAAGCACTTCTTTCTTGAGCGTCGGTGCCTCGAACACTGCAATATGCTGGCCGTTGTCTCGAACGATGTCTGCTGGATCTGCCAGAAAGAAGAACGCTCCTACTACTGCACTGCTTTGCATTAGCATTGACAGTACGTAGTAGGCGTAACTTACACAGCCATCACCACAATAAAGGCAATATACACTGCGTCGGAGATTCCCCCAGCTTCCGTTTCATGAACTGTCATGGCAAACGCAATGAGAGCACCAACTGTACTCCCCGCGGAAGTCAGGATCCATTGTACAGCGATGTACTATGAGAGTTAGGCAAGTCCTGCAACTGTTCGTCAAGCCTACCGTTCCTTTATCCTTCTCTTCCGGGTACGCAAACTGGATGTACCCCGACGTTGTCCACATAAGCCCAGCACAGACACCAAGGATGCCACCAGCTAGGCGTCGTATATCGTCAGTATTATCCCAGTTCGAGTAGGCTTAAGAAACCAACCTGCGAGCGGAAATGGCTGCTTGCCAATTCGGTCATAGTACCATAGCGAACCAACGTAGAGGGGATATCCAATCCCACCGATTACTCTGTTGTATGTTAGACTGTCTGCTGTGGTGTATGGTTATACTCACGCTGTCCACTTTGGCTTCAGGTGATTTAGAACAGGACCTGCGCACCAGCCCGCGACGGTATAGACACCGTAGAGAATGCTGACGGTGTTAACCAGGATCTACTGTAAAAGTTGGCTTATATACCTATTCGTCAAAGCCGCGGTTTCCTGCGAGTCTGCCTGTCCACCACCAGCCCCAAGACCAGTCAGGGCGATATAGATACCGGGGAGACAGAATAGGACGCTGTTGGTCAGCTCGATCACCAACAACTGGGGCAGCCTTACCATCCCATTATGGTGTTCTGGACAGCGGGCCTATTAAGGCGTATTTTATCTCTCATGTTCGGATTCATGATCATAGTCTTACTTTCTAGTCAATGTCGTTGCTCCTATTTATACAGTATCCCCAGATATCCTGCCGTCCGGGGAAATGGAGTCCGCGTATCTATCGCTTAAAGCAGTTAACCCATACATTAGACGTCTATCTGCCCGCGTATCCATTTCCGAAAGAGTATATTCCCTTGGCCCCGCCCCCGCAGGATGCTTATCTGTCCCAAAAGGGTTCAGGATACGCCATCCACCCAGGTACTTATTCAAGCTGTTATTCTAGGCTGATGTTCTCTCCAAACAGTCAACAATTATTGTGACAATGTCTTTATCCGAACGTATTAGGCCAGCACTCGAAATCCGGGCTCAAACCCTCGAGCCAAGCGCGGTCCTGCCAAAGGACTGCTTGCTCCCGCGAAATGTAATGGGGGTTCCTCGCGCCAGTGGGCTGCTTTCAGACCGTGAGCTTGAATTGACGGAGAAGTACGATGCCACTGCGCTGGTGAATATGCTGGCTGAGGGGGTGGTTACCTCGGAAGCTCTCCTTTTGGCATTCAGGAAGCGGGCTACCATCGCTCAGCAATGTGTATGAATCTTTCAATGAGTATATATGCAATAAGCTAACGAAACAGACAAACTGCCTCACAGAACTAATCCCGCAAGCAACAAACGACGCCCGAGCCTGCGACGAGTTCCTAGCAAACACCGGCAAGCCCATGGGACCGCTCCATGGGCTGCCAGTTTCCGTCAAGGAGCAGATCTCTATCGCTGGGCGACGCACTAACGTCGGGTTTGTTGCAATGGTCGACAATGTCACCAGCGAGGACGCCCAGATCGTCACCTCGCTCAAGAGACTGGGTGCTGTGGTCTTTGCGCGCACGAACCAGCCGCAGTCGCTGATGCAGCTGCAGACGAATAACAATATCTACGGGGCCACTGTCAATCCGAGGAATACGTCTCTTACTGCGGGTGGCAGCACTGGCGGCGAGGCAGCGCTGATGGCGATGCATGGGACGCCGCTGGGCATTGGGGGGGATATCGGGGGATCTATCCGTGTGCCTGCTGCTTTGAATGGAGTAAGTTTCAAACATACTCTTTCTCAAGTTATCCATAATGTTAATACGCATGTCAGATCTACGGCTTCTACCCCAGCGTCGGCCGAATCAGCGGCGAAGGCGCCCTGGTCCCATTGCCCGGCAACGATTCCATCCCAGGAACCCTAGGCCCCTTCACGCGCTCCCTCCGCGACATCTCGCTCTTCTGCACGGCCTACTCTCTCACAAATCCCTGGCTCGACGACCCCTCCCTCCTCCCCATGCCTATCCTCTCCCCCTCGCCAGCCCTCTCCCCAACTAACCCCCTCCGCATCGGCATCCTAACCACCGACAACGTAGTCACTCCCCTCCCACCCGTCCAGTGCGCCCTAAAACAAGTACAAGCCCGCCTCCACCACGCCCCAAACATAGCCCTCGTCCCCTTCCAGCCCTACAAGCATGACTACGCCTGGACCCTCATCAGCGCAAACTACTTCGAAGACGGCGGCGCAGCCATCAAAGAACTATGCAAAACAGGCTCCGACCCCCTCCTCCCAGCAACAGAATGGATCCTCGCGCAGTGCAAACAAAGCATAGACTCACTGTCCCTGCACACAATACAAGCCCGCAAAGCCGCGCGGGACGCATATCGCGTTGCGTACGCAAAGCACTGGAACAAGGCTGCGGTTGATGTGCTGATTGCGCCTGTGACGCCTAGCACGGCGCCGAGGGTGGATTCTAGGGTGCCGTACTGGGGGTATACGGCTGTGTGGAACTTGTTGCAGTATCCGGCGATTGCATTCCCTATTGGTGGATTTAAAAGTGGTCGTGGTGATTTATCGGATTATCAGCCGCGGAATGAAAAGGAGGAAGGGATTGCGAGGGAGTATGTCGCTGAGGAGGCGGAGGGGATGCCGGTGGGATTGCAGATTGTGGCGAGGAGACTGCATGAGTCCGTTTTGGTGGAGGCAGCGCGTGTTATTGAGGATGCGATGAGGTTAGAGATAGGTTGTAGGTTGTAATATGGTATACATGTTATAATAATATAATAAAAAAAAAAAACATGAGGCTGGTCCGTCTCGATCGGGCAACCTTGAGATCTGGAGTCTCACGCGCTACCAATTGCGCCACAGCCCCAATGAGTGACACTTTTTTTCTGTTTTTGACGTCATTTTCGGACACATCCATTTCACTAAATGGACCTGCTCTATAGTTCAAGCATATAGAAAAATAACCTTGTTATTGTAACTTAATTTCCTTATCTAATATGCGCTGTGATTACAACTTCACACAGCACGACTTCCCCGTCTCAACCTCCCTCGACCCATTAAACCCCCTATTCTCCGGCGGAACATCCAGCGCAGGGTTCTTCTCAAAAAACCCTGCCGGCTTCAGATGCACACTGATTCGCTCCACAGGCATAACCGGGAAATCCTCCGGCCGCGGGTTATGCGTCAGCGTAAATGTATGCCAGAAGACCAGGTCGGCATCCACCACGCTCTCGCCTCTGCCCGCCCACGTCTCCAGCCCGCCATTGTCCGTGGACGACTTGCTCTGGTTCGTGAACTCGCCGGCCGCGTAGAGCTCGTTGTCGCGGTACTTTGTGATCCAGACGGGGTGTTCTGCGAAGCGGGCGCGGCGGCGGTTAAACGACTCGGGGCGCATGAGCATCGGCTGTGTGGGGAGGGTCTGGATCTTGTATGCGACTGCGGCTTTGGTAGTGGGGTTTATGATGTTGTCGTTGCGGATTTTGAAGACGCGGGACTTGGATATGTCTGTTTCGGTGTGGCCGGCGGTTGTTAACGGGGTTGTTGTTGCGATGTAGCCGACGCCGTAGGGGTCGGGGATGCCCAGAGATGCAGGCAGTGGGTGGCTTTCTTCGTAGACAGCGGTGTTGTGGAAGCCGTCGATTGCTGGGTCGATGCGCAACGAGAAGACGTGCTGGTGGTTTGGTGCTGTGACGCCTGGTCCGACGTTCGTGGACCAGGGCACGGTGATGTCGTTGTCGATGGGCATTGTAGAGAGGATACCCGTGGCGCGGACCTCGAATTCGATTCCGCCTGCTTGGTCGAGGATCCAGGCGAAGATGTACTCGTAGTTCGAGACGGTGCAGATCATCTGCACGACGAGCTGGCGGTTGCGCACTACAGTTGCATGGCCGTTGCGATAATTGCTGTGCTTGTGCAGGATCCCACCGTCCTGCTCGTGCAGGCAGATGACATTCTTCAGGGTCACGGCGTTACCTTTGGAATCCGTGCGGCAGCCGTCAAAGTACTTGATATGGCCCAGGCAGTCACAGCCCAGGGCAAGCTGGTTGCAGGTGATTCCAAGCCCTACGTCGCCGACATCAAAGGCCTGCTTGCGGTGGTACGGCTTGCGCGGGTCGCCGTAGGGCACCGTCATTTCAGACAGAGATAGCCGGTAGAACACGTTGCGTCCGTCGTAGGTGATATTGTATAGAACCAGGCCCTCGCGGACGTTGAATCCAACCCGGAAGCGCCACTTCTGCCACTGCACCAAGTGCCCGTCAACCTGGAACGACGGGCCCTGCGGCTGCTGCACAATATAGGGCTTCAGATCGCTGCGTAGCGGCTCGTCCAGCAGGTCGTGCGCATACTCCACAGCCTTGACTGGCTTCCAGGCCTGTGTCTCTTGAGTCTCATGCCCACCGCCAGTCGGCAAATTATCGATCCTCACCAACTCCTTCGTGGCAGCATCAAAGACGGGCGAAAAGTCACAGGGCAGGGAATAGTGGTTACTCTGCGGGTGATGCACAGGCACGATGTACATATAGCACTGGTACAACCTGCGGTCCTCTCTCTCGTCATCAGTCCCGTAGACCCACGGGTCCGTGCAAACCGACATGCCAGCCGGGAGATTCATCTTAGCAATCTCCGCGACCACCGCCGGGTGCTTGAGGCAGACCTCCTCCATTTCAACTAGCTCGTCGACGTCGGCAGGGCCCTGGACGTCGCGCGGGAGTTCCTTGATGGAAACCACGCGGCGCTCAGTGAGGTTCAGGAGTGCCTTGAGGAATGAACCTGTATCCAGCCGGTGAAAGTACGAGAAGACAAGACGTGCAGGACGCGGAATGTCGAGGGTCCCCTCATTGCGCCGTTCGGCTTCGATTAGTGGGATGACGGCGGTTTTTATGGGCTCTTGGACGTCGATGGTCTTGAAGCGGACGGGGGTGTTGGGGAGGGCTGCGCGGATTATGGCTGCTGCGAGCTGGACCTCGCTTGGCTGCAGCGGGTCGAAGGGGTGGGCATTGATAGAGGACATTTTATAGATAAATTGTTTCGGGAATGGGAGTTGCGAATGGATGTCTTGTGAACTCGGATCTTTCTCGCCTTTATATACCATCACTACCCAGACAGACTACGTTGAATATTACCAGATACGGTTTGAAATACGCTTCGTCAATTCCTCAAGGCGTCAGTTTGTCTGCAAGAAGTAGAAATTCCTACCAGCGATGCTTTTTCCAGATTTGGAAATGAATACGCCGTCTCCACCCTCAAGCCCTAATGCAACAATATACGTTTATCCTCAGATATTACTCTTTGGAAATCATAACATTGTATGACACTTCTGTTATAATAAATCCTAAGAAAGCATCAAATCCCACTTCGACCGCGCCAACAGCTCCCTCCATCCAATCCTACCACCTACACTACCAGCAGCAAACACCCTCTGCCTCCAAACCTCACGCACAAACGCCCCAACAAAATCCATATTGCCTAGACGGAAATTCACCCCAAGACCCTCCACCCTCTCGAGAACAATCCACGTCTCCTCGGGACTCTCTGCAATACAAGCTACAATAAATAGAAGCGGCAACAACCCCGGCTCTTCGGGAGCCCCAACAGGGACTTGTAAAATCTCCACAATACAATCGGCTACGGCTTGTTCTTTTGTCGACGGAACCAGATCATGCAATCTCTGCCAGAAACACAGAGGCCCTTGTTGGTTCTTGTTATTCTCAGCGACGAGATCTCGTTCGGCGAGACTATCGATGACGGAGTGCAGGTATGCAAGGATTGCGCTTTCGTACGCGCGCGCGACATAGATCAGCACGCTGGTTGAAGCCGGTGACATCTCGCGGGGGATGAATGCGAGTTTCAGCGTCCAGCTTCTCTCTTTGATGAGTTGGAGTCTGGCAAAGTTAATAAGTTGAATTCAACGTACACATATATATACGTACATGGCCTCAACTTCACTCATTAACACCACCCGCTGGATTTCATCGTCGGATTCAAAGTTGAGAAGATGTGAGACGCGCTGTAGAGTTAGTACTAGGTCCTGCGAGATTCCCATGTACGGATCGACAATATACGACGAGCCGTAGGACTCTAAATCCAGAGTCTGGTCGTAGCACGTATTGCCCAGCATTAAGGCTGATTGATCAGTAACGCTGGCAGTGCTGCGATGGTACAAAATACTGACCCCGTTAATTAGCCTATCCACAACAGGAATACAGGTCAAAAGACGTACAAGCTCCGCGCATACATCACCACCTCGGACATACCCGCCCGCTCGTCACTCGCCAGTAAGCGGCAAAATGACTCAATGGCAACCAAATGCGAGCGCCAGTTCGCAACACCGGCTTTGATAATCTCGTGTTTACACAGGAAGATGGACACGAGCACCGCCGTCTCCAGCGACTCTGTATCACCGCCGTACTGTGCTGTGTCCTGGAGCCATGAGATATATGGGATCCACTGCTTGAGATTTGACAGCGCGCGGAGGTAGTATGCTGTAGCAGCTGTCTGGAACTGCGGTTTCTCAATACCTGCACCGTTCGCGCGGTGCTGGGCTGATATTGAGCACACGGCTTGGAGCAGGAGTGGTGAGGAGGTCATTCGTGGTACAATTAGAGAGCGCAGGGGGTTGTATGGTGCATGGCCGTTGAGGAGAAGATCAGAGAGCCTCTCCACGTAGTATTGGAAATACTGCCAGTCTTGCTGGGATAAGGCTGGGATGTTGTTGACTTGAGCGGGCAGTGAGTCTGGAGATGATTCTGGCGATGCCGGCGATATTGATCGAGGTTCATCCAAGCTCAATATTTGCGTTTCGTTAGGGGACTCTTGTGATTCTGGACTTGCAGGCTGGAAGTTCCGAAAGCCATCGCTTTGTTCACATTTGAGGTTTAGGCGCACGCATGCGTCGCATCTAGAGGTTGGTTAGATAGTTTGGACGGGCTAGTTGATATAAACGTGCCTAGGTTTATTTCCGTCGCCTGCACAGCGTTAATCATTACTATTATATGTATATCTGTCTGCACGTACATTTCTTATGTCGTTGCTTGCAGGTGGCGCAGCCTACCCTGGAATAAGCAGCTTTGCGGACTCGACGCGGCATGACAGAAGGCGAGGGATGGTGAATGTCTACAGAAATGGTGATGGCATCTAAACGCGGGGGTGACTGCAGAAGGCCAGATCAAAGACCAGCTATCTCATGGAACTACTTGGAGGAGTAGGATTGGGTCCATCATGGATTTGGAGTCATCTTCCCTTTTGGGTTCGAGATACGCGCGGCCAATGACACTTGCATTCTGTGATCTAACCGACCCACAAGTCCCTCATTCCAGTGCTATCTGTGGAGTTGCTCTTCTCTCACGCAGCCTTTCCCACAACAACCGAGTTCGCGGCGTTCTTCTCGGCCTCTTCGTTCCAGAGGTTGATATTCCATGGTGGAACGACTAGCCAGTATATCAGCGGTGCCCCGCAATATAGGCCATTTGGGAACTTACAAGTCACAGGAATGTTGTAGCGACGAGGGACGCTGCCAATAGCACTGATCGCGGTAAGAGCGCCGTCTGGGAGCTCGATCTCTTGGAAGTTGGCGCGAATACGAGACGGTGTCACCGACTTGGGTATAACACTGTGTCCGCCACTCTGGGCCCATGCAAGCCTACTCTGGTTAACACTTTAAAGCCAATGGGGTTCTGTCATCTCAATCTCACAAGACTTGAGCAGGGGTGGCCGAGAGGCTCTCCGCGACCTGCTTGACTGTCGGGTGTTCTAGAAGAAGCGGTGCCCCGACGTTGTTGTTTCCGAATGCCTGGATGGTATACCATGTCAGTACTAGAACTCCAGCAGAGAAGGACACTGACCGAGTAGGCTGTGATGTGAATTCCCTTTTCCTTGGCGTACTTCACCAGAGTGTCATTCTGTTGCAGGAGAGGATGGCGCTCCACCTGGTTGACGACGGGGCACACTCCGGTAGCGTCGATGATGGCCTTGATGTGCTCCGGTGTGAAGTTGGAGACCCCGATAGCGCGCACCTTGGATTGGGGAAGTTTTATCATTGCTGATTTTGTTTGTTATGTGTGAGCCTTGGCTGGGTAGGGGCATGACCGTACCTTTCCAGGTGTCAATGAGCGAGACAGAATTGTCGATTGCAACTTGCGTGCCATCATTGTCCAGGGGCGAGAGCTGGTTGTCACTGGTCTTTTGAAAGGCAACGGGCCAGTGCACAAGGTACAGCTATTGGGAGGTCAATCTTTGGAGGACGCAGTTAAAGATATGACCTTACGTCGAGGTAATCGAGTTCGAGCTCTCGAAGAGTCTCGTCCAGAGTCTTCTCTACTTCCTCCGGGCGATGCGAGCTGCTTCACATTAGCCAGTGCAACGGTTTAAAATGACAGGTACTCGCTTATTCCAAAGCTTAGACGTCTATTCTTGGTTAGCAAGTGAAATCAAGATATCGGGCTCGCGTTACAATAAATATATCCTCCCTCTTCAAGCCAGGAGTGTCAGCAAGAGCTCTTTTGATTCCCTGTGCAACTTCCGGCTGGTTCTCGTAGCTGCAATATATTAGCATGACTCTGTGTCTTGTGGTATCTTGCTCGGTGACATTACATCTTTGCAAGGTCCTGTAGCGCTCAATATTAGTTGTCCATATGTTGGTTTCTCACTTTGTGACCTTACCAGATGGCGATATCCGGCTTTCAACGCTTCATACACTCCAACCGATACCTCCCCAGGCGATGATTGCCAAGTTCCATATCCTAGGGTACTAGAAGGGAGGTTAGGGCGATGTGACAATTGGAGCCAAATACTCCGTACATACGGAATTTGCTGTCCAGATAAAAGTGTAACTCGTTTGCCAAACGACATTTTGATGGTTGGGTATGAGAGCGGTGTTATCGATATCGATGAAAGAGAAGAGGGTACCATGGCCTATTTATCCTCAATTCCAGGCCAGACTCTAAATCTCCCGATCGGGTTATGATTCCGCATGGTGGAGGCCAGCGCATCAAGCGTCACGCAATAAGCCGTTCCAGTTAATCCGGTTAGATCACATTAGCGAATACGACAACTCTACAATATTCTCTCACTGCAGTGCTAATACCACCATATAATATTGGTCTCTCTACTATGATACTTGTAGATCTCTATACAAGCCGGGACGGTCATGTGACTGCGGGTCCTGATCTGCCACTTTCTCTATGCGGAAACGATCGTCTACCCCGCCGTGAATTATTTCAACTTTTGCGATTGTGAATTCCAAGTCATTGTCCTGACATATCCAGCAATCTCAGCAAAATGGCAGACGAATTCGACACTGGGGACATGTTCGCAGACCCCGAGGGCTTCTATCCCCCCGAGAAGGAGCCTACCTACGCAGATCACCAGATGCTCTCCGGCCAGGTCGTCCGTGTGCGCCTGGTCGGCAGCCACCCTCTATATGTACCTCCCCTCTCACCACATCCCTGTACTATCCCCACACTAACACCTCTATGGAGGGAAACATGCTCTGGAACGCCGGCCGCATAAGCTCAGAGTATATCGAAAGTAACGCCCCCACCCTCATCACCGGCAAGAGCGTCCTCGAAATCGGCGCCGCAGCGGGCGTGCCCAGCATCGTCAGTGCGATCAAGGGCGCCCGTACCACCGTCATGACGGATTACCCGGACCCGGATCTCGTCGATAACATGCGCCAGAACGCCGAGTCCTCTGCGTCGCTGATACCCACCGACCCGCCTTCTGCGCTGCATGTTACGGGCTATAAATGGGGGAGTGATGTGTCGCCGCTGCTGGCTTACTTGCCCGAGGAAGAGAGGGCGAAGGGCTTTGATGTGCTTATTATGGCGGATGTCGTTTATAGCCATCGCGAGCACGGGAATTTGGTCAAGACGATGCAGGAGACGATGAAGAAGGAAAAGGATGCGGTTGCCTTGGTGATATTTACGCCGTATGAGCCGTGGCTATTGCCCCAGACGGAACGGTTCTTTCCGCTTGCTGAGAAGGGTGGGTTTACGGTGACCAAGGTGTTTGAAAGGTTAACTGAAAAGACTTTGTTTGAGAATGATCCTGGGGTATGTCGACTTCATTTTTGTGTCTGGGGTATTGCTAACAGTTCCTAGGATGAGAGACTGCGGAGGACAGTCTTTGGTTACGAGCTCCGATGGGCTGACGATCAACTACGATAGACATGATACCATATAGATTTGCGGATTTGCAGTTAAAAGCATTTGATAGACTTCAAAATTATATTCTTGGACTGCAGTTTTACGCTGCGAAACAGCCACAACCAAGCCAGAGCGATTATACCAAAGTATTACCTGTACAGAAACTTCAAACTCATCAGTAAATCAGTGTATCAGTAAATAAAATAATCACAACGTTGCTCTTCAATGCCCAAGGCGATAAGCAAAGGCGGTCAACACCAAAAAAGCGCCCCGCCATCCCCGCGCAGAAAACCACCAGCAAAATTATTCCAGACCCCTCACTCAATCCGCAATAGCCTCGCCAACCATGCCTGTAAGTTTCAATTCAAACAACCCTATCCCAAGCTCGAAAACAAAATCTAACAACTCATCTAGCTCATAGTCCTAACCGGTTACCCCTGCTCAGGGCTAACCTACCGCGCAAACCAACTCGCCGCGGCCCTCGAAGAAACCCAAACCCAGCTCTTCTCCTCCGACACGCCTCCAAAATCCAGATACAAGATCCACGTCGTCTCGACACACGATAATGTCAACCACCCGCGGACAGTGTACGATACGGCGCGTACGGAGAAGGAGGCGCGTGGGATCGCGTATACCCGGGCAAAGCGCATGCTAGGCAGGGACAGCTTTGTGATTCTGGACGGCATGAATTATATCAAGGGATATCGGTATCAGCTTTGGTGTGAGGCGAAGGCTTTGGGGACGACAAGTTGTGTTGTATGTTTCTCATTTCCCACTTTTTTCTTCCTGGTGGAAATATCCCGGTGTCAGTGCTAACTTGCTGCTAGGTTCATGTTGGCACGCCGATTGACCAGTGCGTTGCGAATAATGAGGCGCGGATAGAGAGAAAGAATGCCTCTAGCGAAAACAAGAACGAAAGCAACGAAAGTGAGAACCAGAACTCGCCCCCCGAGTCTTCACCAAACACCTCGAATGAAGCCGGCGAGGCCAGCGACCCCTACCCCCCCGAACTACTCAACAACCTCATCTTCCGCTACGAAGAACCCTCCATGAACAGCCGCTGGGATAAACCACTCTTCACAGTCCCCTGGTCCGACACCGAGCCCCCCGTCGCCGAAATTTGGACCACCCTAACAGGCGTCCCACACCCCTCCACCATCCCCCAAGAAGGACAGGAAGAACCCTCAATATCCCCCCTCACAGCCGCCCTCAACTCAACATCCCTCTCCTCAGCCGCAAGCACAACAACAACAAGAACCCCAGGCGCAGCCACCACCACAGCAGGAGGCCGAGGGGGAGGCCGAGGCACGCTCTCATCGCGCCCGCGCGTCGCAATTAAACCACACCAGGCAACCGTCCTCCCCGCAACCTCCGACTCCTCGGCCCTCTATAATATGGAAAAGCGCACTTCTGCAATCGTGCAAGCAATTCGCACTTTCACGCTGTCGAACCCGTCTGCAAAGGCCGCCCTCGCAGCGTCCAACCAGCAGCAGCAGCAGCAGCAGCGCCAGCTTAAACAACCCGATGACGCCCCGGATCGCCGGGAAGAGGGAATCTGTATTCCTGTTCCAGAGTCCTCGACACCTATCTTCATCCCCGCGCATATCGTCTTAGGAAGCGTAACGGATGACCTTGCTGCTGCGGGGGGTGTGCTTACACTCCCGCGGCTGCAGAGGCTGAGGAGGCAGTGGATTACGCTGAATAGGGCGTATATTGGGGCGCCTCATGCGGCGGGGAAGGGAGGTGGTGGGTTGAAGGATGAGGAGCTGGGGGATGCGTTTGTGAGATTTTTAAACGCGGATTTTGCGGATGAGGTTGAGGCTTAACCTTAAAAGGTAGTCTCTATACTTGTAGTTGGATTTGAGGGTGTTGAAGGCACGAGACGTTTTGGGTTATGAAGCGTTCGTAGACAACTAGCATAGCATCATAGTATGACATCTTACGATACGATGAGAGAACAAGATTTCTTGTATGATATATATATTCATTCAATAATATAAATAACCCGAAAGTGGTACCTAATGCATCTAGGTTAGGTAGGTAGGTAAGTAAACACAAAAAGACACAAGAATCCGAAAGCCACGACAAGCCAGATCCACTGGCTGTCGAGGTGCACACACAAGAAAAGGAAAAGAATATTCACACACGGAGCAGAAACAATAAAAAAACAAAAGTCTAATAACATATAAATCTCACAACAATAACCCGAAATGATTTCCTTCCATTCCGTTCTGTCTGGGTGTTGTTGGTGTCTGTCGCTGCTGTATACATTCCGAAAAAAAAAAAAAACCAAATCAACCTCCCTTGTTTTTTTTTTCTTTTTTTGTTTTTTCTTTCTTTGCTTCTTTTTTGTGTTCTTTCTGTCTTCCGCAAGTGCTGGAAGAGAGCAAAACAAGTAAACAGAAATCCACCCAATCAGTATAACAAAATACAACAAGTGGTACAAGCATCGAGCGCACGCAAGAAAACATGGCGCGAAACAGAGAAAAACATTTTCAGCGAAAATGAAAATAGAAGAGAAGAGTTAGCGTGAGGAGTGCCAGGGTCCTCGGGTTAAGATCCTAGGAATTCCCATCCCACCTGCGGTTGAGGCTGGGTTGTTGTTGACTTTTTAATCACTGGGTGGTTAACACCAATCAGTTCAAATGATTTGGGTCCAGGTCTACCGGTCGGTCGTGAGCATGGTATGCTTCCTCTAACCGACATTGGGTCCATGATGCGAAGTCAACTCCTCTTGGAAAGTAGACATAGGTTGCAATCCCTGGCAGACTGAAAGAAAATTCGTGGGCCGTTCCAAGCTGCGTTTAGCCATTCATAATGTGCATGTACAGGGAGATCAGTTGCTCCCGGAGCTCGTAACAGAAAGGCTAAGCTCCTATTATGCAGTAGTGGAATAAGTGGTCCCGTCGGGCGATCCTTGAGAAGGACAAGGAAAAGGGAAGGTGGTCTGCAATGTTAAGCATCGTCATGCTTCCTTGATTCATGCAGGGACTCCATTTGTAATCTGGGCAACGGCCTGACTGGCCTGAGCCTGACGGTAGGTGATCCCGAGCGTAATGAGCTCTTGGAGGCTGGCATTAACCTTGTCGTGCATGGCAGAATCCTGGGGGCTAATGTTGCGGAGCTGCTCAAGGAGGCGTCCGTGGCAGTTATAATAGTTCCTTTCAGCGGCCTGAATGTTCTGACCGTGGTGGGCAGTGGTCTGCTGGAGGGCCTTCAATGGGTTTGTCTGGGACTGGGTGGAGCGGGTTCGCTTCATGGTCTGAGCACCGCTGACACCAGTGACTCGGCGCTTGCGTCCAGTGGTCTCCTTCTTTTTGGTCTGACTGGTGGTGGGGGAAGCATCCGGGGAGCTGGGGCGCTCAGAGGAAGCGTAGTCGTGCACTCGCCTCATGTGGTCAAAGAGATTCCAGCGGCGAGGGAAACCGTATCCTGGAATAGAACGGTCACATCCTTCAAAGAGGCAGAGGTGGGGGTTATCTCCGTGTCCGTGGAGTCCATGGGCTTCGCGCTCATGTCGGAATAGGCATGCATTGGAAGAGAAATGAAGTTGAGCATCCATACAGCTCGGGACCCTACAGCGGTATGGCTTCAGGTGGGAATCCAAGTACTTGCTGCTCTCGGTATTAGTCTCCGTAACTTCAGGCACATGCAGGGCAAAATCCGACTTACTGGTAAGCACACTTCTGGGTAGTTGGTGGGTGGTTGCAAGGCTTGTCTCCATTGGCGAACGGGCAGTAGTACTTTCCATCGTTGTGGGTAGGCAGGGAATAGAAAGGGTGGTCACGAGGGTTTCGCGACTCACTGCCATCCTTGGATCTTGGTCGGAGTGGCTCCTTCACGGGAAGTGGTGGGAAAAATTCGGAATCCTGTTTGACCTGCGGCTGTGTCGGGGACAATTGCAAAGTGGGCCTGCGCACACTCTTTGACGGGCGGATGGTCCTGTTGTAAATTAGAACGCTTCTCGGATAGGGGAGGTTTTTGCCAGATCCAACTAACCTGTTGGGGTCCTGTTCGTTGAGGGGTGGTGTGAGAGGGAAAATTGGGTCTCCTAGGTTGATTCCTTGGCCGCCAACGGGAGTGGCTGTGATGTCTTTCAACATGGCATCCTCATGGGACATGAAGGCGGGGTATCCAGAGTGGGAGCAGGAAGAGGTAACAGAGAGATCATTGCTCGCTTCCGTCAAGGGAGGGGAGACAGGCATGTGCTGGAAAACATTTCCAGAGAAATGATCCACGGATCCTTGGTTATATCGGGTGTCCACGATGGAGTTCCAGGCGTCGCCGGCAGGCGAGCCGTGTTCTGGGGTGCACGAGGTGTGAGTGCCATTTTGGCCATTGACATCATTATCAAAGGCAGAGAAATCAAATAGGGATGTATAGTGGCTGAAGTCCTGGGTCTTGGAGAAGTCCATATCAGTCTGTTCACCAACGTCAGGGAGGCCATGGAAATCGGAACCAGCCGAGTACATGATGTCGCTGGCGCCAACTGCAGAGTGCAGTAGTGCATGTTGAGATAATGAAAAGGAGAGCATCTGAACTGCTGGAGAGTCAGGTTTGCTTGACGCAATGGAGTTGCTGTCAATTGAATCCACATCATTCATCGCCCATGGCTTGTCGGAGGTGTCATGGCTGTGGGCAGTACTTGAACACAAGGAGAAGTTATCCTGGCTCAAAAGTTCATCATCCTGGGGTCTTGAGGCCAAATGAGAGTTTCCTTGGATATGCCTTGATTGGGAGTGGTGGTCCATGTGAAGCATTGATTGAGGAAGAGACATGTTCTCTGGGTCGGTCTTGATGGAAGACATTATGAGTTTGTGATCCAGCGGTAAGCTGGTTGGCGTTCAAGGACTATATGCAAGGTCAAGTTAGTAAATCTACAATCCAAATGCTGAAAGCGACATCAAAAATAAAACAAAAAATCAGAACATCATGCGTCCGAGGTCCATAGTCTTAAAAGAGATGCCTACACAATCATTAGTTCCACGTTCGCTGGTCAAGGGCACAAAGAAAACGAACCGTTGAGGTTAAGTCCATAGGGCAGTTCTCCAGGGGCGGTCAAGTCGTCGCTTGGGATTGAGGCGGAGTCCATTACGGGGCGAAGTCATCCAGTATCCAGGTAAAGATCAGATCGAGGCAACGGAAGAACAGAATTCAGTCTGCACGGGGCTATCGGGATCCTAAGAAAAATGTCGAAGGTTACTCCTTGGGAGTTGAGGGCATTCCATAAGACTGGGACTGTTTCCACTCAGTATAGGATCCATTGGGGTATCTTCATTGCCTGGGTCAACGGAAGTGCAACAACATGAGATGCACGGTAATTCCTTTTCTGTCGGTGATACGAGATTCATCAAGTAGGCCATCATCAGGCAAGTTCAAAAGAACTCTTTTGAAATCCAGGGAGATACCTGGGGTCACATTCTGTACTTCTTCAACATGCAAGGTAGGTAGGTAGGTTCCGCTCCGGTTGGAGTTAAGTCCAGGTAGTAGTCACAGATGAAGTCATCAAGAGTCATAAAGTTATCCAGGTCATTAAGATAATGTCATTATTGGTTCATCCATGGAAACGTCCAATCCTCCACCCCAGGTTTGGAGTGAGGTAATCATAGTCCAGAGTAGTAGAGGGGATCCTCGGTGTCGAAAAGAGTGTGCCAAAATTAAACAACACTCGTAGTGTCCAGTCTCACAGCGGACGCTGCAGACAAAAAAGAGTCACGGCCATGTGAAAGTCATCATCATTATTTTGGGTAACCGCGATGCGGCACCGAAGTCCGGTAGGAGCAGGCAAAAGAGAAGTTTCAGGTATCCTTAGGTTGGGTGTGTTGGAATGTCGACGTTGGTCCAGGGGGTATCCATTGGCAGGAGGCGCGCATGTTGCAGAGCAGGAAAAGCAAAAAAACGAGCTAAACAGTGGGACGAATAAGAAATAATCGAGGGGACTACCTGTTATATGTCGAGAACGCTCAGACAAGAAGCCTGGGAGAGATGGAAACGAAAAAGAAACAGAAGCACAAGTCCTATCCTGGGAGCGGATTGGAGTCCAATGGGTAACGGGAGTCCGAGGTGAGTATAGCCAGGGGCTTCAATTGTGTCCAGGTCCACGGGTGAGACTGCTGAGAGAAGAAAACAAGAGTGGTCCTTCAGAGCAGAGAGCAGGGGGGTGATTTGACTGTGACAAATCTAGAGTTGTGGAGAGGAAAGGGTATCGTGAAATGGTAAAGGTAACAGGGTATCAGGTGGTCAAGTGATCTTGGGTATCCTAGAGTCGGCCAGATGAGAATCGTCGATGAGATCCTGGGAGAGACGAGATGAGATAGAACAGAGAAGATCAAAAAGAACGAGGGACGGGAGGGGGGAGGGTCACCTTATAGCGCCGAGAGGAGTGAGATGAGCAGAGAGATGAGGGGCAGCGTGGAAGCACCGCAGAACGCAGCCGTTGCAGAAAAGGGAAAGATGCTGCCTCACTCTGCTCTCACGCGGCGTTTTGATTCGGCAGCGTGAATCCTGCGGGCTTGACGTGGCCTTGGGGGACGAAACGAGTGGTTCAGAGGGAACGGCACGTCCCGATTCTCAATCCTTGGGAGAGGCAGCGGTGAGCACACTACGCCTTAATTGGCGACGGGGCCCGGCGGCATCATGCAAATCTGCACCCCATCGATTCCATCACAGCCAGTCTTACGCTGTTGAGGCAAGCATGAAACTCACCACTGGCGCCCGGGTTGGCCCTGAGCCAGTCACGTTGGAAACTGCTTCAGCTGGCGCTCCTCACCCGCCCCGCCCGCCTGAAGTCCATTCAGTCCTCTGGCTGAACACTCGTCCACGTCAATCCGCGGAACATGGGCCTGCGCTGCAACTGCAGGCTGAATCCCACGACCGCAGATGCCACCGTGTCAGAGGCAGACCCCGCGTCGCAAACTCATCGCGCTGGCCGAAAAAGTACGGCGCAAGCACTGCTCGGAGGCGATGCATCAACTGCTGCCTCGTCGATGATTACTTACAGCCACGTCCGAGTGGTGAGGGTCAAGATAGGAGAAAAAGCACGGACTTGTTGGGCAGCAACGCGCCCAAAGCATCACTAATATGGAAGTTTTCGGGAATTTCGACTCAGGAACCAAGACATTATTTTTCATTTTCTACTACTGAGGCTATCTGAATGGCCCTAAATTTGCGTTCATTCGTCAGCTCATCGAACAAGATCAGGAGATGGTTGCATAACAAGCAGGCGAACGGGCAATGATGTCAGAAGTAAATGGTGATGGTACTGTTGTCGTTCAGCGATCCGAAGATCTCAGGTGAACTATGCTTTATGGGTATGGTGCTCATCATAATAGAAATGGGTCCCGCGGCCCAGCCTCACTAAAAAGAATCGGAAATTTGCTTACCTTGCGCAAGAACGAAAACTTGGAAATTGTTTGACAGCAAAGCAAATTGATCGAGAAAAAAAAAAATGAGGCGCGTCAAGCACCCTGCCGGCTTTCATCCGTCCGACATTCAGCCTGTTGAACGAAGCGTGGCCAACACCTGTGTCAAGACAAGACCAATTACGAGCAAGATAGCTTCAGCCTCGACAGCATTGACCTTCCGACTTTTTTCGACTGGGCCAGCTGGCGTTGAGCCCTGTCGCCGTCGACCATCAATGTTGATGAAGAAAGAAGTTGTTTCGCATGAGAAAGAAGATTTTGTGGAAGAAAATGCGGAAGCGAATCACGTGGTTTCAGTCACATGACTAGTGGGGTACAAACACCAGCCCTGACTACGTTAAAAGTACACTGGACGCCCGGTCAGAAGGGAATCAAAAGTTAAGATATGCTTGGTAGACTTCGTCATTTGCAGTATCCCCATCTGATTGCTCACCCGAGCTGGCTTCCCCGTTCATATTCCCGTCCATACCCCCGTTCAAGGACACGTTCGCGTTGCCGAGTACAGGGCGTTCAGGTCTTCCTTGTCTGGACATTAACGCCCTGACAACTGCACCAGGCTGCTGGCTGCTCATTGGTCGTGGGCTAGGGCTCGATGGTGGAAACTGCGAAATCTGCTGAAAGGTTTGCCCTGGTGCAGAAAGTTGGGTAAGGTCGTCCAGGTCTCCATTAGTTTGAGGCGCTCGCTGGAATATTGTTGCCGGTATTCCCATGGGAGGTCCCCGAGGAAACATCCTTACGGGTCGTTCAAGCGCAATTTGACCCTGACCCAAAGGTTGGGCAAATCTAGATGGGGAGCTAGCCGGAAGCCTTCCCTGTCTGTCAACGAGCGCTTGCGCATCGCGTATTTGGTCGTCGATCGTAAATCGTCTGCGGACTGTTGACGCAGGTTCAGGGACGATAGAGCTACCTCTGTTAGACTGCGATGCCTCCATGGTGTACCCCTGCTCAAGCCATTGGCTCACGGATAAGTGTGGTTCGCCGTTCATTCGAACGTGGTTCGTCATCATCACTCTATCACCATGGCGCTGGAGACCGCTGGAAGACCTGAACAGCGAACTTTCGTTTCTCGCTCCTCTCGCTACACCATTTGTGCTTGGGAGAGAGCTCTGCATGCCAACGCCGTTGTCCACGTCGAGGGGTTCATCTTCTAAAAGCATTGGTTGGGAAGATCCTCTGCGGGCATCTATGGGTGGATAGTATGAAGTTGTGTTAGCCTCAGTCAAACTCGGTAGGCTCATTGGATAAGAGCCGGCACCGAGCATGATATCATCGCTGCCGTCGGACAAGGCGTTTGCTTCATCAACCCGTCTAAGAGGCCTGCCGGGCATCGTTGTAGATTTATTCAACCGTTCGTGGTCGTCTCTCGTAAGTCTTCGTCGCTTGCCGAATCTCTCAGGCTCCTCCTCAGGCATAAAGACAACTTGAATGGGACGTGCCACGCCCACAGCAGCCCAGTCAGCTGTTTCGAGCAACTGGCGCTTTATCCGTTCTAAACGATTGGGTGGCTTCGAATTTGCGTTCGTGCTAGTATTCGACGAAGTTTGAGGTAGACGTTCCTCCGTCCTATTCTATAAACGAGGTTAGATATCCTATCTTGCATATTGCAACTTGATATGATTGCTTCAATCTCACCAACCTCTGAATTTTCCGTACTGCGTTTTAGCTTCTCCACGTCCTGCCTTTTGGCAAAACTGTTGAGAAGAGTAATCTGACGGGGACCGTGGCCTTTGCTAGCTGCGCTTGTACTCCCAAAGGTCTGTTTCCGCGTTTTGGAATTGATTTGGGAATGACGGCGAAGCCGGCCTCCTGTCCAGTTCATGTTAGGAATAACACTGGTGTCGGGGTTTTGAAAATCTCATTTGTGGTGTCGCACGTCGTAACGTCGCAGTTAATGATGGCCAGTCACCTGTGGGGGTGACCGTGAGGTCGCCATTTAGGGAAATCACATATCATGTGATGGTTGTTTGATGCCATCAAAGGGCTCAGCACTGCTATGCACAGGGAAGGCATATCAAGCTTTAGAGTATTCACAAAGTTTGAATAGCTTATAAAGAGTTATAAACATCTCTGTTCTGGAACTTCAATAGCAGCCCTTCCCTATGGACATTGAGCCTTAGGTTCAGATAGACAGTCTGTATACTCTTGAACACAAACACAAAGCGCTGGGTATTCAACAAAATCCACGAGCAAGATCGATATAAAAAGGCTCTAATAGCCCCCTTGGTTCACAAGGACCTCTCTCTGGCCCTGCACAGGGGGCAAATCAACCTCCACAGGCCCAAAATACTCTGTAAACACCCTCTCTAGGTCCTCCTCGGCCAACTGCATATGATTCCCCTGCAGGGTCTTAAACTCCAGCGCGCCCTTCTCATCCAACTCCTTCAATCCCAGCCAATCCTCCTTGTAAATCTCCCTCTCCCGCAATGGCGTTACCTCCCCAGTCTCCTTATCGACCTCTGCAAACCACGACGTCTCCTTCGGGTGTACAATCTTGTCGTCCTTGAACATAAACATTGCAAATCGGTTCAAACTGCTCAGGTTTTCTTTATAGGTCGCATTCTTCACCGCCCGCTCATTATTCACATCCGCCAGGAAATTGCTGTTCTCAAGGTACGCATCCAGCTCAGCAGGATCGCGGAAGTACTGCGCCGGCACAAGCTGCGACTGCACAAAGTTTGACCAACGCCCGGCATGCAGGAGGGCTTCCGCGCCGCGACAAACAAAGTCGCCCCAGCCGCATTCCTGGAACTCGGAGATGCCGTTGTGCTGGCTGCCAAAGGTGACGAGGTTACGGACGGGAGGGTTATTGCATCGCTCGATGTAGGCACGGAGGAACTGACCGCCCTGCGAGAAGCCGAGGGCGTTGACGGCCGGTGCGGTGGAGAGGATGGGTTCGGCGGCGAGTTGATCGCAGACGGTAGAAACCTGTTCGGTGACATTTCCGAGAAATGTCGCCTGGCGATCGGCAGAGGAGGAATCGCCGATGTGGATTAGGTGGACGTAGGTCCCTGGGTTTGTGGACTCGGCGAAGGAGGCGAGGTCTTTGAGGCCTGCGCGCATGAAGTCGTCGCCTAGGCCGTGCCAGATTACGAGGGGGAGCGGAGTGAGTTCTGAGGGTGAGGAGGTCGGCAGTGCGGCAGCAAAAGCTGGAACCGCGAGGAGCGGAAGGTGTATTAAGTGTCGCATTGTTGGGTTTTCGGAGTTGTGTAGGGAGGTAAGACGAGAGGGGGAGAGAGGTATGGAGATGGTGATGGAGACTACGGAGAACAACCCCAGGTCACGTTTGCTGACAGTCTGACACCATCAACATGCATTAAATAATGCCCCTCAACTTGTTTCAAATTCTCAAAGTTCAATGAAAGATATTCTCAACCTGGTTCAATGTATTCAATCTCCTTGTTTATTCATAGGATATGGTATTAGTCTTATAACGGTGACCCTTTTTGCCTTGTTATCTATCTATACTATATAGTAAGGGAAGGGCCCAGTATATAATACCAGCAATCAAGGCATACTACCCACTAAACATTCAACCAAAGATTATAGTACTAGGATAAAGGGTTAAGTACAAAATCTATAATTTTCCATACACGGAGCCATAACATGGTCAAATAACAGGGATATGATACCAAAAGAAATCTAATAGGTGCAAAAAACAGCACAAGGAACGGATGCCGAAGCCTTCCAACAGGCTAGGGTGAGAAAACGGAATGGAGAAATATGTGCAATGGCCGCGAAAAAAATGAACAAAATATACCTGTAAAGGTCGTCGAGAGCTCTCAGAAAGTTCATAATCGGAAAAAAAAAAAAAAAAAAAAGATGCAAGGAAAGTATAGTAAGGAACGTAAAAGATAGCTTGACTAGTACGGGGGCCGTCCAATACCCCCGGTTACATTCCGTCGACCAATGTAGCTCGACGTAGATCTCGGAAGACGGGTGGTATCGGTATCTGACGATAGAAAACCGTCTAAGAGCTTCTCCACGTCACGTCGTTGAGGGTTTTCTTCTACTTCGATGCCGTAAGGGGAAGCTCCCTTAGATTTGCCGTTGATGGCTACCTCTGGGACGTCAAATCCATTGGCGAGCCCAGCACCGGTCCGAGATTTTTGCCTATGAAGCGTTTTGCTATCATTTGAGGCAGCGATATGGGACTTCCCGTTGACCCCGTTAACAGAGTTCTGTTTACGTGAGGCAGGAGCTGTTGAGGGACGGTCAGATGACGACAGCGAGCGCTGGGAGCCATTGGGAAACCCGCCTGGAATAGATAAATCTTGCGGAATTGGTGGTACTGGGGGAATTTGAAACGAACTTTGTGCCTGCCCGTAGAGCGGCCCGTTGCCCGCCAAAGCCCGAGGTGTCTCCACACCATCACCGTATAGTGACTCTTGTCCATCTCTCGTTGATTGCGGCCGGATCGACGCTCCATCTTCAAACTCGGAGTTAGAAAACCCGCTAACCATACTCTCGCTGCTAGAAGAAACAATACTTCCATTGGAAACATCAAGGCGACCACGCAACGGGCTCAACCGCCGGTCCTTGTCTGGGGCCTGTACAGAGAGGACACGCCTCAATTCATTCACATGAACCGGAGAGTCTCTGCTTAAGCTGTAATTTGAAGTCGCTGTTTTGTCCGGCATACTCATTCGGCGAGTGTTCTGTGTGCCTCCTGCTGCGTAGACTGCGGAGGGTGAGCTTGTCGACATGGAACTATTGGTACCATTGGCGTGGGGATGGCCACGCGTGGGTAGGGTTCCTGTTCTTGAGCCACTAAGTGAAAGAGCTTCAGCCTTTTCCCGTTCTGCGGCTTCCAGGGCACTTTGCTTGGACCACGGTGACAGCATTTGCTCTCTGACTGTTGACGGGAGATTATCACCTGGGATCGAGCCGGTAGGAGACATACGTCCTCCCGGTATCACCGGCTTCCCAACATTCCGTCCCGGAGAACCTGGGGGTGTGTGAGTAGATAGCGTATGATTGTAAGATTCCTCGATACGGCGGACAAGCTCTTCAGCGCCATTTTTAAACGGAAGCATCCTATTTGTCTCTCTGATATTATGACTGACAGCATGTCGATCATCTTGAATAATGCTTTCGAGGCTAGTCAGAGAAACACCGATATTATCAAGCCAAATGCCTCGGCTTTTCCGTTTCTCGATTTCACTGAAGATCTCCTTTCCGACTCTGAAAGGATCCAAGCCAAACTTTTCGGTTAATACCCAAAGGTACCCGTACACCAGACTTCCGATGTTCACCCTACATGCAGGTGTGCTGACGCTGTCTGAAGCCGCCATGTCGTCTTGGAGCTTCAATATCATTGGCAATCCAAATCGAACCGCATTTATGCCGAGATTCTCGACGAGGCTGGCCAAAAGTAGGTGAAGTATTCGGATCTCAGTTTCCTCCGATGGGCGTTGAATGGCAGCTTCATAGGCGGTCAAATGAAGCAGGCGGAGAAAGTTCGACTGGGCAATGACTACAGCCTTTTCCCTTTGATGAGCTCCCGTCGCTCGCTTAGCAGCTCTTTCAGAGGTATCTGTCAAATCACGTCTTGGCGATAAGGTAGCAGTCTTGGTTGACCGATCCTTCAGCCTTAGGTCATTTTTGGTGGTTTCCAATTTCAGCCAGTACAGAAGTGCGTCAACGTACGCATACCTAACATCCTTTTGCGGGTCCTGGAGAAGCCAGTGCGTTCCTTCCCAGACGTGGATCCCGACTGGATTCCTCGATTCAACCCCAGTAGACGCCTTGGGCCGTTGAGAATTGGCTACCAGTAGAATGTTTTTGATAGCCTTGAGAGCGCCCACCTTTGCGCTCGCCAGAGAGAGAGACGTGGGGTTTGTTTCCTTGGAGACGTTATCTGGCTGTTCAGGCGCTGTCGAAGGTGAAGTCTGGTCCTGGTTGTGCACCGGTTTGATGCGAGTTAAGATTGCCCTAAGCATGTCGACGACCTGGTCTCCATAGTAGATGTGGGTGGTCAGATCCCCAATGCATCTTTGGAGTAGCAGAAGCAAATCCTGCTCCTTGAGCGAAAGAGCTGCATTTTGATCGTTGTGTGTCTTTTCCTTCTCACCCAGCTGTTCCTCCGCGGCTCCCTCAGGCGCCGGGGACACCAGGATTGCCATGTAACGCATCAAACCCAGCAAGATGTCAATCACACTCAGTCCAATCATGTTCACTGAGGATTTCAACAGATAGTCCATGAGATATACAACGGTAAAGGCCCTGTCCAGGGTCTTTTCCTTGGGAGGAATCTCGAACAGAACTTCCATAGCTGCCGTCAAAATTATGAAACGAGCCTGAACTGGACACCACTTAGCCACTACCTCAATCAATGATGTGGCCCAGTTTTCCTCGTTGGTGCCCAGCGACAAATAGGTGCCGTTCGATTGTCCCTTTCGCAGAATGAAATCCAACACAACCCTCGTGGTGACACGGATCTGGCCACGACTGCTGCCGTTGAGAATCACCTGTTCTAGACAGCCGAGGGCAAGTAGCCTCATATCTGACTCAGCTTTCCTGTCGACATCATCAACATTCTGGACCGCCAATGCCGGGTCTCCCTGCGCCGTGTCAACCGTTTCAACCGTAATTGCGCTGTGTCTTCGTCGTGCGGCAGGGTCCGGGGCAGGTCGTTCCGTTTCGTGAAGTTGGCGCTCAAGGGACTCAATCAATATATCATCACTGTTGTACAGATTCTCCAGAATGACCGGCAGGATTAACTTCAGTGAATCACCACCGTCTGCCGCCAAACAAGCTTCAGAGGAGACAACCCCTTTGATAGCTCGTAGTCCCGCATTCTTCCATCGTATCGTCTGTGGTGTACTGGGAGCAACCTTGCTCTGAGGCTGGGCCTCTTCATGGGCATAACCCGCGTAGATTTTGACAACTCCTCGGTATTGGTCCGCAAAGTCCTGATCAGCTGACAGCGCAGCCATATCTTGATTGTGGCAGAAGGTCTCGAATGTCCCAATCGACTCCTCCACCATGGATATATCGCGAGACCGAAGCACTGTTTCGATGACGGTCAACACGGATCGGGCGAATATCGGCAGGTCGCGGGGGATTTTCTCGATGAGCGCGCTGAGGATTTGAAGTGTGACCTGGACGTTTCTAGCAAGGAGGTTCAATGTCAGCGAAAGGAACAATCCCACCAGTGCGGCAATCAATCAACCCATGATCCAAAACCTCCACAAACTCACCCGATTTTACGGCGCCAGACATCTCGGGCAGCCCTTTTCTCCAAGAAAGCGCTAACCTTGGGGAGCTTGCTGCGTCGCGTGCTCACATAGTATAGGAGGTAGGAGAGTTCGCTGGAATTCGGCTTGACATCCTGAACACCCTTCTGATATTGCGGATAGCACTTAAGGACAAGGATTTGATGCTTTGGGCGGCATTTCTGTCGCACGGATTCAATCGCCATGGTGAATTTAGTGACGTAGCGAATCCTCCAGGGGTATATATAGTTTCACAGGGCGAGCTCCGGCTCAGTCCAACGTGGGAATCCAGGGACAGTCGAAATTAGAAAGGAACGAGGGCGAATTAGGGCGACTGTTTATAAGAAAGACTGCTGCTGTTTAACCATCAGGAGCGCTTGATGTCACCTCGCAGTAGCGATGAGTGGAGACTGGTGAGCCAGAGAAGTTCGCGGCTAGTGCGGGTCAAGGAGAGAAAAGATCCATCTATAGAGCGGATCCAATTTGTAGTGCGGACTTTGCATGCAAAGCCAAAGTTGCTCGAGTACGACAAGGATAGGGGGGTTGTCGCTGGGAAATGAAGGAGGAGGCTCGAAGGGGAACGGGCAAAATAAACGTGGTTGGAGTCAGCGTCAGAGAATCGGCAAATTCACCCTGTCCGAAGACCAGACTTGGCGATCAACTTCCCCCCGGAGAGCGGACAAGAAGACAATTAACGAGTAGATTTTTTAAGGAGGGGTCAAGCTACTATTTAAGATTTCTCCAATGATGAACAGTGCTATTCAGGTTTTCCTTGACTACTGTGGTAAGTGGTTCGCTGTGCCTCACCCGGCCGGCCGATCTTGGTTCCTTCCACCTGCAAGCTGTCTGACCAGGGGTGTCGGGGTTGGGTCACCATCAAAAGGCGAAATCTGAGATTTATATCTCCAGCCTCGTCTCGAGCCTCTGCTCCCCTGACAGCCTTGCCTCAACACGCTAACCGACGCGCGATTGAAGGCGTCGTTCTCAAGAGAGAGAAAAGTCCAACATAGAGAGTATACTTCGGCTGGTCACGCTCCCCCACATTATTCTCCCGGTTGGGGACTTAAGCACAGATGCGCACCCTTGGAGAATAGCAAACGTTGAGAATCTAGCGCGCGCTCGCGTGTGGGTGTTCCTTTCGTTCCATGTTCCCAGAATTACCGGCACCGTTGACGATCACAGGTGCTACCTCGGTCACACATGATGTCCCCAAAAACCCAAGCAAACCCGCCATCGCGGCAAAGTCCACACGCCAATGAAGACACGGGCGATGGAAGAGATGAACCTTGTCCCAAAGCAGATGACGTTCGACCGATTCCTTTTCGGGATTCTATAGGTCTCTCGTTTGCGGGGGTTTCGTCCGATTTCCAACCCCACGGGTGCGTCGGGCTTCCGAATAGTAAAAGAAATGCCAAAAAATCCATCCTTGTCATGGTAGCTTCAGTAAAGGCTTGCCACCGTTGTTTCCCTAAACACCCTGGTCGGTTTTTTTGGGTTGGCCATCTTGGTCTCCGGACTCTGCTGGGCCGCTTTGTTCGCCGTTGACGTCCATCCCCGCCAAACCCTCAATCACCTGTGGACGAATGATATCACGACGAAATGTTTCCTCCTGGAGAAGTCGGAGCGCTCGTAATGTGGCACCGGGATGCGTTAGGAATTGGGAATATTCAGGCGTCTTCCAGTAAGAGTAAAGGTAGGCAAGGTAGGCTGCGAACGCCTCGGCCTCTGGGTCGGAACTGTCGTCGTTCACATCGCTATCGTTACCGGATTTGGAAATCCCTAGCAGGTTAGGGTAGGTTACCGCCAGGTGGGAGAGATAGTATGGGTTCGCGAGGGAGGATACGAATTCAAGCTCAAGCGTAAACCGAGGATTTGTGAGAGTCGCGGGGGGCTGCGCTTGATCAGGATGTTGCTGAGCCATTGTAATCTTCACAACCGATTCTCTTCTTGTCAGGGTTGAAGAGCTTCAGCTTAAGATAGAAGAGGCCTCTGAGGAGTCAAGGTGGGGGGTGTTGCGGTGAAAGCGACGAAAAGTGAAGCATGAGCTCAGCGGTGCTAGCTCGCCAAGACCGGAGATAGCTCGCCGCAGTCCGCATTCTCCAGCTCCAACATCCTCCGTCACGGCGTCACCATCCACGCACCCTAAATCTACAAATTGGGGGATATTTGACGTCATGTGAAGACTATATATATTGCTAATATGTACAGTTGTTTTCATTTCGCATTGGTCCATCGCTCTATCCTCGACAGCACACATCCAGTCCTTACCCTTCCTCACCGAACTCCTTAACGATCCATTCGCACCACTTCTCAAAAGCAGCCCTCCATTCTGTCATCCGGGCAGCCTTCAACCCATTGCCGTGGCCCTCAATTCCCTCAAGCCACTCAGCTTCTGTCTCATCCTCAAAAGCTGCCCATCTAATACTATCCTCCGCCATTGTCGCCAGCCCCGTAAGACCCGTGTTCTCAAACGCTGCCATGACCTGGTAGAAGTCGTGGCTTAATCCATTGTTTCCATGCCCGAGTACGGCCGGGTCGTCGTTGTTCAATGAAACAGCCACGCCGCGCGACAGGAGCGCGGGCATCGGGTGCATCAGAATATTTGAGGTCAGGCGTAGCACTTCATGGGAGATAGGGCACATTTCGATGAGGATTTTCTTGTCCTTGACAATGTCGATAAGGAGAGGATGTTTATACAACGAGAAGGCGTGCCCGATTCTTCGGGAGTTCAATAATATGGCATCGACGATATTACCGTCGGTGCTATTGCCATCGCCTAGGCATTCGCCGGCGTGGAAGAAGAATGGTATTTGAAGTTGCTTCTCGGCACATTGTTGCTCGAACCATTTGGTAAGGGGGAGTAGGTCGATCAGAGTCCGGCCTAAATCTTCCTGTCCGACGTAGTCAAAGCCCGCTATGGAAGATGGGTATGCCTTCTTGCAGGCTATGCAGTGCTTCATGGATTTCTTGATTGGTTCGTCAGAGAATCCACGAAGGGCTGTCCAAATTATCCTCGCGCCCCAGAACCCAGCGCCTTGGGGAGAGGATACGTAAGAATCCACTTCTTCTTGAAAGCATTGCATGAAGTACAAGAAATCGGGCTCTGCCACGTCCGAGCCCTCGCGGAAGAATGGCTGGTTGATACCTAGACGCAGTTCGACGTATCTGATGCCGTCTTCGTGGAGCTGCTGTAACAATCTCGGTATGCAACGTCGAAATATCGGCTCCGTAAAGAATAATCCAGAAATGGCGATAAAACAGGACCCAAACTTCTTCCAGATATCACTAATCCCATGATGATGCTGTAAAGCCTCTTCCTCATTGATAGTCATCCTAGACACAGCCCATGTTTTAAAGGCCTCCACGCCACCGGGATACGTTCTAGCCGCAGCTGACACCGGGACAGGTTGGTTTGGTGTGTAATCCGACTGCCAAATATCGACCTCAGCCCCATCCTGCGCACCAGGCCGATACACAAATTCAAACGGCTCCGACCACTTATCCCCGGGGAACAGCGACTTTGGACTCGTAATGTAAAACCCTGGAATCTCAAGCGCCTGCTCAATAAGCCAATCAATGTCAATCATAGCTTCCATATGCGCATGCAACAGAGAGCCCTTCGGCATAGCCGCAATAATCTTCCACAGCTTCGTCTTCTCCATGCGATCCCGCGACAGGGTAAACGACATGCCCGGGAACATAACCTCTTTCAAATCGCAGCGAGCATTGGAATTGGAAGATGTCGCAGGCGCTGTCCAGAACGTCTCCAGTTCCTTTTTGCGAATGTTGGAAAGGATGGCCGCCGCACTTTTTGCGACCGGGGACATGCTCTGTTTGAAGACGTGGTCGTGTCTACTGAGCTTTTCTTTCTCCAGAAGCGCTCTACGCTCGGAGATGTGTTTTTCGATCCCGGTTTGGGCCATCTTGGCTATGTTATTTGCTATGATTGTCGCTGGTTGAAGCTGAAGGTCTTTGCCTTGCTTTGCGATGTGGTGATTGCGGTACAGACCACCCGCAGTTTTCTTGCGGGGCAAAGTGTCAAAAACACTGGCCTAAGTAGTGATTGCAACGTCGGGATGCGTACTCTTTGGATCTAGGCTCCAAGAGGTACAATAGGCAGAAATTGAAAATATACCAGGATGGTTGCTTTCCTTATCGGTGGCTCCACAAACGCCCAGTCTGCCCAATATGGAGTTCGGAGTTTGCCGAAGAGGACGACGGGCTGAGGAATAGTTTTTTGTGACATTGGTCACAGTAAACAGTTGTTTTAAAATTACCCTGCTTTTAGATAGGCATAGTCTGTATGTATATGCGTGCTGCTTTGTGTTAGTTGTTAAATCTCTGGTCATTTAATGGAGGTATCAGTTATATATATTTGGAACATTGAGTAGTGCTTATTTGTATTAGACCTTTACCAACAACTAAAGCATGCCGGCGCAAAATAAATAACAATACTAAAGTATATTCAACACAGAGAATCGACAGCTTTCAAGTACCCATTTAAGTACTAAATAAAGGGCCGCATGGGTAGTTGGGTGCCTAGGGCTAGCTATCTCATAAGGCATATTGTTGAAACGCAGCCCCTCTGCAGCCGTATTTGCAGACGTAGAATAGATTAATGTCACCGGCGGGACTAGTAAATACAAGCAAAGAGTTTTTTAACAGAGAGAGCTCAAGGAGACTATTCATCCTCATGAATGACTGCACAATATGACTTGCTCAGATAGTTGCTCATTAGGGCAAACTATTTGACAGACTGTTGGTGAATTGAAAGTAACTTACCAAATAGAGGCTAAACCGATTGGAGTCTGCTCGAGTATCCTCCCTGCCAGGTCTGTCTTGCCTGCAAGGTACGCGCTTTAGAGCATCTTGAGCCCTGTAGGGCAACTAGCCTGGTGAGGACCTTGAGAGGAGATCGACAGGGCTCGATATAAGCTTGAATGACAAGCCTTTGATATCAACAACGTGGGCCTATTGTTTAACTATGTGTCTATAGTGATTGTTTGGGTGGATTGTGTTAGAACTACACATGTAACTTGTCGACATGTAGAGGTGAAACTCCATGTCAGCCTATGATGCACATTCCGACGGGATCAAGGATCAACAGGGGTTGTGTGGGGAAGCTCAGCAGCCATCCATGCAGAAAGCTTCTAGAAGTATACCCTGAAAGGCATGGAATTAGAAACGTGCCTTGTTACCTTGGTGGGTATGCTGATCGGTTCGTGTCCTGTTGCGTTGGATAGAGTAGAAACCTCGGAATCTTTGGAGGTTGCATAGTGAGGTAGAAATAGAACAGGTGTGCGATGCTTAGTACAGCTTAGAAATGATGAACTGAATTGGCTGTGATAGCACAAGATCTCGACTTCTGGTAGAACCCTTGGCCATACCTCATATCTGAACGTGGACTCATACTTTACTTAAGGCAACCCACACCAAACGCACGATCCTCTTCCGCAATCAAGAAAGACAAGCGAATATTCGTGTACAGACTTGGACTTTGAAGTTGCTCGGTCATGACCAACAAAAAGTCCCATGTATCGACATGATTCGCACAGGTGAAACCTCGCACGTTGACATCGGACTAACCCCATTCTCCAGATGCCTCTAGATCTGCCCGAGACAGAACATGGTCGAGTTGGGTACTCAGATTGGCGGGAGCAAGGCCACGAGTTGCGCCCCATGATGTGAGAATTCCCACAGAGCGTTGGAGCCATGGAAGGGGGCACTGAGGGGGCTCATTTCCGAGCAATATCGGTTATGCCGGAGGATGATTGCATGTCGGTTCGTGTTCCAATCTTCCATGCATCAACCCCACCCGGAATAGATGGAATCGAGCCGTTCTGCGATCGCACGAGAGGAGGACTGGGGGCCAGGGAAGCCCACTCCTTCCATTGCAGGACCCCTCTCCCAGCACGTGTGCGCCAGAGGAGGGCAAGAGATACTTGGCGCCAAGCAGGGCGGTCTTGGCTGGAAGCTTCATGCCAATCTTTCGCCGCCGCACGTGGACGCGTTTGTCCCTTGTCATTCGCGCTCGTTGCCCAGAATTTACGATGCGTCGCATCTGCCAAGCCAGCTAGGCAGGGGTCTGGATATGCGGGCTGTTGACATCGCCTGGCTCCCGGCAGAATTCCCAGGTGGCCAGGCGAGAGATGGAGAATTCCGTTGCAGCTCTCGCAGCTGCCCTGCCATGCGAGCACTGTCCATGGGAAATTGGATAAATAAAGCGGTCCGTCCCCCTCGTCTGACAGCGCTCTATCGCCATCCACCACTGCCGGGGTGAATTTGTTGACAGTGCTTCACTGCTTCCCGATCAACATGAGGCCCGCTTCCTTTGCCGGTGTGGCACTGTTTGCTGCTGGCGCTTTTGGTCAATATTTCCAGCGTCTGGGTGGCTGCCCTTCCCTGGGCTGTGTCTTCCCTCCCGACCAGTAAGCCCTCCCGCATGCTGTTACAGGGCGATGAAACTCACAATTGAGTCCGCAGGGCCGATTTCCTTCCCGGACAACACTTCGATATTCGGCTGGAGGTCCACTCTCCTGTCAATGGATCTGAGGCGCGCAAAGGCGTCCCTGACCCTAACTTCAAATTCACCGTTGGCAAGAAGGGACACAAAGGCGTCGCTGTGACCGAGTTCTTCGACATCGAGGATTCCAAGCTCGAGAACTGGCAATTCACCTGGTATGAAGGTAGGATAACTCGCCATACTATTGCTACTAGCCGTAGAATGCTTATCCTTTGCAGATCTATTCGCCCAGGATGCCGACAAGCCCTCCCTTGTCAACGTTACCTCCAAGGCCTACAGAAACCTTGCGCTCTACGAACCAGGCGAGTATGAGGCTATCCTGACCTACTACGGCGAGGAGCAGACCGTTGCCAACTGGCTCGTCCGTGATGTTCCCAAGAAGCGCCGCGCGAAGAACGTCGTCCTCTTCATCGGCGACGGAATGACCACCAACATGATCACTGCTGCTCGCTTGATTGCACACAAGAGCATCAATGGAAAGTACCAGACCAAGCTGCAGATGGACAAGTTCCCTGTTCTCGGCCACCAGATGACCCATTCCATGGACTCTTTCATCACCGACTCTGCCAACTCCGCCGCTGCTCTGTACGGAGGCCACAAGACCACAGTCAACGCCCTCGGTGTCTATGCGGACTCGTCCGAGGATCCCTTTGATGACCCCAAGTTCGAGCTTATTCCTGAGATCTTCCGTCGGCAGCACCCCAATGCTGGTATTGGTATTGTCTCTACGGCTTTCCTTGCTGATGCTACTCCCGGTGCTCTTACTTCCCACACCCGTCTTCGCAGTGAATATGACCACGTTATCAGCACCTTCCTCGACGGTATCACTAATTACACATGGACTGATTTCGATGGCCCTGATGTTCTTTTCGGTGCTGGTGCTGAGAACTTCCTCTCCAGCGAGGACGCCCCGCGCGACTACTACAAGCTGTTCACCGAGAAGGGTTACAGCCTCAGCCTGAACAAGACCTCTCTTGAAGCCGCATCTAACGAGGACCGCGCCCTTGGTCTTTTCTCCCTTTCCAACCTACCCACCTGGCTCGACCGTAACGTCTACCAGTCTAACCTCAAGGAGCAGGCCAACCACCCAGACGGATCCGGCCGTGATGCCGAGGACCTGCCCGGTCTCAAGGACATGACCCTCAAGGCTATTGACATCCTCGACGGCCGTCGTCGCGACGAGGGTTGGTTCCTGATGGCCGAGGCTGCCAGCATTGACAAGCAGATGCACACTCTTGACTATGACCGCTCCCTCGGTGAGCTCCTTGAGCTTGACGACACTGTCCGCGCCACCATCGAGAAGCTCAAGAAGCTCGGTTCTCTCGAAGACACGCTTGTCCTTGTCACCGCCGATCATGGCCACGGTTTCGACGTCACTGGTGCTGTCGACACTGTCTACCTCGAGGAACAGGAGGATGACCGTGACAAGCGCCGTGCCGTCGGCGTCTACGAGAACTCTGGCCTGTCTCAGTACACTGTTGGTGGCGCCAATGCTCTCCGTTACTCTGAGGGTGTTCACTTCCCCTCCCGCTGGGACCCTCGCTACGCCATCCACGCCGGTACCGTTGCCTTCCCCGACCACCGTGAGAACTACAAGGTCCATAAGGATGGCCCTCGTACCCCGGCGGAAGAAGGCGGCGACGAGACTATGTACGCAAGCTACAAGGATGCCGTCAGCGGCTTCTTGATCAACGGAACCCTTGCGCCCGATGCCGACCAGGGAGTCCACTCCCTAACGGATGTCCCTGTCTTCGCTCTTGGTCCTTGCCAGGAGCTCTTTGGCGGTACCTACAGCTCCATCGATATATTCTTCAACATCGCGGAGTGCCTGGGCCTGGCCGAGACCAAGGGTGGACATCACGATGGTGATAGCCAGCACTAGGAGTCTAAGTAGAACGATTATTTGACATATTTCCTTCCAACTTTCTCGACGGACAGTCGGGACTGTATATTACGTTTCCACATATATATTAGAACCAATCAATGTTGTCTGTTTTCTTTAGTATGGTTCTGAGAATTAACCGCATAAATGCATGTATTTATCCCAGTCCATAAAGATACAGACACTACGCCGTAATACGGTATACTATTTTTCGTCACGGAGCTACGAATCCGATTCCACCCGCCAAGAAACGCGCAACATTCCACGGCGATCAACACACGACTAAGGGCCTCCAGGCGTGTCAAAGTGGAAGGCAAAAAAGCGTACGCAAGGCGGGCCTCTCAGAAATGACCAAAGTGGCAAGGCCAATGCCAATCCACTCCTGAGTTCGGGCTTGGGAAATGCCGATCGAAGGCTGGGCTAATTGGATTGCTAAATGACGGGCAAGCGACGAATTGGTCCATCCTCGTTCTTCAGGGAAAGACGGCGGACGAGAGCAGGTCGCAAAGGTCGCGAGCAGGGGCATGGAGGGCGAGGATCCCTTGATATTTGTAGCGCCAGCGGGGGTGGTCTTGACCCTGGAGATGGTTGCAGCGATCTTGCATTCCGGGCTATTTATACTGTGGGTGATATCATGGCGGCGGGAGGAATGTGCGGAGCTGACGTACACTCTGAACGCAGACCAACCTTCTGCAATCATCTGGAGGTGCAGAACTGGGAAGACGCGGCAGTGCCAGTGTAGAGAGCAAAGCAATCAGCAGGCCAATATGGTGGTGAATTAATAATATCACGAGACAAACAGACAATCCGGCACTGACGCCGACGCCGACGATCTGCAGCTGCTCAGTTCGTTGTCTGTCACTTCCAAGGGGTCTCTCCTGGCTGTTGCTCGTTCCTGGTTCCGTTCTTCCTCCGCTTCTTCACCTTTTCCTTCCCTTTTTCTCCTTCCTCGTTCTCCCTCCCGTGCTGTCTCTTCTGCTGTCTTTCTTCTTTCTTTCTCTTTCTCTCTTCTCTCCCTCTCTTTCTCTCTCGGACCTATCCCACCGCGCGACCGGGCTGCCTCCGTCGCTCACAGTCTCAAACCCCACTATTGTCGCTCGTGCTTCAAGTGCACCCCTCCAATAATCGCACCCCCCTGACCGACTCCCGCGGCTTCGCTGTTTCAGCAACTTCTTGCGCGCTCTCTCTCCTGACCCGGTTTGAGCTGGTTTTTGTGCCTCGCGCTCGTCCTACGTCGCACCTTTTCGTTTTCCTCGATGGTAATTCCGTCGTTTCTCCAATCATCCTCCCCGGTCGCTTTTGAATCGTAGCTGCCTTGCGCAACGTTGCCAAAATGAGCGCCCCTCAACAAACCACTTTGTCCTACTACCCACCCGGCGTCTCGCTGGGCCCGCAAGGTGCGTCATCTACTTGATAGCTCTTTATTGTGTTATTGGACTGTTGTTTTGTTATTCTTGTCGTCTCCATCGATCTGTGTTTCAAATCGGCGGACGGTGCGCTCCCCTGACACACGATTGCGACAAACCTCTTTGGTCCCTTATTTTCGGTTTCTATATTTGACCTGATTTATCGCCCTGCCTCTGCTGCTTCTGCTTCCACTTCGGAAAACTAACCCACCTCTACATTTCCAGGCTCTCCTTCTCCATCTTCCCAGCAGTTCCCGGTTAACTTGGGCTCCAACAACCCCTTTCGAACTCGCACTCTGTCACCTTCCAACTCTATTCCGTCAGGCGGGCGGCCCGAACGACCAAAGTCGACAAACCCCTTTCTGGATGATACCGATCCCATTTCGCCGCAATCAGCTCCAAGTGCTTCATTGCCCGACCAGCCCGACATGACGCAGAACACACGCGATCTCTTCGTATCAATATAAAGGGGCCAGGCTGACCAACCGCCTCTTTTGAATAAACAGGAAAATCTCTCTTTAAACGCCGCTCCTAAAGCCAATGGAATGCGGCCAGCGCCCCCTCGTCCCGAGAAGCCTTCGCAGAATGCTCCTCTAAAGAGCCGACCTCCACGACCCTCGAGAGAACGTTCCCAAGGTCGATCCGAGGACCCATTCAACATATTCGCTGATCCCCCGGGCAGACCCCCGAAGCCTAATGGATCGGATTCCAGGTCTCGGGATCGCGAAAGACGACCACGCAGAAACTCGGAGTCATCTATCATGGAGCGAACCCCGAAATTGCTAGATGATGATGATGATGGTGAGCGACGCCGACGCGAAAGGCGTCGACGTGAGCGTGAGGGCCGTCACAAGGATGGCAAGTCCCGGTCGTCTCGAAAAGGCTACCAACTGGATATCATCGATAAGCTGGACGTGACCAGCATCTACGGCACTGGAAGTAAGCATTGCCTATTGTTCGTGTTGAAAGTTTTGGAGGACTGGTATTAACTGGCTATTTTAGTGTTCCACCACGATGGTCCTTTCGATGCCTGTAATCCCCACCGCAACCGCAAAGGACAGCGCGCCGCTCCACTGCAGGCGTTCCCCAAGGACTCGTCCAACATGGCTCTTGGTGGTGCCGGCCCCAACAATGAAAAAATGGATCTTGACAGGTTCCACGGCCGGATGCAAGAGGGATACAACGACTTTGCTTCGACTGGCGTGACTGATAATAGCAAGAGTGAGGGAGTGTCGTTTGACCCAACCTCGCGCATCGAGCCAATCCACGGAGATCCTTCCATGGGCCTGGGTACCAGTACCTTCTTGGACGGTGCTCCTGCCAGTCGCGCAGCTATCCGCGAGAACCAAACCGAGCCGACTAACGGTGCCGGTGGCCTGCAGCGGAAGAAGAGTCTTGCGCAGAGAATCCGAGGTGGCATCAACCGTCCCCCACCCCGCGTACTATCTCCGCAGTCATATGGCTCTCCTGGAACTCCAAACTCCCCGCGCAATGAGAAGAACCCATTCTTCCAGGACTACGACGACGCTTGGGATAAGAAAGGCGCTCGGATAAACTCCGCTGATGAGTCACGTATTCCGGAGGGTGGACGAGTCCGTTCATCTAGTAGCCCTAAGCAAGCAACTAGCTCCTTGGAAAGACAACATACAGAAGAGCGAACCGAAGCGAAAGCTGAAGAGACCAAGAATACCGGCGGAGGCGGTTTCATCAACCGAATGAAGAGTCTGCGAAAGCCCCAGCCGCCAAGAAGGCGAGTCACCGAAGACTGAGCTCTTCGATCATATTTTTGAAACTTCAGTTTAAGTTCCATATCTACCAGTCTTTGGCGAATAAAGGCTGAACGGGTAAAGAGTGCATCGAAATATAGCCCGAGGCTACGCTTACCACACTAATCCCGCACTCAACCCGGGTGTCAGAGCTGCCCGGGTTAGCCATACCCTGTGGTGCGGCGAATCTTGTACATCAACAGGAGTGTGGCCCGTAACTCGAATAACGTATGTTACATGCGGCGCTATCTGGACGCATTTCGTTATTAAATTGCATGGCGGGGAAACCGATGGATTTGGCGTGGTGCGATATGTCTTGTATTTTTCTCCCTGTTTGTAGCGCACTGGATGGTGGATTGGGCGTTTGATTTTTGACTTGACAGCTCGTGGCTGGGAATCGGTATGAGCCGGACTTATTTTGTTTCTCACCTGTATTGATCCCATATGATTTTTTTCGTGGACCTTCAGCTAATCATCAATGCATCTCATTTGGAACATTATATCTACCCATTATTTTGTTCAATACGCTCCGGCTAATCTTCTGCTTACCTAGTAAGGGAGATATATTGATCCCTGTGATCGCCAACCCGCGTGGCATCATCATAACAGCTGTCGGACCGTAGCTGAGCACTTCACAGTAAGCACCAATTAAAAATAAATAGATAGAGTATACGACATGCAGGTGAGTGTTTTCATAAAACTCTAACAGTAATGAAACAAACCATAACCCTAAAACCCCATAACCAAATCACATAAAGCATCACATAAAGAAGAGATTTCATCTCGCATCCAAATCCGCAGCCCTAGCCACTAGTAAAATGTAATATGCAGTGTACCACATCAAGAAAGCTGTATAAAAGCCCTTAAATAAGATAGGAGGTGCGGTAGGCCTATGTATATATATGTATGTCTTGCATGTATTGCAAGAAAGCAGGTATAATGAAACGCCGAGTTGGGGGCAAGGGGAAAAAAAAAAGAAGAGAAAGAAGCGTCATGACATGAGTATTAATTTTAAAACTGAGCTATTCCTCTAGCCTATTCCGTCTATTTCATTCATCTATTTACCTTGTCGCCTGCGACCTTCTCGTGTCAAAGGGGCCCTGCGCTGAGATCCCGGCCTTCCGTTTTGATTGTGGCTTTGGTCGGGAGAGTGTGTATCTATTTTAAGCGCGTTAGTCATTTGACTCTCTCTTATGGGTAGAGGGTGGCCATGAGGGGAGAGGGTGGTGAATAGATATGGATGGATGGATGCGATGGGAACGTACTTAGCGAAAGCCCTTGATAACGCGCGCTTGGCGCTGACCTTTTGGCTGCCGATGAAAGAGTCCACGGTGACGGCAATGGCCCGGTCGATGTCTTGAGCAGAACAGTATTCGGAGAGGCGCATTTTGCAGAAAGCTTCGGCGATACGCATGATTGCTTCAAGGTGACGCACCTACAGACATTTTGGGTTAGTTTCACGTTGGGAGGGAAGGGCACTGGAAATGGACATACAGTGATTGGGTATGCGCCTGTGGCGAGAGATTCACGGCGCATGTCGGCGAAGAGACGCGCGATCTTGTCTTGGTCGATCTGGTAGAGCTTCGGGTGGCAATGTTCTCTGGCGTAGAGAATGTATTTGCGGAGAAGCTCTTGCGGGATCTCGCCTTCTTTTTCGTCATCCTCGTTGTCCTTTGCGGCGCTGCGGGCTTCAGACTCATCGGGGCGAAGGGGAAGGCGGTTGCCTTCGTTGTCGACGCGGTAGCCATCCTCATCAATACGTTCACCGTCAGTGTTTATGAGGTTTCCTTTCTCATCGCGGAGAGGCTTTGAGGGGTTCGCGCGGTGGTGAGATTCAATGACGAAGCTGGCTAGGCGCTCGTCCTCGCTGGGATCGACGAGGTCACGGACGACACAGAGGATATCGAAACGGGAAAGAATGGGTTCAGTGAGTTGAACGTTCTCGGAGAACGGGGCACTGCTGTTGTAGCGGCCACCGATGGGGTTGGCTGCAGCGACGACGGCGCAGCGAGCTTGTAGAGTTGTGACAATACCGGCCTTGGAGATGGAGATAGTTTGTTGTTCCATGGCT